GTACTGTTCTTTTCCGGGAATCAGTCGATTAATTGGCAAAGTTTGGCAACACAAGCGTAGGATGCCAGTTAGACAGCGGTGTCGGTTGGGCAATAGATTCTCCTAGACACTAAGTCGCCTTTAACAAACGACCAACGAAGAACAAGCCGCAGAGAGAGACCCCACCTTGGCTGGAGCAGAAGGTCCTCAAAGCACTTTATATCTGAATGCCTTTAAAAAATGTCGGGTTCGCTTTTCATTGCCACCAGTGTAGTGCCCCGAGACCCCCTGGCCGGTATAAGCAGTCAGTAAGTGCAGTTGGATACATGCATTCTGAAGACGACAGGACAAATGAACCTGGCCATAGCCCGAAAGCCATCTCACGTGTACAATGGCCAGACAAATCCGAAAAGTGACCACCATACCTCATGCGGTCACATTAACAAAGCATTACAGTATTCGCTATGATAGGCTCAGGACCCTTAGTCTGCGGGTCTTCAAGGAAAGGCTTCATTCCATGGTCTTGCTTGGCATTTTAAGTGTTCATAGGCTTTAATGGGGCGTACAAGGGATTAAGAGCACCATCTTTGCCCAAGAACACTAAAAATTGGATGTTTTAGGAACTAGTCTGTATCCTACATATTTAGATGAGCAGACTATAATTATTTAAAAAGGTATAAAGAAGTATGAGTCACAGTAGGGACAACTGTCCTAAGTTATGAAACCCCATTTTTAGGACTACCAGGGGAGGCTTTTCATTCAATAGGTTTTTTTGTGCATTATTAGGTATTCGCACTGAATAACAAGGCATATGGAAAGACCAAACGCGTTTAATAGGGAAGGGCGTTTGCTCGGCAGTCCATTCCATATCTGGGATCCGTCAGACCCCGTATGTGTCCAGACCCTCATGCAAAACCCAGGCTTAATCCCTCTTTCTTCTTTAAGAAGGCATGTATTCAGCTTAGTCTAGTGCTTTCCGTTACCTAGGATGGAGTCTGAGAGCACCACAACGACGTTTGAATTTTTAGAACCTGCTTCCACCTGTAAGGGCTAGTTAAACATCGATATATTACAGCAGTTATAAAACAATGGCTAACATTCATTCAGGAGCTATGGCTATGAGACTGTAACCGAACATGGTTGTAGTTACTGCCTGTCTACCCTCTGGTCCCTGGTTCTCAGACTTGAAAAGGAAGTTGGTTGTAGACGGTTTATTAGGCATCTCTGTAAGAAGGATGGGGGAATATAATGCAGATGCGGTGAGCAGGTGTCAATCGCAGGGAGGCTCCTCGTCCACCTCGCGCACGTGATCCACGTTTGCAATTGCTTTCCGCCTCTCGTCTATAAAAGTCCACTTAAACAAACTAGAATATATTACAATGGTGATCAGAACTATAAAGTATCGCATGAGACTGCAGTCCAAAAATCTGCATTTCGACCTGGCTTATACTTGTGTCAAATCGAAATCTTGCACAATAATTCCTGCCTGGCAACCTAATTACCGAATATTTCTCTTCCACATTCTGCTACCAGCAGGTGTACGATTTCTTAATTAGCGATATAATGTACAGTAATTGGCACTATCTTATAAATTGCTGTTTGCCGTGTACAATTTTTAATGTTGGGGTCTTGTAACGCAATTCTATACATGATATGCCTACCTAAATAAGCGCTTTGGAATTCCATATGCACGATTATTACTGCAAGATGATGACACCACATTAACTTGAAATAAACTTAGTGTTTGTTTAAGCTTTCTGTCTCGCCGTTGATCCTGGAGTTCACTCAGTTCGGCGTGGCGTGCGTGCGTGTTGGGGTTGCGTGGCGTCAGTCGGTTTTAGGACTTGCCGTTTTTCTGCTACACTTCATGCCTTTGTGAGCTATTAATGGAATCGATCGCGGACTTTCTCTTCTGCTCGTAAGATGTGATTGAGTCCCGCCTTGGAAGTGCGGAGAATTTGGGTCCTGAACAGTTGTCGTTTTTTTGGGACTCGTAAGTTCATGCTTACGTGATGACTAATGATCGCCCCAGGCATAAAGTTTTGTTGAATGATCTTGTCTGAGATGTGCCTCATTGTTGTTTTCTGTTTATTAGGGATTTGGGGAGCGACTTTCTCTGGCTGTCGTTTCTCTGTCGTGAGTTTACCACACTCCTTTCTTCGTCTATGTTCACGTTGATTTATCTTCGTTCTGTTTTCAGGAGGAGATTCACATTATCCCCTGTTGGTAAGTTATCCCATGATGATCTGTTATCGCCCCAGTCATAAGGGTATGTTGAATGATATTTTCTGAATTATGTTTAACCACTAATTCTTTTTAGTTTCAGGCTTTTATGTTTTGTCACGTACACGTGCGTCTGAGCTTGTAGTCTGTCGTTCGATTTGTAAAGGAGAGATAATTTTAATAAAGTTTATTGTTGGTTTTTCATCTTGTCATTGATTTACTTTCCACTCCTGGGCTTCTTTCAACTCCGATTCTGTTTGGTGGTCGTCCAATATATGGTAGCTTCGGGATGGGTTCTCTCATAGGCAATATCTAGGGTTACAACAAGACAAGTTGCTAGGGCTCTTGTTGCTCTCGAAATGGCTTTTGAATTACACAAGGTGGGCTTACTTCTCTCTGTCCCCGTGCCTTCTCTGCCTTGTATTCTCTGCGAATTCGCTGTCGACGTTTGTTCAGTCGGTATTCTCGCGCAATTTCTCTGCTTGGCGCCATCTCGCTTAATGTGCGAATCATGCAAACATCCAGGTATCGTTCCCTATTCTAAGCGTGGAAAATGATAACTTCTGGTTTCCCTCTCCTTACCCTGACTTCGTCTTGCAATTTTCTGTGCTCAAAGTTGCTGATGATTAGCTCGGCATACTTGGTCTCCAATTTTTTGCGTAATTTGATGAGTTTCAATTGAATGCCATTTACCCTCATTGCCATGCGGAATGTGTCATCTCTAAGAGTACAAAATTTGTATTACTGAGTCGGCGTCAGTAGTTGGCAGCTGTCAATTATCCTGAGTACATAAATGTTGGCCGCCTCATGGACTAATCGCGCCACGGTTTCGTGTCTCGCGTGAGAGTATGCTGCCTCCTCATTCTCATCACGATGACTCCTCAGGATTTTGTCAATTGACAAGTGAGACTTGCTTTCAGAATTCTAACCATACTGTTGTATGGGAAAATGAGCTACGCATCGACTCTACCAAAAGGCAAGTCGAATTCCTCTAGTTCAGTTCAAATAAGTTTGGCAGTTGTCTAACCGAGGGTAGAAAGAATCTGGAATTCATGAGAGCGTCTACAGTTCCCTAATTAATCACTTTAAATTCCTATTTCTCGTGCAAGGGGAGAATGCGTTTAAATGTCAAGAGGCTAGGCTGCCCTTCAAAATGTCAAAAAGCACAATCATAGACGTGGTAAATGCCATCTGTTCGTGTCGATTAAGGTGTCTTTAATTAAATGGAAAATCTACTATGGGATAAATAAACTTGATCCACTTTTTTGACGTCATTGAGTTCCTATCTTAAGCCACAGGCTCGACCGCGTTTCAACCTAATCATCCATCTTTAACCTCACTTGTTGGCATCCGTCTTGACACGAAGAGCATCAACAAGTCGACCAATCGCTTCATAGGTCAGATTCTTCTCGGCTAGATCCTCCTCTTTTGCTGCTAGACGCTTCTCCAGTCGGCCAAGGATAATCCACAGCTCCGATTGGCTGGGGTCCACTCCACCAAGCAGCCGTAGACGCCCTGGACGATCGGGGTCCTCAAACCACGCTAGCAGTTGCGCCTTGTGAGCTCGAATTCCAATCAACTAGGAGGTGAAACAGAAGAGACTCTTGAATTTTCAATACAGCCTACGTCAAGGTGCCTGCAGTTGCCTTCAAGAATGTTCTTCATCTTTACCACCTACGAATAATTGAGTCCGTGGAGTCGGAAGAAGAAGCTGTTTTCTTTATGAAAATAAAATGTCTCCTAACCAAGTAATGCAGTAACTACTACTAGGACCGTCTCTTGACACCTCGTCTGGTAGAGACTTAGTAATTATTGCAGTCTCGGAGCATGGTTGGCGATAGGTTTGAAGTCGGTAGTTGTTTTAGCTTAGTTTGGACACAATTGTATAAAGCCGCGACTATAACGAACAGGATAGCTTGTGAAAGAGCAATCTCACCTCCTGAATGAGGCCGTGGACACTGCCCTCCATGTGCATCTTCTTGGGAACCTGTTCCCTCAACAGGTGAATCATGTGTTGGATCTGCTTTAGGTAGAGCTGTGATGTCTGATACTCAGCTTCCAATCCGCTTAGATCCATTTTGGCTGATGCCATAGCAATTGTTTGATACTTTTCTCTCTCCTAAATGATAAACAGGTTTTCAGGCTTTCTTCACTTGACTAATGTATAATTACGAGGACAAAAGGCGGAGGACGAGATAATCCATCTGCTCATACGGGTCAGTATTGTCGCCCTTTCCCACTTCTCCGTTAGTCACGCGATCCGTAATTACTTAGGGCAGGAAAATTATAATTTCTTATTGAATAGGAAAGTTTTATCAAATAGTTGTCTCTGGCCGCTTATTCCCTAAGAACGACTAGAAAAGTGGCAGTTCTGCCACTTCGATCAGAGCAACTCACCTGCAAGAGGTAGACCTCCTGATTTCTCTCAATGAGTAGTATCGCTCGCTCATTTCTTAGTTTGGCATTTCTTTCGCAGGCCTTCTTAAGCGCAATGCTACTAGCCTCAGCCTGATTGTGCATCAGAGTCAGTCGGTTCAACTTCAATCGCAGTTGTTCGCGTTTGGCATTCTGCACGGCCACTGCAGCAGCCACCTTGCAGAGATCGTGACGTTTGTGATCCCTCTGAGCCACCAGTCGGACAGTTGTTGATCTCACGTTTGCTAATTGGGCTTCACTTCGCTGTGCTGCAGTCAGAAGTATTTCCGCCTCGTTGCCCTTTTGCCTCAGGCGTTCACGAGTTGCTGAGGCGACTTGAATAGCCGCTTGGAGGAGACTAACACAGTTGTTCCTCTCCTTTTTTACATCCATGTAGAGGTTGGAGACATCATTCAATCGCGTCTACTAGGACAATAACAATTGCTGACCCAATCGACTGCTTCATTGAGGTGGTGAGAAGCTCTGGATGACCAAGGTCCATTGTAGGACACGTAGCCAATGAGCGCATAACGCTAATAGGTCGGGAGTAAGCCGAGAAGGAGGAATGCCATCGACGATTGCTGTGGAACATACTAAACTACCATTGTTTGTGTTTCCAATCACCTCTTTCTATTGAGGATTCCCCAATTGTTCGCCCAAGTTCATAGTGTTCCGGGACGAGGGTGGTGAGAGTGACTTTACGCTTTCAGCAGTGAATTATAAAGTCATATCCATGCATTTCAGCTACTTTGATGCAAAAAGTGGATGTGAAGATTGACTTTAGGCTCACAAAGTTTGCTAGGAAGTATGCGTTTTGCCTTCATTGGCACCATCTGCGTGAATTGGACTCCTGTGCAGTGCGCTTTGAAGAAGGCGATATAATTAATTATTTATACAGTGTTTTTAATGTTACCGACAATGTGGGTGGGATTTGGCCTATGAGGCAAAATTCATCACTTCCTGTTCATGGGTGTTGAGACTTAGCAACAGGAGAAGATCCATGACAGGTGAAGGGAAAAGGTGTAAGGTGTTAGCATTCTACCACCAGTAATAGATTTTTTACACACCTGTCAGTTGTCAGCCGCTATATATGTAGAGGAGGGGAAGGAGTGAACAGGAGCTACCGAGGAATTCGTACATTTTTGGGCAAAGATGGGCTTGACCAAGGTCATTTCCCGCCTATTTTTTGCCACTTCTGCCCACAATCGACTCCGCGCATACACACGAGAAATACCAGGTTGCGACGATAAAGTCAAAAATTCCGCAAATAAAATAGTTAATGTAATTACAGAATATGGGAAGCCATAAAATTCATGCGAAGAGCAGGACGAAAGGGATACGATGGGACGGCGGCTGAAGTGGGGAATGGGTCTCATAAATATGGCTCCTTCTACCTTCATTGATTTTTGAAAAGGTATTAAAAAAGGTATTTAATCTACATTGGCAGGAGGTATTAAATATATCCTTGCACAAAAGTATCAGCTAATTTTTGTTGAGACGAAATTAATGCCAGCTCTAACTCTCCTTAAAAGAGATCGGGAGCAGATTCGTAAAAGTTTAACGTAAAATCCTGCATTTGATTTATTTGAAAAAACGCACTTTATAGCTTTGCATTTTGTTTGCGTAACATTGTTTGAAACTAAAACTCCGTAATCCTAGCATCCTTTTGCAATTTCACCCATCGATGGCCGAGACCATTTCATGTTAATGGTCAGCTGAAACCCCATTTATTAATGTTGTTTAAATTGTTAGGTCACGGAAAGTTAGTTCCCCGATTAATTAGGTGTGACGCATTTCTAAGCGTAGGATTGAGGATTTTCTTTCACGCTGTAATGTAGGCCAGACAACCAGGAGAGGACTCTCAACTGTACTTATCCAAAAAACTTGCATGCTCCAAGGTGTGGTGATTCGTGGGTTTTATTCTGAATCCACGTTGTTCCTCTACTAGAAGGTGACTAATTTTCTAGTTTTAACTTGGATATATGGTTGGGATTTCGTATGGAAATGTAAAAAACTAAACTCAATTGCAGGAGCTCCTTTGCCACAAATTTGGACTGCTTTTTGTAGTTGCGATTTTTTTTCCATGAAATCAACCAAAAACATCTGCAAGTTTCCTGCTTTTTAGACTGGAAGGTCCAATCCTGACTTTCTTCTTTTCACAATGGCGGAGCTGTGATTATTGTTTTGGCCAAGTGGACTTTCTGTCGCCGAGACCTATGCCTTGCTGTATGATCCTCATTTTGTACGTTTCGACAATAAATCATTCGCACACATATATTGGCATGGTAGATTACGACTTGTTGCATGGATAGGGGTATTGTGTTGGGGACGGGTGTGAAAGTATTCTTCCCAACGGAAGACTAAATCTGATATTGTTTGGTAAGGTTACGACCAGCAACATCTCTCACGAATATTAATGGTGAAATCTCTCTTTAGCTCTATTCACTTAGCAGATTACGGATCCCCGCACCTTTTTCCATTCCAGCTTCAATTAGGGGGAGGTAGCGTTATACCTTTTTGTGCGAATTAACCAAACTGTTTCTGTTCCTCTGTGGTCGAATTGAGAGAGTGGCCGCTGTTGGACTTAAAGGAGGCGCTAAACCTGTTCAGTGGACCTGTCTTGGCCTCAGCAGCTTCAACCTCCAAGCCCGACCATTTGCTCCTGTTCTTTCGTTCATTAATAATGAATCTTACATATTGCAAAAATTTAGGAAAATAAGGGCATTAAGAGCTTTGAAAAGAAAGTCAAATTTTATGTCATAGGGCTCTAAATGTCTCAAAGGTTCTCAGTCCCTCCCTTTACCATCAATCGAGTCAAGTTATTGTCAGTCTTTCTGGCACATTTCCCCTTGTATACACCACTTTCTTCACGACTCATATTCGGCAATTCATGGCTACTTTTAAGATTTGATTATACTGAACTTTGCGTTCAAGAATTCCCTCTTCATATAGAGCCAGGACGAGTAGAGTGGTCGAGACCTCATATCCTCAAGTTGCGCAACACTAAGGCCTTATACTCCTGATAAGCTTAAAGAACTATTTGAGGAGAGTTTAGTCCAAACTCACCTCAAGTGTTTGCAATTCATCCAACTGACGTTCGATGAGGCGCAGCTTGATCTGGCAGTCTTCAGCAAGGCGCGAATGCTTGCGGAAGGCTCCATTGAATTCACACACTGCACGTGCCAACTCCTCTGATAGGGAGGTGGCCAAATGAAGCAGTTCCAAATTCTCCGCCCTACTTCTCTCCAACAGAGACAATCGACGTTCAGACAGAACCACAGCTTGATTTATATGCACATACTCTGCTGCCATTCGTTTCTCCTAGAATCCAAAGGGAAGCATGAAGTTACAAGCCAGCTGTTTGATGCGTTTTTTTTTATAGTATTAACAAACTATCTCGTAGTGACCTAAAACGGCGGCTTAAAATTTGCTTGCGTTTTCCCTTTAGAGTGATAGGAAGGGGGAAGACATTACTTTGAGGGATTCATGACCACGCTGCTTATTCAATGCTTCGTGGTCTCAGTGAATCTCAAGATTTAGTCGTTGGCTTTTAGGACAATTTCTAGCTTACCCTAGCTTCGTTTACTTCCATAAGTCTGTACTAGATGTGCTTAAAAATTTACCAAGAATGAAAAAGAGCCCAACCCAACGTCATAACTCCTCTAAATCAGAGCAATACAAGTGAAAATCTTTCAAATCCTCCTTTTTGGTGGAACAATTTAGTAGGAGATGAAAATTGGCTTCATTTGTGGAGGTCGGCAAGAAGCGGAAGAAGAACGCGAGGAACCTGACCACCCACGGTGTAAATTGACGGGAAAAATGTCACGGACTTTTTGACTACCATCACCTGGCCTTCCCATCATTTGCGTGGAGTAAATGTCAAGAGGCAAGTGCAGTGGCACTTAGTCATTGACACGTCGTTTGATCTAAAAATTGCCTTCAACTGTCAGTATATCTCACTGTACCGACTCTCTTCCTCTCCTCTCCATCTCCGACATTTTAGGCTTACCAGCTGTGGAGTTATCACGAAAGAAAGGCAAATCACTCTCATTCTTCTCTCTGCCTCCCTCCAAGTAGTCAATCTAGGCAGTCAGCAATTTCAGCCACACCAATCATCACCGCTACACCCTCCCTAAGAAGTTGTAAGAGCCATTTTTCCAGGAATTTGCTTAATATGTTGTGGGCATTTTTTAGACATCAAAGAACCAGACATGAGACATTTTTCACTTGAGGGGCAATTTGTGGCTCCTTACGGTGCACGTAGCCTTAACGCTTCAACTATCAAACCCTCTAGTGAAGTGATGGGCTGAAGGACAGTTGAACATCACAGCATTCCTCTAAACCACGGCGGTAGTTATCAAGACTTTAGACAGATTTTTGGGGCATTTCTTGTCTTGCTCCACCACTCCTTTTTCCCAAAGGCGTTCTGAGATGAAGACGAAGTGGCAGATGGAGGTTGACGTGATTTTATACGAGACTTTCAATTATATAAAACTCACTCAATCAAACAAAAAAGAAACAAAAAGGAGTGTAGTTTGGTTAGCTCACCTCGTCAGCGATTACGGAATGCAGATTTCGAAGGTATTCGTTTAACTTCTCCTTTCGTTTGACAAGCGTATTGTCATACTTTGGCGTGACTGCTAGTCGAGCTCGAATTTTTTCAAAGGCTACCGATGCATTCTGTGCAATCAAGTAAAAACAGCATAGCGAACTAGATTGGTCAAACAAAGGAAAATGTTTACATAGCATAGGGGATAAAACAGTTGGTTTTGGTCTACACCTCAACAGCTGTCACTGCTAGCCTAACTGCATGTGAAATGTCACGTGTGTGGGACCCTCCAACATCAACAAAGTGCCACAGGCATGCAAAAATCTCTGCCACCTCCCTTGGGTAGGTCAAGCAGTTAATTAAATCGCTCCAAAATAAAGTGACATTTATTTGACTTCCTGGAGAGGGGAGGGAATGGACAGTCATTGACGTGCCTAACTAAAGAGGTGTCACTAAGCTTCGGAAGATAAGTCTCCTCTCTCAGGAATGTGCTGTATGCCTTCCCTACTCTGTCTTTGTCTGTGGGGGAAAGGAGATTTGGTTTGCATTACTTGCCTTCACCGACTCCACATAGGTATCCATTTGAGCTTGAGCCTTCTTCATTTGCTTAACACTGCTATCTTTTTCCCATTTCAATTTACTTTGCTCCTGTTGGTACTCCCTCTTCTCCGAGAGGAAGGTCTCATATCGTTGGGCTAACTTGGCTCTGAAATAAGTTTTACCCCAATAATTATCCCTCACTGGGTGGCCCACTTTCTCTTCCATTTGCTATCAAAGACCTCAATGCTCTAACAACACCTTCGATAAGCAGAGAAATGGCTATGCTCACTGCGTAGGTGGCATTTTGGAGAAGTTTGCAGTAGCTAGTTGGTTGGGGAGCGTAAGCAAGTCATTTATCCACTGCTAGACACACAAGCATGCACACACACGCGTCGCCTTGCGTAAAGGGAGGGGAAAAAGTCGCATACTTGCGACATACTTTTCAGTACGCGAGACCATTTCCAAGTCCTGCCAACTGGCAAAGCTGCGAATCAAATCCTCCGTTTGCTCCTTGTTTAATTCAACCTTTTCTTTGTTTTTTGCAATTTCACTGCAAAAAATGGGAAGAAGAGTGTTTTAGGGGAAAATTTCCTTCCTATCTGGAAAAAATAATGTAGTTTTGATAGCAAATAAATGAAAGGTCAGGGTCGCAGCTACTTATAAAATTCAAATAGTAGCATAATTGTTGGCACTTAATTTTAACCCCTTTTATCTTATTATAAGAGTAGATTGAATATGCGTCGCTTTCAAATGGCCTCTTGATCGAATTACGTTTCTGCTTCGAGTATGACAGGCCTTGACAGAATCAAGGCAAGCTTACATTCACACACAGATGTGGACGTGGGTGGGTTGCCTATGTGTGTGTGCGGGCGACAGTGACACGAAAGAATTTGGAAGGAAATCACGCGCACACACATGCTTTGACTTGGTTAGTCACACTTTTACGAGGAGCTGAAGGCTTCAGAATAAAAAATGGGAGTAAGAGGGGAGGGGGGCACGGGAGGGAAAAGGGAGAGGCAATAGGACAGGAAGGGATAAAACTCCTTCTCTCTTACAGTCTACAATTTTCATTGTTTGCGGTGACTGATTTTAATTCACTCTCCAACTTCTCCATCTGCCCGACCAAAGTGGAGTACTGGGCATCCAAACTTTTAATCTTTTTCTCAAAGTCCCTAAAAGGGATAAGACGGTGGTTAATTAAAGGAAAAGATAGGAGAGTGAAAGAATTAAGTTCATCACTTCTGCCTCCTTAGAAGCAACAGTCCTTGCATTAAAATACAGAGAAATAATATAGTCTGAATTTTAAAAAAAGTATCTTTAGAGTGTTTAGCGAAAATCCTTAACTTTTTTAAACAGTTGTGACCGCGTTTATGCTAAACTCTGCGTTGTGATTGCAAACAGTGTGTCAATGGTGGAGAGGGATAAAAGCATCCCTTTTTGTCACCTGTGAGGCTCTCATCAGAAAGGGATACTTCCGATGGAAGCTGAGCAAGGAGAAAATTAGGCTCCTCAAGGAAGCAAAAGAAGATGTGCAAATCTGACGTGAGAAAAGGTACCGATCAAGGTGTTTGTGAAGTACAACCATTCATTACGAGCCGGAAACCACGACAAAGCGGTTATCGTACACATCAACCAGTCGAGTAAAGCTTTGTTGACAAGAGCGGCACAAGTTGGTGCAAATTTCTCCCCTCTACAATCCAAAAGTCCCTGTTTGACTGAAACACAGGCCAATTAACCCGGAAACAGTTTTTGCTCACCCGATGTACTGAGGGAACATCAAGTGACAGTGGGAAAGCGGAAGTTAGTGCATAAAAGTGGGGAGCCAATTTTACGGTACTATAGCATCAACTTACGATTTATACTTCCGGGCCTTTTCTGTCTCCTTGATGTACTGACCTGGTAGGGCAGTCGCCAAAACGCAATCCGCCTGAGGAGGAAAGGGAACGAATAAGATAGCAAACAATACAATTATCCTTTGTCCCTCTAAGATCCTTTTGAATAACTTGAAGACTCAACAGAGACAGCTGCAATGACACAAAAGTCGTTTGAGGGTTTTAAGCTACCACCCTTATTGCAAAGGCGTTGAAACTTCTTGAGTTTTACTCCTCATAAAGAGGATTAAGTGGGAGAATTTTCCAAGTGGAGAAAAAAAAGTGTCCCAAAGTCTGCTCCTCTTTCTGCTTCATCAGGTGATTTTTGGTTTAACTCCCTAAAATACCTCATTCATAATTGATTAAGTCCGTGTGCTGAGTGTTTGTGACACCGGGTAAAAACTTTTACTCCATTTGTCGCTCTCAAGGAAGAGTGGAGAGGATGTGTGAAGAAGGTTTTGTCCACTCTCACTTCACTGTTAATGCAGCCTATGAAGTTGTGGTGCTTTTCAAGCATGTGCTGGAGTCCGTAAATTTACCGTTCACCGAGAGGCGCTGAACGCCACCTCCTGAACACGGGATGCAGGACGGTGGCATTCCATTCCCTCCTCTCTAATGGAGTTAAAAGCTTTACCTCGCCAACTTCTTATCCTAGCATAAACAAGGATAAAAGTAACAAATTTACACTTCCTTGAAAAATGGGTCATTTAAGGCTGATGTGCTTAGCTTTGCCAACACAAAAAAGACGTGAGAAATTGATCTACTTGAAAGGAGGGGATGAGGAAGTCACATTACTTTAATCCAAAATTGTTTACAGAGCGTCTTCTCCCCCCTGTCTCCCTTTTAAGATGTTTTGGCCCTTTGAACTCCCTCCTCCCTCTCCTTTCCTAATTGACCAATCAAAATTCTTGAAAGATGTAATCACTACTTCTCCTTTATTAGACAAGAAAATGCATTGCGGCTTATTAATATTATTTTAAGAAATATTTCCTTCCTTTTAATGTTTTAAAAGCAGTGCTTCAAAAGGAAGGTAGCTTAAACGTTTTCTTCTGTGTCCACAGGAGAAGAAGAAAAAAAAGAGGCATTTCCAATTGGTCACTTATTTTAAAAGACCCAAAAAAAATTGGTGTCAAATAAAACTGCAGCTCTACACAAAGCAGCCTTCACCTCTCAAAGATGGTTTATTTTGTGGATTTTAAAAGGTAGGCGGTTTTTCGTTCCACTTTTTTTTCAAACGGACGGCTTACCTCTCCTCCCTCTTTGCACCCCTGGGGAGCACAAACCGACTGACCCCTCCACTTAAGGGTGTAAGACAAAGCATGCAATTTGCTTTTACTACCATAAGGATGAACTCGTTTTTGTATGCCCACTTGTTTTTAACATTTTTTGAGGCGTCTTCAAACAGGATGTCCACCCGCAATCGGTGGGACGGTCACCGAGATTGATGGGAGAGGATGCGTGTTGAACTTGCAGTTGTTCCTTTTACTCACTTTCACTCTGTTTAGTCGGAGTTGAGACTCTGTATGCTCCAAGCGAATATCATCGAGGAATTCTTTAGAGACGCGTAGTTGTTCACGACTCCGTTTGTTCTCCAGTCGCATCATGTCAATCTCCATAAAGGTCTCCTGATATTGCGTCTGCAATGACTTATATCGCCTCTCCATTTCCTTGAAAAATTTAAAATCAAAGGATTACTTTTGACGGTGTAAATTAGGTTAACTACTATTGAAGGGGTTTGTTTTTGGAGATCGGAGAATTTAGTGTTCCCTCATTTATTCTCAACCCTTGTCAATTACGGCTTTCGTTCATTCAACCATAAACAACTTACAGCAAAGATGTCGATGTCCTCTCCAAGCGCCTCCAACTAAAAAAAAAACCGAAGGAAAAGGTGAACCCTTTTAAATCGAATAGTGGTGTCAGAATATTGGAATTGCCCCATTCAAATCTACCTCAGACATGGGAAAACGGGAGAAGTCGCGTTTAAGGAGTTTTCTCTCCTCCCTCAGCAATGTTTCTTCATAGGAGAGAGTCTCTACACGCTCCTCAGTCTCCATAGCACAATTATACGTGTTAATTATCTGTGCACGCAACATCAACGGCTCGGTGACGGCGTTCTCGGGGAACTGTTCCATTTTCGACAATTCCAATTCTTGTCGCTCCAATTCGGAATGGCAGTACTTCATTAGGACATGAAGCTTGTTCACACTGTCCCGTGACCTTAAAATGCACACAAAAAAGGAGCGTAAAAATGTACTAAAAGACGGCTTAAAAGGTCATTCAGGGGAGCCGTATCACCACCACCACCATCGAGGAATCGGTGGTGACAGACTGCATTTTCCTTCACTCAGGTTGGAAGTGGGTGTGAGAGACTTGTCCCCACCACCACCACCACATTCATCTCCCCCGCCCACCCCCCAATGCGATCAGCACCTCACCTTGGCATCTGGCAAGCAGACAGATGAGAGTGAAAAATGCGATTAATAGAGGACGACGTGTCAGTGGCAAAGGAAAAAATGGGGATTGAAAGTTGAACAAAAGCTCTCCTCTTTTTTTCTGCCTTATTAAGAGTTTGAACACTGCAAGCTGTGCACCTCCATCTCAATTTCTTCTTCTTTTTATGGCAGATTTTTGGAGTGGATCTTCATTTTAGCAATTACTATTTTAGTTTGTGTCTCCTTTTTTAATTACCTTTATGCCTCCTTGGGTCGGTCGTCCTCCTCTCCTTCCCATCAACTTAAGCACTTGACAAACTGCCAATTGGATTTCGTCTGGATTCTCTTGCCCTACGATCAGCACCTAAAATGTCAATTCTATCAAATCGAATGGTGTAAAGTCCTGAGGCAGTTCATTTTACTTGCCGCCTTTGGCAGACCCGTTTTGTTGAAGCCTCCAAAGATCCATTTTCACCTTTCATTCTCAGTTGTCTTTAGTTAAAAAAAATTATGTCACCTTATCTTTATACGCGAAAGGTGAATGTTCGTAGATCGCAAAAAAAAATTAATGTCATTCATCATGAAGAACATTTCAGGCACACACCGCTCCACCCTCCTTTCCCCATCCTCCTGTCTGTCATGGCAACAAAAAATAAAACTTTGTCACTGCGTTAAATTTTTTTTTTTTTTGCAGACTAAATGACAAGCCAATGTAAACGTGGCAATGGAGTGCGGTTTACACGCGATTTGGCAAATTTCTTATTTTTTTAATGTTCCCCAAACCTTCCGTTCCTTCAAATCGTTTTTCTTTTACACTTTACTTTTCTTCATTCAATGGATAAGGAGGACACAGCAACTCCATCCAGAGGAATCGGCACTAAAATTAGCTTCCTTTCTCCACCTTAAATGATTGCCTTACTTCACCCCTTATCAAAGGTCGAGGTGAAAACAAAGGGATCAAGGGTGTTCCCCCCCCCTCCACCCCCCACTTCCCTAAAAATGCGATAGCGATAGGAGATAAAACGGTCGACGCAGATTTTATAAACTTTAAGGGCAATGATACCACTAAAAAAGGTCAACGCCTGTCAACTCGATCTTGGTAGTTTGGATGTCAACTAACAGGATTCAAAACAAAAAAAGTCTACAACTTGTATGAAGGAGGAATATAAATTGGCGGTCTACCCACCTTTTGAGGGCACCATGAAGTTTAATGTATCGAGCTTTGTACATGGCTGTCTCGGTGGCGGTAATTTTGCCCTCCAAACACAATTCATCGATGTGTTGAAGAGCAATTCCATGATTCACGTCCAATTGTGAGTCCATCGCTCCAATATTCTCCTCGTCGGGAGGCTTGGCGATGAGAAAGGGTGTCATCTCGTCATCATCGAAAATACCCGACATCCCAATACTTATTCCTACGGGTTCTACTTTCGCCTTCTAGCCTGGCACCCTCCGCTTTTTCTTCTGCACGACAAGTTGTGTCAGAAAGCCGTGCACGTGTTTGTGTGCCACCCACTTGTCACAGTTCTCTCACTCACTTCTGCCTGACGTATTGATGAAATTCAAAATACAGATGGCATGACGTGATCTTTACACCTTGGAGAATTCATTTAGGTTGCTAAAAAGTCTATTCACACGAAGTTGCTTGATTTGCCATTTTTGTTATTCGCTTTTCAAGGTTAACAGTTAAGATTGCCTGGCAGTAAAGTACATGTACTGGTGAAGAGGGGCTACGGCGGCATTTGTTCAAGGGCAACGCAGAAATCATTGATGCGAGGCCAAGAATGGCATTTTATGCATTTTCCCTACTCCTAACAATGGATGGGAAAGTAAGGGAAGACTTAATGAAAAAATGCTTGACACTGCTTGTTACGATGGGATGCATTTGATGGAAGTGACAATCAGTTTGACAGGGACACTAATGAGTTCCCTCGCCCCACTCACTACACTCGACTTCCGCGAGGATAAGAATGGAGGCCAAAGGGCCCAGACCTCTTACCATAGCAACCGAGACCTTTGACTTTCTCATCTACCGCCTTTTTTACTACGCTTGTGGGTGTGGTGTGATTTTAAAGGAAATTTCGGTCCCGAGAAGCGCACGCTCATCGGGAAAGGGGATAAACCTCCCCACCACAGAACAAAAAACGCATAAATTGTTTAAACAATGGAAAGTGGAAAACTCGGGTCTTTAGCCTCATTTTTTTTTGTCATTGAGGGAGAGGCTGAGCAACCCTTCCTTCAATCCCCTCCCACTACAATGGGACTTATAAATTGTCAGGGTAAAATTTTGGGAAATGGATACAGTGGGTTCTGGTGACCTCCTAACACGCCTTGGATGGTTTCCGTGCCTCATTTTTGCTAAATAGAAGTATCAACAAACAATAAAGTTGGGGGAGGGGGTGGAAACCATGAAGAGAGGGACCAAAAGGGAGAAAAAAGACGTAACCCTGTCCCAAATGTCAAGACAGGGAGAGACAAATGACAAAAAATTGTCATTTAAAAGTTTAAACCACGCGGAATGCTTAATGACAGTTGTTTGAGGCGCGGTGAATGTTGGTGGATGGGGGATGCATGTCAAGCTAACAAAAAGTAACCAGAAAAAAAATAAATAAAGGAAAAAATGTTGACCATTAAAAAATGGTTAACGAAATTTTCAGTAGACTGCTAAAAACGAATTCAATGGTAAACCACATCCAACTTATGCTATCGTATGACGTGTGTGAAGGTAAAAAAATGCAGACACAATCCTTCACGTTACATCTCGAGGATGTGTAAGACAATGGCATACTTATTCCATCCTCTCTCCATCGCCTGCCCCTCCTCCTCCCTCCTTCCCTCACTGCCTCACCCACCACCTGAAAGTGGGAAGAAATTCCTCCGTCGGGAATACCAATGCGAGAGGAGAGGTTGAGAAATGCAATTTTATAGGAAGTGAGACTTGAGGACTTTAATTGGAGGTGGTGGATGATGAGGCTAAGCTCTTCTGTCTACGTCCTTTCACTTCTGCCACTCTTGAGACAGCCATCGTACACTCTTCTTCTGCGTCAATCACACCTCGACCTCATTTGTTTATTGATGGGAAGAGAGTTTAGCTAGCCTTTGTTTTATCCAACAAAAGTGCTTATTAACCAAACGGTCAATTGCCTTCATCTGTTTTTTTTTTGCTCGTGTACAAAAGACGCTCTTGAGAGATGACTGAGGCTTGCACGAGTGTGATTTGCCCCAAAAGTGTGCAATTTAAACGCAACAATGGAGGCGAGAGAACGAGGAGGAGGAGGAGGAGGAGAAGGAGAAGGAGGAGGAGGAGGAGGAGGAGGAGGAGGAGGCAGACAAAGTAAACACCTAACTAGTTTAGGTCTTCACCTCCCTTTGCCCTCTCCTCTGCCCCCTTCCTTCCCCCCTCCCCCTCCCCAGCCGCCACGCATCACCAACGGAATGGATTTTCAGGCTTACCCTACATAAATAATACATCTCTTAGTTGGGATTTATTACCTCTCCTGGGAGGAACAAGTGGAATCGTGCTGCTAGTTGGAGATGGAGTTCATCCAACTCAACCGCCTCGTGTAAAAGTACGAATTTAAAATAATAATAAAAAAAAATATGCATGTCTTGAGTAGTGGGATTGTACATGCACATCACATTTACAGGCAACGCGGATGACTTTAAGTCTGAAAATCGAGTCAAGTCAGTCCCAAATCGCTGCTTCCTGAGCTTTTGCTCTAATTAAGGCGGTTGAGAGGCATTTGATGCACCTCATCACACACAATTCGATTGCATTGTCTTCTCTCTCTCCTCCAGAAGCAAAGAAATGCCGAGCATCACCTCACAGTCTGATTTCTTTCTCAACTCTTGAAGTGGTCATGTGATTACTCATGTATTTATTAATTCTTTTGCCTCACTTTTTGAGTAACTTCATCCCCTCGTTAATGACCAAATTACACGAAGTTATGACAAGGAGGTCATAAAAAATCTGCCCAGATGAAAGTGGACGATACTAGGGTGGACATTTGCCCCACTTTTATTATCCTCCCTTTCCCTCTACTTCGGTCGCAAATTCGAATCCTCAGAGGGGACAAATTTGAACGCCAATTTGAGGGCATGTTATGGCAAAACAATTTTTAACCCGTAAATAATAAAATTAAAACTAGTTTTTTTATTAAAAACAAAATTAAAAAGGACCTTGTCTACATCAGCCAACATCTGATGTCCTTTCACTGACAACTGATTGGCTCCACTTGACCAATCTGTCATTACATATGACACATATTCGCGTATTTTGGTGACAAGCTGTTTCGGTAAACCGATCATGCGCAAAAGAGACTCGCATCTTCCCATTCTCTGCCCTCGGCCAATTCTCAAATGCCGTATTTGTCGAAAAAAAAAAACCAAAAGTTGTCATTCCATCAGTCTTCCATTACCGCTGTCTCTCTCCGTCTTTCCCCCTTCCAGGCTGTCCAACCTCGTCAATGTTCAAGAGAACACCTTCATTCTCCTCCACAAATTAACCAACTTTGGTCAATTGGTAGGAACACCTTAAGTGACAGGCACTGTCACATTTAATTATCCACTTCATTCACCTTTCTAGACTCGATTTGACCAATTGAATGCGTCTCCTTTTGGCGCCCTCCTAAAACAGCGGTGTGTTGCAATGTGGCAGACAAATAACTTCCGTTTCATGCATCCCACCAAGTGGGTACCACCGAAATATACTTTTCAACAACAACCGCTTTGTTGTGTGTTCAAGTGGAGTGGAAAAAAGCATTTTGAACAGAAAGTCATAGAAAGCAGCAGCTCAATTGTTGCCTCACATTTTCACTAGGTCAACAGTGTTTCTCTCTTTGAAGGGAAATTCACTTTCTAGACGTGTACTATCGCCATGGTTTCGCATGACCTTGACGTACATTAAATGAAGAGATAGAAATGTCGCTCCGATCCCCATTGCCTACCAATAATGGCATCCAAGTCTTGGGGGTCTGTGGGTGTACCCACCCATAAACCTCTTTAGTGTACGCAATACTAAAGCCACCGAGTGAATAAAGGCGGGACAATGTGGGTGAGGGAAAAAGGGACAGAAAGGAAGGAGGAGATGAGCGGTATATTACGCTAAGCCTCATAAAAGGCGTCTTTTGACTACATTTTTACGAGTTCTTGTAAAAAAGGAATGAACTAAAAGTTGGTGTGTTGTTCAACACAATGAAGGTTTATTCCTTTCCTTCTCTGTGGGTGTGTTTGTGTGTGTCTCCGCATATTTTAATCACAAAAAAAAAGACGCAGATGTGCCGGCATCAGCTTGTTAAAATGGCAATCCAACTCAATCGTTTGAGGCACTGAGATGAGGAGGAAAAAAGTTACCCAAAAATTCAGGGGTCTTATCCAAGACCCAAATTATTTTTTTAAAGTCAAACACAATCAAATGGAAAAAAACTTCCTTCGATGGTCATTTGATCATCCGATCCCTCGTTAAGTGGCAGATCATTTCCTTTAAAAAAAAAGATAAAAAAACCGCCAAATAAGCGGTTACTTGTGGATGGCCTGTAAGGGGATACTTCGGACGGTCCTACTTCCAAGTCCCCTTTGTGATGGACTGCTGTTTAGTATAGAAGATTTTCCCAAACTTATCCTTTTAAAAGTGAATTCTCCTCCTCCGCATAGGCAGGTTATAACAACTTCTTGTGCATAAGTAGTTTTAAAAAAAGATAAAAAGATGATTTTGAGTTTTGCTGTGAGGGACTGTTTAAAAGGCATGGCAAAAAGCCCAAGGCGATTGACACCTAAGGAAGTCATATGAAATTCTTATCCAAATGGACAATTCATTTTCACTTGGTTTTTCTATTTCAGTAACTTTGATTCTCGAAAGTGGCACCCTCCAACCCCAGAGAGACGAAAAATGTTAAACGAAACTCGAAAAATTGAACAGTTGTGATATCATTATAATCAAAACTCTAATTTTGCATAGTTTTGTGCATTATTTTTTCCTCTTTTTTGATTGATATTGTAAATAGAGAGTAGCGAATGAGGACTTATTAAAAATGTCTTTCGTATGCGGTGCTGTAATACCTGTTTAAATCTCTTTTTCCATAGAATTGGATTAAAATGAACGTGTTAATATCCGCCCCTTCCCCAACCCCCTGTACCCCCCTTCCGTCCCCCTTCCCCGCCTGGTACGTGTCTTGCAGGCAGGCAGTAGCAACAATGCCAGACACACATCTAATAGTTCCATTGCCTTGGCCGAGGCGACCAATGAGCGAGCAGGACTGCAACACATGGCAAACCAAAGCGGGGAGGAGGACGAGGCGGAGGAGGAGGTGGAGGAGGAGGAGGAGGAGGAGGGAGAAGAGGCGGAGGTGGAGGCAATGGAGGCGGTGGAGGAGGTGGAGGAGGTGGTGGAAGAGGAGGAGGCAAAGAAGAATAGGAGGAACAGAAGCATTTGGTGCCACTGTGCACTTGGATGTATTCCAGTCAAAGTTTGGATCTTATTACCTCTATCCTTGGTCACAACGACTGTTATCTAACCCACCGTCCACTTTCTCGTCCTCTGTATGACCACAAAGGCCTTGGATTCGATGCTTGTGCCTGTATGTGGTGTAAAACCTTCAAAAAATGGTCGCATCGGATATAAGTGAGTTAGTTTATTTTCCTTACCTTGCCTATTTGATTGCGTTTTGCCTATTTTGAGCTGCACTTGTCTATGCGCCCCGCCTTACTTTGTGAGTTCCTACTTTATTCTCTGTAATATGGAAACACTTTAAGCGATTTAAACGGGGTTAGACGGCGGTCAGGCGGAGGCCTCTACGGTACCGCCTCGCTTCATGCTGTCTTGCTCCACCTTACTTGCCTCCTCCCGTCATTTGTTGTTAACATGTCTGAAAAAAAGATTCTCCTCGTGCAGTTGTGCGTTTCTTATTAGGTGAATTTTTTGCCTTCCATTTTTAGGCTTTTATTTTAAATCTTTTTCCAAAGAAGTAATTCTGGGCCAAAAAAAATGCTAAACTGATGCGAAGACTGATGATGAGGACAGAGCAGGGACAGAATCTCCAAAACACATTTCATCTTATCGAATTAAAAAGTGGAAAATATAAATCAAAATTATTTTGGTCACAATTTTTACATAGACAAGGGAGCCAGAGAGGGGATAAATTTTGTGGTTCTCTCACTTTATTGCTTCAGCAAAGTTATTTTATTTACCTTTTAGGGACTTTTTTCAACTTTCACTTTTTATAACGTTAGTGGACAAGATTTTTATTTCAAAGTGTCAAAAGTAAGGTAAAGTTTAATGGTAGACGTCGAGGCTCCTTTCTCCTCTCTCTTGCTTATTTGTACAAGCAACGGGCTTGGAGCAAAAGGACCACCCAAACTCCTGCTCTGATGATTTTAAGAAGAAAAAAATTGTAAAGAGTGTGATTTTATGACAATTTTTTAAAAAAAAATGACTGGCAGAATTTGTTGTTTGAGTGCTCAGTAAGGGCGAGCAGCGCAGTCCCTCCAGTGCGGACGTGCTTCGCCCCGTTGGCACCGTTCGGGCGCCCAACACCGCACACCGCCGCGGAATGGTGGTTGTCTGCCTTTACAAAAAATTTTTTTTTTCGTAAATAGCTTTTGACTCTTTGATTTTGTCAAAAATTTCAAAGCAACTTCAATTATTTTGAAATGCTGCAAAAAAATGTATACTTGATATTTGAAAGGATTTTACAGGTCTCCAATTTATTTTTTTCTTAATTTGTAATGCATAAAATAAAAAGGTTTTGCACTGTGAAATTATTTGGAGGGAAAAAAGTTGCTGTCAGAGGACGTCGACCACTTACCTGGTTCACAAAATATGCATAAAATATTTGTTTTTTTTTATCTTGGGGAGAAAAAATGTAAATAGGGAGTCACAAACTTGTGAAGGCACGAAAATCCGAACGCAAAACGTCAAAAAATTTCCCCATCGGTGTGTGTGTGTCCACCTTTTTCAGCAATTTTAAAAGCGTGTGCAAGAAATTTCAAACTTTTGCAGTAAAGTAAATTCGATGAAGTGTTCTATTTGCCACCACAACACCTCATTGGAAGGAAGTATGCGGTCTGTTGTAAGTCCTGATGCCTCCCTTAGAGGGGGAAGTAAAAGAGGTGGGCGATGAATAATCCATCAGGCCATACATCAACGTCTCACCTCCGGCTCCCTTTGTGTCCACATTCTTTGTTTCGCCCTTCCCTCCGTTGTGCACGAATAGTCCACGTAAATGCACAACAAATGTGCAAAGGAGGAGGAGGAGGAAGGAACAACAAGCCAAAATAAAAAAAAACTGTTACAAAAAGAGGTAATTTTAAATTGCCACACCTTTTCATAAAAGCTCTTAAACAAAACTTTAGCCAAATTTTCGGTCTTTGGCTAGGGGGAGAAAGGGCAATGGGCAGAGACACATTTAAAGCAGCACTTTCATATTTCTAAAGGACACAGGAGTCATATATTGTAAGATTTTGTTGTATTTCTTTAAAATTAAAGGTACAATCTATCAAAAAAGAAACAAATAAATCCTTCGTCAACTCCCTTTCCCCTCGTACCCCACCTTTCCTTGTGTGCAGTCTTCGCCTTATGCGTTTTACCCACCCATCACCATCAAAATCCCAATTCAAGTGGATTGCCTTAAGCAAACAGCTTTTTTTTCCAAGGTGCTTCCCATTTTCTGGCTCCTCTCACTGGCAGGAAGGTGGAAAAGTAAGAAAAATTTTCCTTCCTCTCCTCCGATCAAATTCATTGTCGTCGGCTTTTTTTCCCCGTCTTTTCGCCTCCTTCTTCTCATTTTGCATTACGGTTTTGTTAAACGAAAAAAAAGAATTGGTTTTGTCTGGGTAAAATTGTAGGTGCACTCTCTATCCCGGATGGATTTCAACCCGCCGTTTCCTGCGTCAAATGCAGAAGGACAACATCGACTGTGCCTTGTTGCAACAGGAGGCTTGCCACAGAAATGAAGTCAAGTTCGCCAAGGGGTGAGTTCTCGCGTCAAGGTCTTTTCGATTGCCCTTCCTTCCATTTCCCCTCTCTCCTCTTTTTTCTGCTTCCTATCGCATGAGGTAGTGTAAAAACTGCGGCGGCTCACCTTCCTCTACTCGGCAAAGAGGCGATTAGAAGGCGGCTCCAACTTTCTCCTTTTTCCAGAGTTTAAAGTCTAGTTGTTTAAAATTAATGACATTGGATTGTCGTGGAATTTCGACTCTCTTCCTTCTCCACCCACCAGTGATATAAAACGAAGTTTCCATTTTCCCGTTTGTCTGTAACCCTCTGGTTGCTTAGTTTCAATAAGTAAAAAAGTGAAAAAAGTTCTACGACTCCTTCCAATCGGACAGTTGAAGTCTCAGCGCTGTTCAAAGTTAACAGAAATGGATGAGTTGTGGGATTGGAAATCTGCACCACAGGCACTTTGTGGTGCCCTTCCTGCCCACCTCCATTTCCTTCCCACCTCCATGCATTTCGATGCAACACTTGCATCCACTTCTCTCCCCTCCTCGCTGCCCGAATTTGATTATTTATGCTTTAATGTAACATTTTTGTGCGACCTTGACCTTTTATACTGCTTTAAATACTGTTTATTACAAAATCTTTATGAAGTAATGTAACAAACTTTTATTCTTAAAAGAAAACAACCTTTCAGAAAACTAAAAAGTCGAGTGCTCCACCTGATGCGTGGACCCGTAATTCAGCTGATGATGTGCTCCCTAGTCCTCCTGGATGCGCTCATCGTGACTGCAGAAATCATCCTTGAAATACATGCAGTTAAAGGTGAGTCCACTTTGCTCCCCATTTTCTTCTCTCATTCCTCCTCCTCCTCCTCCTTACTAGACAGTGGATAAACACTATTTTTGATTTCGACTTTTTAAGCCTGTTCTCAAACACCACTTATTTATGAGGCCAAAATTAAAAGGGGGCAATAAACCAGCAGTAGATTCAGTTATTCTTTTTAAAAATTCTAAAAAAAAGTTTAGATACAACTAGTTTGCTATATATGATGCGGCCAACTAAAGACTCCTTCATCAGTCGTCATTTCCTCGTCCCTCGAGATGTCTCCTTTTTCACATGAACGAATTTTATTGGGACTAGGAATTACAGGTAGTTCATATTTACGACTGTCGATACAACTCTTCAGAAGGCATTTATAATGGGAAATTTTCGGAAGAAAATGAGCTAAACTCTGTGGCTAGAAGATCACTTCACATTGTGGAGCGGACGGACAACCCACTGCAGACCTTTGAGTGTCCACCAACCTCTCCACTGAGGTCACAGTTTTGAGCCAAAGTTTGCTTTTAAGCCTTAAGGAGGAGGGAAAGAAGGAAAGGATAAGGCGCTTTCCATCAAGTTTGTCAAAACTCATGGGATATGATTTGATTAGCTCCTATCAGACTCATTATAATTCCGTGCTGCAGATCTTCCCCACCCTCTCCCTCTTCCGCTCCACAATCTTCTCCTCTTAGCAAAAAGGAAAAATTAAAGAGAAAGAAGCAAACCAAAATGTTTACCGCTGAGCGCGACATTTAAACGCGGCCACAAAGATGCGGCACATTTTCTCCCTCCGACATAAAATAAAGCGACGAAAGGTAATTAATAACCACCATCGAGTCAAATGATATCCACTACAACTTTAAGACACAGAAGGAGAAAAACAAATAGAAAAAGCGAATTTTTCCAATCACTTTCACTGCCTTCGCCTTCTCCCCCATTCTACTACGAAGCTTGAGATGATTTGATCATTCGTTCCAATCTACTGCCTATCAGATGATGCGTGGGTAACGTGTGGACACGCACACCCTCTGCCGATCCCCTTCAAGCGATAATTCGCAATCAGGAGAAAATGTGGGCTACTCTAATGCAAGTCAATGTGCTACCTTGAAATCCCTATTGAGGGGCGAGTTGTAGGCGAATGACCTCCACCTCCTCCCATCTGGCCTTAGTGACAGGACGAAACAATTAAAACGTCTGTGGTAGGCGTTATGGTAAGGCATGGATGAAAGTAGGCCCTTTGATTGCCTGCGTCTGAACCGGATCGAGAGGAGGAAGGGGCATGATAAGTCGGGCGACGGCAATTGCTATCACAAGTATTTTAGTGCTGAAAGGTAAACTTGAAAACATAACTTGGATTCCCCACTTTCCCCCAGTCTATCACATGACATCCAACCACACGCCAACAACAACCAAATAACTGCATAAACATGAAATTAAAGAATCAAGGTGGGGTGAGGAGGTGCTATGCAGGCATACGGAGCAAGGCGGGGGAAACTCCAATCACCGTTTTTACAAGTTATCAATGAATAATAAACTTTGTTTTAATGAAAATGCGCCACTCCAATTTTGCGTTTTTCTGATATGGAAAAATCACGAAAACTTTATTTTTAGCCACTTTTCCTTGGCTCGGTTTTATTGTCTGAGTGTCTGAGAAAAGTTATTGGAGAAATAAGGGAAAGCGTGAGACATTAGCACTCACCTCAGTCCTTCCTCAAAGTGGAGGTCTTTCTCGGGATAAATGAGTATGGAGTGGGTTCTAGGGCTTTTCTGACGGATTTACCAGGCCTGGCGGGTTTTAGACACAAGGTCTCCTAATGTCGTATTACGAGGGCAGACAAATTTTAGCCGTAATGTTGTCTAGCCCACAACAAATACGCCAACACAGGGAGGAGGGAAAAGGGTTGCCCCTTGGCTGATAAATTGTACATGCCTCAGGAATGTGGGCTATTTGCTGATGTGAAAATCAACCGAAGTGATGTTTGTTTGCGTACTGTTAAGATATCAAAGTATCAACACCAAATTGTCATCACTGGACATTCAGTAAGACGCTTTTTTGTCCAGCTGCAAAAAGATGTCTTTTATGAAATGGTGGCAACTGACACTCCACCGTCTAGACTAAGGCTTTCCATCTACCTCCATGACGGATGCATAGGTCACCATTAACCACCGTTGAAAGGAAAAGGAAAAGTTCTTTTGATGCGCTTTCTTCAACAAACGCCAATACCGCCTTCGGCAGGTGACTCATCGCTGGGATCAGATTAGTAACCTAAATTACTCGGCTCTCAATGGCACGCTCTACCACCAAGTACCACGTCTCCCCTAATTTGTATGAAACAGTTTCCCAGGGATTTCTACACATGTTCTGACGCTTTTGGCCCTTTTACAATGCAGATGGGAAGAAAATCATGATGCAGAGCCAAACGAATAATACGATTCACTTGGGTGCTTTATAATGCATGCATATAAACAATTGCGTGCACCGCAATGACGTCCCACAAACCAGAAGTCAATGCGACGAGGCGTGTCGGCATAAATTCACATAGCCAAGTCAATCGTTTTGTTAAAGTAACATTTCGTATCCCTTCTAAAAAATGAACAAAATGCCCTTGTAGATTGTCAAAGTTGATGAGATAAAAAGGCCATTTAGTTGGATGCGGTGTTTTAAACTAAAATCCTTTAGAAATGTTAAACTTTGCAACGAAACTATAGGCAACAAATTTTCGCTAGGTTTTTATGAAAAAGTCGATACTTAATGCAAATTATGTATGAATTAAAAAGGTAAAAGGCAGTGCTTTTGTTCCCAATATAAAATTTTGTCGTTGTTGAACCCTCCAAATGACCTATTAAGATGACCCATTTATTCGTACTGCAACTGTGTTTTATTGTTTGATTCTTGCACAATTCTCACGAACATCAACGCTAAGACTCGGACACATTTAATCAAATTTAGATGACTAACAAAAAATTGCACTTTAGATGATTTAGTTAATCATTTTCTTAGTTAGCAAATTTACAAACAAGTGTTATTTATTATACATAGAAACAAGTATTTTCCGTTTATAACAGTAATTCTTGCCTTTTTGATTTTCACGGGGTTTTTTCTAGAGCCCTATTTATTAACTATGTCGCCCTTGAGATGTGCGCGCTTTTTAAAAGCAACAGATGATTTATCTGCTGAACGGGTCTCTTTGAAATCCTCACGACTGTTCAATGTAGGATCTGAGGGAATGCAGCCAAACCTGAGTGACCAATGAACGGGCTTCGTCAAGCTTATTATAAACCAGGAGAGCGTGTCTGTTTTGGTCGAGGGAGCACACAAAAGTCTTCGACTCTTTCACTCTAATTGTTTTAAAAGAGGTTTAAATTCCATCAACCTGAGGTATTCAACTTTTTCGATGGGTACTTTAAGAATGGAATTAGTGACAGAATTGTCAAATCATTGCAAAAGCTCATCAACTTGAAAATTTTTCTTTCTAGAAGATTTGCTCTTGGCAATCGTCTTTGCAATGTCTCTTTTTTACCTTCAAGCTGTCACTTTACTTGAGGTTTCCTTGTTGTCAATAAAAGGTCAGTGAATATCAAGGGCACAGAGCGGTTGAGGTGAAGCAGCATATTTTGTTGTCCACTTCACTTTAAATCTTTTCACGAATTTGTTTTGTTTAGGGCAGGGAAGGACACTTGTCTTCCTCTCAGATGTTTCCTTGATAAAATCTCAGATAGTATTTTCCCACCTGTTGGACGAGCTCTCCTTGGATGAATACATGCACGTAGGCCAAGGTCGGTAGGTGGGAGAGGACAAAGGAGACCAAATTTCTTGGCTCTCCCACCTCATGCACTTCTAAACTGACAGGTTCTGGAATGTGTCCTTGAACTTACCTTTGGCGAATAATAGATAAGGCCTTTCATTGCCACCAGTGATTCACCATTATATTCAAACTGAATGACTCAACAACCTTTTACTCGGATTTATTGAAGTTCCAAAATTAACTCAATTTAGCTTCATAAAACGGGCAAACAAGATTGTCATGTCGCATTGGCTCTTTGAATAGGAACTCAATGGTAGAAGAAATCTGTTGCAATAGCGGAAAAATTGCGATGAACTTTTACCCAACTGTTCGGTAAAGGAAGGAACTGTGGGGAATTCACATGATCAGAGGAATGCAAGCGACTTAAAATCGCATCACATCACCTATCTGCCCTAAAACTTTGCGTCACTTATTAAAATACTTCTATGTTTTACTTGGTCTAGCCGAGAAGAAGATATACGAATATGAGCGGAGCCATTTAAATCACAAGATGTACCGCTACTACTGCACCAGTCACACCGACCCGGAATCCGTCTTCACTCCTACAACGCGCGAGGTCTGTTGTCAACGTCCTGTCAATCGTTCAGGTGTGGAATTTGAAGCTATCCCTTCACCTTTTGCTCTCTGTTGTCCCGCTCGTGGCGGCTCTGACTGCGGTGGTACTGGAGGGCCAGCAAGAGGACGGTTGTTCACTGTCTATCACAGTGTCTCCTCTCCCCCGTTGGATCAAATGAGCATGCACTGCTCTCATCTCACCTGCTGCCTTTCTCAGTTGGGTCGCCTGATGCAAAGTCCACTGGAAGCGATGGGCGAATCGGGCAGCTGTCATTTCTTTCACACAATCGCCTGTATCCTTCACTTTCTTAGTATTCTCATCCTCTGCATTTTTGTGATCCAGTTGGCTGTGAAAGTGGTCTGCATGGGACGGGCCTTCTTTCGGTTAAAATTTGAGGTAAGTCGACTCCTTTGTCAAGGTTATTATCGAATGCTGTTGCACCTAGGAGCTGACAGAGCACTACTGTCGTATATACTGCCTTTAAGCGATGACTAGTAGCTCGGAGACCTCATTGGGCTATTAAACGGTGTCAGTGAAGGCTGGTTTAGTGTTTTCCTTTCATCCGGCGTAAATCACTTTGCGGACCTCCAATGGGCAACTTAATTTTCCAAATGATCCCGCCTGCCGTGTGTGGATTGTGGAATGCAGACAGCGTTAATTGCTTAAAAGAAAGGCTAATGTACCAAAGGTGTGACGGTACAAAAACAGCAAAGTTGATGCCATGTGATTTAAAGTTCCCCTCAACAGAATAGGTCGCTGAAAGCCAGCAAGCTCTACTACATACTGCCTTAGCAGACCTAATGTGTGTGGCACACACATAAAGCCTGCGAGCGTGGCTACCCTCTCGTGCGACGTGGACAAAGTCAAAGGGGATGAAGGGAAGGGGGGAGAAGCGGTAGCGCCAACCCGGACCAGGGTGGAGGGCTTGTCTGCAACCTCAGAAAGACAAATTTGCGTCGAGGATTCCAAAAGATTGGTGAATGAGTGTAGGAAAGGGTATTTTGGAACACTTTTCATCCTTTTGATAAAGGCTTAAAAGGCTGAGATCTCACTTAGACCAAGATTAGTGGAAAAACCGTAAATGCTCAAGAAAATGGAATAAGGTAGAGTGCCAAATGCTTCAAGCTTAATAACTCTGTGTGCATACCACGTTGACATTAGGGACTCCCTCATTCGCCTGTTTGACCTTTTGCTTTCCCCAATTTGCCTAAATGCACACCTCAGTTCACGGCATTACACCGATTTCCTATTGTTGAAAGGAAAAGTTGTTTTGTGGAGATTTTGCCAAAACCCACGCAAATCGGACCCTACCTTGGCATGATTCAATATGCTTAAAATCTGATAACAAATTAAGGCACATATTTGATCGTTTACATTTCGATACACATCGAAGTAGTAAACTAGTGAGGTTTCGAGGAGATTACGCAAAATTTATGACTGATGTTTATGGAGATATTAACGAAATTCTAAGCAAATTTCAACCCTAAATTAGGTGGGGTTAGAGTCATCTGGTTAAAAACTAACCTTTAAAATATACACGCAAAGAAATATCCGCTCACTTATAGCTTTTAATATTGAAGTTAAAAATTAAAGGACTTTCCAAAAGCAAGCATTTTAGCAAGGCAGTAAATATCAAATTTGGTTTAAGTTACCAAACTGTTCGCATAAATTTGTAAAGAAATTTAAGTCCTAAGAGGGAATTCGAACCTTTAGTTGTTTACAACGCAGCACAAAATTAATTGGGTTAATTTATCCGTCTTTTGGATTATGAACTTCAGTAAATTATTTTTAGTTCCCCTTTTAGACATTCGTTTCATGTAACTAACCCTTAATTAAATTTTCAAGGTCGGTGCTTTCTTCTCGAAATCCTAACTGACGTTTTTCTCGAAAAAAGCGGTTGTGGTCACTAACTTTAAGTCTGATCGAATCGCTGATTCCGTTTTCTGACAGATAAATCACTCGATCTGTCGACGGAATTCTCCAATTTGGTTCGCCATTCTGTTCGGACTGATGATGTGGAAGGAGGGGTAATCGCAGACGAAGTAGGCAAGTCATAGTAAAATGAAGGAACTGATAAATGGATGGGCATTTAGACATGCTTTACGCTGGTTGTCTGAGCTGATGGAGGTGCGATTATGTGAGCGCTTTAAACGATAAGTGGATAAAGTGGATCCGATTATCGAATTTTGCTCGTTTCTGATGTTTCTCGGGGTTTTGTGTCTGTGTCTGCGGTGTTTGCATTAAATCCGTTCTGAGGGAACCAGTCGTCTACTCATTTAGGAGGAACTAAGTTAATCCTTGTGAGCTAGACGTTTGAGGTTGCCATCGTTATTTTAAAAGTTTGAGAAAGACGTTCTTGAGGCCTTGGCTTGACTACACCGATAGTGGAACTTAATGAGCTGTTGGTATATACTGTTTAGGTCTTATTTTTATATATTTCTCCATTTATAGATAGTGGATGGTATAATAATTATCATATCCCTCATCGCCGACGGCATATTTGTCTACATTGCTTCGGAAGAAATAACCTTGATCATCGTATTCCTTCTCTGGCGGATAGTTCGGGTGGTCAACAGTACGTTCACCTCTACGCTGCTTGTAACCAACAGCTTGTTTTCAAAAGTAGCGATCCTTGTTTGGATCATTTTAGGGGAGTATAGAAAATGCTCCAACTTTTCTACAGTTATGTGTAGCGAATTATAGCTAAAAATTTCATAAGACTATTCCAAATCTCCACGGTAAGGTTGTTTTCGATTATAAAAGTAAATAGAATGAGATCCCTGGAATTTTCAGCTACAGTGTGACGAAAACGACTGATTAATTTTTTAATCACAATTCCAAATTTGCGATATGTAAGCGATCTTAGCTGTTATGGTGATAAAGGGTTAAAAGCTTAATGATGCTTGCTGGCCATCCTTTTGTTTCTCCGTGCAGGCCTTCTAATGTACGAGAAACAGAGGAATGAATTTCGTATTCAGTTGCAAAAAAGGGCCCGGCGAATGTCCGAGCTGAAGGTGGAAGCTCTCAATGGAAAAATTATCCTTCTTGAGGTTAGCAGTTGCATTAATTCTTTCATCTGCAAAGGCGATGGTATTGGATACTATAGTACTGCACTATTTACTTGAACCTTTTAGGCAGCTGCCAAACAGTCCCAAATTACTCCTAAGTGACTTCGAAAATCAATTAATATTCAATACATCTCCTTCTATTTCCAATGAATTTTGTGTCTTTTTGTGCTGTAGAAACACATCGACAACCTCGAGAGCATGTGTGTCGAATTGGGAGTGCCAAGAGAGCAATTGCTCTTCTGTCGACCCACAAGTAAGCTGCTGTTTAGATGAACTCATCGCAGAGGAAAACATAACTTTGTGATTTATTTTTGTGGTCAACTTGCTCAGAAAATGTCGCAAGTCATGCATGTTGATGTGGCTTTTTAAAGTAATCGCACTCAGCTGGAAAAAACTTTCAGATAGGGAGATTGAATCGCATAATATGAATGCTATTGGAGGTTTGCAATAAGCAATTTGTAGCCACTTTTATACCCTTTAATCAATGATGGCAGGAAACTCAGGTCACAATTCCTAGAGCTGACATATATAATTAAACTTTGTTAGTCATATTCAGCCAATTTTTCTCGCGACTGACTCTGCGTCAAAGCTTTAAACCCGATACTTTGTGATTATAAGATAAATCATTTAAGTTAAGTAATCACTTTCACTGATGGGACATGGTCTAACTTCCGCTTCTTCTCCTAATGATATTATGCCTTTGTGGGGTATGTTAGTATTAGATTTCAATATCCTAATGTTGAACTTGCTGTGATGTGATGTCTTTGTACCTCTCGATGCTTTGTACTTGTGTCTTTTTTTGCACCAACATACGAAATCAAGTATTATAGTCAACCAGTTAGAAAAGTGTCGCCACTAGTAACGCTTGAGCCATGTAGCACATCAACCTCGCATTTCAGCGCAATTTAGATGATAAATGCGTTTGACACCTGTAGTATAAGACCTGTGTGCCTTACTTCCTGCTAAATTTTACTTATGCTAAGCATCCACTGGGTCTGTTTACCGTTTTCTTTATTTTTTGCTATATTGCTATGTTACTAAGTGTGTGAAGGCTTGGTCAGCCGATCGTACTTCATAAATTTGACTTTACTAGCATTTGAGGCTTCGGTTATTAGCGAATAAACTTAGGACTAAATAAAACTGGTGGAAGTTCAAATACCTTTGTGGTGATGCTAACTCAAGAAGATAAATGTTAACTTCTCTCTTGTCTGGACTTCAATGTACTGATACGCTTGCTGCTCTTATGCGGCAGACAAAAGCGCGGAATGACCAGCAAGGTTTATTCACCCAACCACTACCTCGATTCAACGCTAAGTGATACGTTTGAACTAGAATTAAAAATGCAACTGCCTTGCCTAGCGTTAGTTGATGGGCAATGCATTAAATTGTGGTGACCTTCTGCCTGTTTTTATCCAGTATCCAAATCGGGTAAAGAAGTGACAAAAAACGCAATCCGCTCAATGGTTTTTCTGACCTCGGAGATAATCACCCAGTTTGCAGTGGGAGTGAATCCCAAGACGCAGGAGACCGGTCCCAACCTCGGAGGTAGTTGCAGTGCACCTGGTGGCACCGCTTCCAGCTCAGCTAGTGCCCCACCGGCTATTGAGTATCGGCCGAGTGAAGGGACCTCAAATCCCAATTCTTCCATCAACTCATCCCCGTCCAGCAGTCCACCGCTTTGGACAAAGCTCAAACCCTCCTAGATTATCCTCTGGATAAGTGTGATGTGCGTGTCTTATAGGTCTACTACTTCCATATTGGACAGTACCGCCAATTCTGCTGTTTCAACGAAGATGGTGGGGATATATATACAAAATATACAACTGTCTGACTATTTTTGTACATACCTCTCCTACTGCTATTTCAGTAGTAAGAAAAAAGCATATTTGTTCGATGCTTGTGTTCTTTTCGTTTAATTGCGATCACCTGGTGTCCATCATTGACGCCAATCTGTAAGGAGCGACAACTGGAGTCGCATTTATCAAGGAAAGTGCGATCTTTGAGCAGTTGAGAGCCGAACCAGGCTCTGATTTTGGCGGTCCTCTACCCTAATCGTCAGCATAAATCAGTTGTAACACATTGGTCACCATTTTCATTTACCTTGGCATACATTCAGGAGCGATTTTATTGAGTGAAACTGTCATGTCCTAAGGAAGTAGTGCTAAAGGAGGCACTCTTTGTTCCATATTCCATCACAAATTCTTCTGCAGGCTTGTGCTTTTTTATCTCTTCCAAGTTAAAAGTTGTAAAACTTGAATAACTCTCTCAATGTTAGGAAAAGTTTAAGGTTAGAAATTCAGAAATCGGAGGTTTTGAGGTCTTAGGTAATGTCAATACATTTTTCCGCTCTTCCAACTTGTAAATCTTTTCAAACAAAGCTCTATGTTTCACATTTTCTGTTCCTGAAAAAAGTAGTCCTCATTATTCACAAGGGAAGTCAAGCAATGCATTCTTCCCCTTCCTTCCCAAGTTACCATCCAAAAGTCGTGAAATGGGATACCAGGAAGGGAGAGGATTTATGTTGAACCCGCTGAAGTGCTAATAGGCCATAAAAGTGGGCAAGGAGTCAAAACGTCAACAGAATGACTGAGGCACAAAAAAAGTGAGGAAATGGGGCTCTCTCACCCCCTTGACAGTCGGTTCGCCTTCTTTGACTTTCACATCGAATCGAAGAGATATTTTTTTCCTCCTAGCAGCTTCTCACGAATGAACAAGTATGCATTGCCGTCATTCCACAACCGAATTGCATAGCAGAAGGTATGAGATCATTTGGGAATGCATTACTCCTCCTTGATGCCAGTCATGTTGGGGAATGGTTTTTTTCAAGGACACTAAATGCTTTTTTTTGTAACCAACGTCCAAAAAAAGTTAGCCTCGATCCATTTACCATCATCGGAGGAGAGAGAGAAGATATAAAATGTGGTTTTGGAGACAGTGTAACACTATTGTGTGGTTAAAGACAAATCACAAATCAGTGACTCAAAATGACGCTGAATGGAATGGCGAAAACGGCACAGACGACGAAATCGGGGAGATTAACGACTTCACCTAACTAAACTTGGTAAAATAATTATCAATGCAAATGCTTTTGTTTGGATGAATTGCAATAATTTTCCTTCTTCGTAGGCAATAGGTAAAGCAGTTATCGGGAAGATGAATGCCGACTCGCTGTTTTTTTCCCATCTTCGTTCGCATCCTCCATTCATTAGTTTCTCTACTTCCCCTTTAATATCCTGCTCTCCAAACTGTTTGCTCGTCTTTTTTTCTGATTTATGGAGTGTGTGTTTAGTGGATGGGTTGATGAGAGTGGTCGGCTGTTTATTAAACAGTGCGATTACGCCCTGGTGGATCATTGACAGGAGAAACAGAGGGCATTGCTGAGCATAAAGAGAATGGTAAGGGCGCCTGCAGTTTGATTAACTTCCACGCTGAAACATTTGAAACCTCTTCGCATATACCATTAACCAATCAGAGGAAAACGTGGATAGAAGCGTAAACTTAATAATGGTTTAGAAAGAGACTCATAAAATGAGTAAAAATGGCTCTAAGCCGGAATGCCAATTATTTATGCCGATGGTAGTGTGCGCGAGGCGCCTGGACCCTCTCCTGCATTTAGGTGAGTAAGTAACAGACGTCAGGACCAACGAGGACGAGCCAGGACAGTAACACAAGATCTCGGTTAGTGAAACGGGTCGGACACCGCATCCAAATCTGGATCCACGTTTTAATCACGAAGGTATGGAGCAGGGCGTAGATGACATTGGAAGTAGAGCGACTAAAGGGCATGACCTAAAGTGGACTATCATGATCCCAGCCAACCAAGAGGATGAGTAGGATTTCGAAATCCAAACACCTCAGCAATGGTCTCTACAGCAGTGAAAGCCTTCGCTAGCTAAGTTCACATGGGAAAGAAACACCTTAACTGCTAGCTTGAGTCGAACATCGTTTTCTTTTCCTTTAAAAGAACTACATTTTGTCTCCTGTTTTATCTCGCACTATTTTGGTAGTTTTTTTAGAAAAATAAGGAAAGACAGCTGATTTGGTAGTGTTTGAACAGCTGATGACACAGCGATGAGTCACCCGGTCAGCTGATTTTTGGACTCCCTAATCGATAGTACAGAAAGTTAAAAGAAGGAACATGCCACAATGGAGGTACTCTCGGCAGCTACTGGGTCGCACCAAGAGGAGGTGGAATGGAGGTTCTCTCCGGTTATGCAGGTGGTGTTGGGAGCTGTCCTCAGCGACACCGTGAAGGAGCTTGCAATGCTTCACAAAGCCGCATCTTGTGGTGCTTCTGTGCTTCAAACCCTCCCCGCAGAGGAGGACAATAATGCGGAAAAAAATAGTGATACCTTGATTAGGGAACTAAATAGAATATTTTTCGAGACTCTTGTCCGTTTTGAACGGTGTCGTCGGGAGGATTACATTGCGTTGGAGGATGGATCGTTTCGAAAGCTTAGTGAAGATGAGAGTACTTTGCGAACATTTTTGGAGGAAGTGGAAAAGTTGATAGACATTTTTCAAATACTTGAGAGAGAAATTGATGTCTGGGGCACATTTAAGTCGCTGCGAATGCACTGTGACGGTAAACAAGCTGTAGTGGATATGCCCTTGGACATGGCCAAAACTATTATGGATAAGGATCAGATGATAAAGTTTATGCATGAAAAGATCCACGAAACAGAAAAACATTTTGAAAATCAGAGGCTATTTTATGACGAGGTAATCAGGCGGCTGAAGCATGAATGGCAAGAGGCTCGTCAATTAGCAAAGATGTCTTACCAGTATCTTAAGCAATCCTACAGTCAACGAGCTGAGCTTTACAGTATCATGTGTGATGAGGAGACCGGAGCCCTAACTGATAGCGCTCATAGCTTTAGACAACGTATTAACACTGAAAAACGCCTAATTAATGAGACTTCCAGTTGCCTGTTTGCCGAACTCGATCTGCATGCCAATCATTTAAAGTACCTCCAAAGCCTTACTAAGGTTGAAGAGCTCACATCTGAATTGGAAGCAATGACAGCCAGTCTGGAAAAGCTTTGCAAAGATCACGAAAAACTCAAAGTCGAGTACGCTCAGTGTGAACAGGTGGTATTGGATTACAAAACCGCAGAAGAGAGGAGACGACTGGATGAGGAAATTAACCAAAAAGTTCTGGTGGGCATTTTCCAGGTTCAAGCCTGGTGGCGAGCCATCATTGTAATGCGAGGCATCAAGGTAAAATCCAAAAGGCGGAGAGGAAAACGGCAAAGAAGCAAGAATGCTTAGTTAGGGCATTCACTGCGACTTAAGTTGATACATTGTATTGAGCTTATGTGTGCCCTACTTATAAGCTTTAAGTAGGTAATAAGAAATGTTTGCCATTTAAGGTGGATTAGTTGCCATCCTTAATCCAGCTCGATGATATTGGATGTGCTTTGAGTATAAACTGAAAGGATCATTTGTTTAAAAAACTCATCCGCCTTTTGCAGATTAACTTCCTTGGGGCATCAGAGGATACAATCAGTCCATTTCTGCCATAATCATTTATGTTGGTGGTAATAACTTGTGACTGCTTAACTGATGGGCAGTAAAAGGCAGTTTGAAAGCGTTTTCTTCATACTATTAAAGCCAACCGCCCACCTTAAAGCTTCATTGAATTTAAGTTCAGTGGTAGTGAACTATGTCTTCGGGTTCTAAACAAGTAAATGTGTTTACTCCTTGTGGGGATCTTTTGGATGATGTTTGTTAAAATTGGTATTTGGAAAGGCATCACTTCGTTTGGTTTGATTTTAAAATTATGCTTCCTTATCGCTAAACAAAAGACCACTGGAGTCCCCATATTAAGTTCCCTTTGGGGAGGCTATTGCAGGAATTTATGATGAAAATTGAAGTTAAAAGTCTTTACCGAATCTGTTATGTCCACGACTAGTCAAATTAAGCTGTTCGTCAAGTTTCATCATTGACACAATCCATTTTGTGGAATTGGGATCGCTGCAGCCTCTTGAGCTAGGGGTTTATGCTCGATGCGAAGGCAACAGAGAGGCATTGCTCTTGTCTTGAGGAGTCAGAACAAATGCAAACAGGGTGTTAAGAAATAGAAATCCTATTACCTAATTACCGTTGATTTGCGATGTTACTTATTTGTAATAAGAGATATTGTTTTGAACAAAGAAGAACAAATTCGGTTTATTTGGCTGCTTCTCCAAGGATTACTTTCTCGAACAACGCTTTCCACAATCCCTGCCACAGCTAGGAGGTAAACTAGTGAGGCAGACAGGCTCAACTGCACATTATTGCGAACGTTTACGCCTGCGTACGAGCGGTCGGTCAGTAGCTGTGCAATGGTTGGCCAGAAGTTGCCCGACAGTCAGATAGGCAGGCGCCCCACTGAACTTGTGGCCTAGCAGGAGGAGGATTGCCTACAAAATCCTTCCTTCCAGAACAATCCATTTCTCTTATATTTGTTTAACTCTAAAACACAAAAACATTACAAACACCCATTACCACCGTGATGCTGTTTGCCCATACGATTTTCCACTGATTATATCACTAATGCCTATCTTTAGACAGTCTGCGAGGAGAGTTTTCCCCCTCGAGAATGTCTAATTTCAAAAGCGGCTATTAATTATGCAGAGTTTGGGATGAAATATTCCATCCATTAGTCCCGCCTCCCACACCCTGTTTGATGTTATCACGTATTACTTTTACGGTTCCGGTTGCAAGCTTTCGAGCTGGCCCATACTACTTTTATGAGTAAAAGCTGAAAGGAAGTTGAGAGGCTTGCAGATGTGGCATAGACACAACTGATGCGTGTCATGAGCCACGAGTGAACTGAGATGCATACCCTGGCATCACTACATTTTGCTATGAGCCGTCGTGTTGGGGTAATCGGCTTCGACCTAACAATTTCGTAACATCATCAGCTTCAGAGGTCATTGCGCAAATTTAAGTCTTTTGGCTATCTAAATAAACAAATTACCAACGCTTAAAAGTGACAGAAAAATGTAAAGATCCTCGGCCACGTGGGCACCATGACATGATTTATGCATAGTTAAACAGCTACCTCGTGATGGTGGCAGAGTGGGAACATGCTAAGCTAAGTGAGTGGACAGAGTGTGAGGCAAGGCCTTTGAAACAAGTATTTATGGCTGGTTGGTAAGATGAAGAGAGAGAGAGAGCAGTGTCTCCACTTGAAATATTAATTTGGTCCATTTCCTAATCAAGTGTTGAGGCCTAAACAATTTCATGCTTTGAGGCACGCCCTGAGCCATTCATTAGACACTTCACCTACCCTTTCGCGGTGGTGATGCTGATCCATTAGTGACACACGGAGTACACCCAGGGGCAAGATTTACTTTCACCTCCTATAGCATTCACCATTGGTCCCTGAGGCTGCGATTAATTAATGAATCACTTTCTGATGTGGTTATTGCGTAGTTGAGCCGTCTAATGCTTGCCAAAGTCCAAAATGCGTGCCATGATCTCGGCTAAAGTTTTTTTCCCATTTAAGTGAATAGAACGAAAGGCTGTGTAAATGGATGTAGAAATAGCTTGTCCAATGGCTGTTAAGTTTGCGTCGAGGTTTTAAGTACGCGAAACGGATCTGGCATTTGATTGGCTGAGCTTGGTCACCAAGGTAACAGACGGCCATCTTTTGGTGTTTAAATTAACCTCAAAACTTAATGAATAGGGTGATTGAATGGAACCACTGGAAATGCAATTGAAATGTGATTGTGATGAGGCTAAACCTGGGTGACTGATTTGTTTGAGAAAAAAAAAAGCACTCCGCTAAGACCTACTTTGGATGACGCACAAAAGAGGGTGGGTTTGTGAGTCATTAGGGCTGACTAAGTGCCGATTAGGTCAAATACCCGGGTTGAATAGGCTGCTTGCCTCAATCACCCACTCACCCATTTTTGGCGCATTTATCACACGGCGTTCTATGAATACACGGGATGTGCACAACTTTTTGCCCTTTCGCATATTTTATGCGAAGTCGCCGAGTAAGTTGGACTCAATCTGTTTTAAAATGGTGCCTTCTTTACTCTCGTTATCTCCAAGCCTAAATTTGCATTGGTAGAACACAACCTCCACCTACCTCTTATTAGCCTCCTCTAGGCCTTACTGAGAATGGGGAGAGCCCGACCTAGAAATTACCTCTGGGTGGTTTGACCTCAGCACGCCAATTGCTGCGATTTGTAAGGTGATTGACTGGGTCAAGGACAGGCAGAGCTGTCACCTTCTACTGCAATTATAAAGCTAGGCTTGACCGAAACCAGGCCAAAAGGTCATTTGTTTCAAACCCCTCTTCCCACATTATGACTACATTTTAATGTGCCTTTTCGTTTTGCCAGTCTGTCTGCCAAAAGGATATATTAGATATCCCTCGAAGGGACCAATCCAATATTGTAAGAATTTGATAAACAAAGTGTTACTTCTGTCATAGCAACATCACATTGTGTGTCAAGGCTATTGCACTTAATCCCTCCCACTGTTGTAAATGCACAATCCATTAAATCTGCAGAGGCCACAATTCAACACTTTGAGTGCAGCAAATTTCACCTCCCAACTTGGTTCGTCTGATCACTGTTTTCGTCGCAAATTTTTTAGGCTTTGGGAGAACACAGCTTGTAGTAAAAGGGCATCAATTAAGCATCGGTAGGGTGAGGAGCGTTTTGGCCTTATCCGCTTACAAGTCATTTATCAAGTGAATGTGTTGATCGTAAATTAGTGGCACTTAAATGCTCTAAACTGTCTCATGATCCAATGCACACTAGGAAGTGAAGAAACAGATTCTCAGATGGAGATTAGCCTAAAATGTAATTATTTTATGCAGTGAAGGTGTCCGTGTAACAGGAATCACTAAAAGAGCACCTTATTCCCTTGACCAAAAAATGCGGTAACGTGACGCTGCAAAACAAAGCACCCACCATAGTCATGAACACTATTTACCAAGGCTAGCAACGAGTTTGAATGACTTATCCCGGAAGCTTGTTCTCCCTTGCTAAACGACCAACTTCAACCTTCCCCAACTGAGTTAGACCCCTAACGAGCAAATCACAAATGGGGAGGAAGTGGAGTGTAATTTATTAGCAAGAGGGAGAATAATGAGAATGCCACATTGCAATTAAATTACACATGATCAGTTGCTACGTGGTGATTAATTACACCCATTCTTGCGACTGTTGCGGAATATTACTTCACAGAGGATGCATGAACGATCACACGCAACCCAATGTCAACTTCACGAAACCACTTAGAAATCAGCCATCACGTACGCACTTTTGCCAGCAACATTACCTTACCCCATTTCCCAAAGAAAGTAGTTTTAGTAACCAACACCAAGAACCTCGGTACACATACATTCAATTTGAACTTAACTGAGGTTAGCCAACTTCCACACCTTCTAGCGAGAGAAGTGCTTTACAGATGAATTTATTACCTGAACAAATTTATCGCCAAGTTAACCAATAAGCAACTCACACAATTAGCCAATCACCGGGTTAGTTGCAATTGATTTAAAATCTCTCCACCAATTGGCCACCAGAAAGAGGAAGGATTATTGGTCCATGAATAGCCAATAGGAGAGCAAAGAAAACGAGTAAAAAAGGCGGTAAAGCAATTTTACTTAAGCTCGATGAAACCGTAGCGAAAAACCTCCTCTTCCCCAGTTAACCTTCGGTATAGTCCCGTTTCAATATGGTGGCCACCGATGTTGGAGAGCACACAACACCATCTGTACCCCACACAATTCTGACCCCTTCTCCAAGGTGTGCACAAAATGTCACTCTCTAAAACGCCATTCTTACCTATCTTCGCCGGAAAGAAAAGGTCGAAGTTATACTTACGGAGAGTCAAATGTGTGATTGTGAATGAGAATGGGGGTGGGAGTGGGGAGCCAATAGTGATATCATCGAGGAACACAAGACAGTTACATAGACATAATACATTTTGGGACGATAGACACAAAAAGAGATAAGAGAGCAAGACGTGAAAGCATCGGTTGGGAAGTATATAACCATATGTGTGTATGGGTGCATGTGAGCTCACATTCACTTCTCAAGCGTCAGCGACATCATCAGCCTTGTCACCATCACCGTTAACGCAGTCAACAACTGGCCTGTCAGCACCTCCACTTAGAGATGCATGTTCAACTCCACTGGCAGCGTCACTCATATTCCCCTCATTTTCAAGCTTATCAATGTCCTCAACTGTTTCTAACCAATTCAGCCATCGCATGACCTACAAGCCGAACAAAAGGCTATTTATACTAGAAGCCAGAATTAACAGGAGGTAGTTTTTTGAACCGCAGAATTGTCCCTATGTGGGGGAAAAGTGTTTCCTTAAAAAAGTGCTTTGGTAGTCATTTGACAAGTCTTCAATATAATGCGGCAAACATATTTGGACGTGGCATATAGTGCTGAAAAATTTAGCCTATTGCATATACAAGTCAAATTCTGGTATAAGGAACAGCTGTGATTAAAAAGAATAGAACGTGGACTTAGATGACGTCCATTTGCTCTGCTTATTGATAGGGAGGAGCGTTGATCGACCCACGAAGAAACTTAAAGGGAATACGCGGACTACGACGAGGGCTACCGTCCACTATCTTCCATTCTAAAGTCGCAGTGTGATGTGACGATGAGCACCAAAAGGATAGTGTTTGATTAGTAAAACTAGTTTTTCCACGCCATGAAGTGTTCAATTATTTAACAGTTCAACAATCTAGACAACTGACTTCAAACAAAGCCTGCCCCTTAGCCGGGTAGTTTTGATCCACCTCTTCACGCCAAGCGAGGAACGTCGTCTTCTCGACCAGATCAAACTCGTAGAGGTTTTGAAAGCATCTTAATGCGAAACCTGAAATGGGAGTAGATGGAAGACGTGATTAAGCTGCCTAGTTGTGCGTCTCTCGGGGACAAGCAGAGAGTATCCAAGACGTCTGGTTTAGCGACACAAGGGCGCTAAACATCCACCAACCGAAATGCTCCAAAAGGAGGCCTTCAGAAAAAAATACTAATCGACTAGCTATAAAGCAAACATTACTGGCTCGTCTTCAAATGAAGTGTGAAGGCAAGGGGCATGAAGACGCATTACCAGAAGATGGAATTAGAACAATTTGATGGGTAAAACTGTTTAAGATGTTCACTTAAGACGGCTAGAAAGCTCCCGCTGCGAATCTCCTCTGACAATGAATCATGAGATAATGAATTTACGAGATGAAATTGAGAATCCTCTTCTTGACGGTCAAACAAAATGAATGATGAGAGAGAAAATTCATCAGAACAACTACCGATTTTCTTCTTGTACAACAAACTCATGCAACCACCCTTGAGGCCCGCGTTGCTAGTTCAACAATATGTGGAGGACAACGAGCACAACAAGGGGCACGTAGAGAATGCTTGAAAATGCCAAGGCTGTCACCCTATACATTTTTTTTTCGTTTCAGGTTGCCAATGTAGTGTACGGTTGCATCATTTGTCGGTTAAAGCACCTTATCATGCAATGTCGCTGGTCATCCAAAGCACTAATGAAAGGCAGGGTTGTTTTCACTAAAATTCACCACAAAATTTTACCTGAAAAACAGACCTTAATCCCATCCAGAAATATAAAATGGCAGAGAAGAGTAGAACAATTTGGAAAACCGATGAGATTCTCACCTTTAGGCTTGTCTTTTTCATTCCAAAAGACCTGCAAGGCATGTAATACGTCCATTTGGCGTTCTGGTGGCACACACCTATGCAATTGACCCTCTGCAGTCATCGTAGACCATGCAGCCGCCTCTGCCTCCTCGACTTCATCCTTGTCGGCAGACGAAGTAACATTGAGTCCAGCTAGCCAAGCACGTTCAAACGCGGCTTCCATGAGACTATGAACCACTTCAGCGCTTAGGTGACCTTCTAGGCTAGAGAGGTGGTTAACGAAGATTTGCAAATCCTCGCCAGTTGTGAGGAGGGGGCAGAGAGTCTCCACAACAAGACGAAAGCAGGGCAGAAAGAAGTCGATACCGCGTTCTTGAAGAAGTTCTAGCATCCGCTTTGGTGACTGACTGCCCTCTAAAAAACAGCTTGAAGATTTTAAAACTGACAGTCAATAACATAGTTGAAGCTAATCTTGCAACAGGGCAAGGAAATAACCATAATCTTGGCATGGATAGTGTCTATCTACAACTGAAATGAAATACAATTGTCCTGGGCGACGACGAGATGACAACAAATGCACTTGGATTGTTTCAACATGAAACGAATTCAATTGAAGTTGGGGAAGCAAGCAAAGAGTAGAACCAAATTGACAGAAATAACTGTCATCCACACGGAGGTAACAACTGTCAGATGAAAAAGCGAGTTCACTCGATTACAAGTCATAATTCACACTGTTTCTGTGCGGTAAAATGAATGAGCCTTAAAATAATCCGTCATTGCCTACATGCTTCAATAACTTGTACCAATTTCTGCCTCTGTCAACCCCATATTCAACGAATAAGCCAGTCTTTTGAGGCAGATTAAATTATTATGCTCAACTCTCGTTGTAAATTGAGTGAAATGAAATCGCAAGACTTCAGGAGCCGCCTACAAAACGTGTTGACTATCAATGGAAACAGATGTTTGTGTAGAGTAAATCCAATGGCTTCGAAACAATCAACTCCTTTTACAGAGAAAATAAGCCACGAGGATGGACCTGACCTGACTTCTCGGTACAAGAGTTTGGATACTAGTAATTGTGATGGATTGTAGACCTAATTCCCACCTCTACATTGCTCCGCATTATACAATTAGGGGAAAGAAAGCCTCCTCCCAACGATACATCACAGCACATGACCTCATAGCACTCCATTAATCACATCCAAAGTAGACCATTAAAGTAACTCCCTGACGCTAGCCGAGGGATTTCTATGGCTTTGAGAGACGAAAAATAAAACATTCAACCAGATGCTTTCTTTTAGGAAAAGCCTAGGCAAGAGTAGAATCTGTACAGCAAGGTTATATTCTTCTGAGGAGGGAAGTATAGAATCCAAGCAACATATCTTGAGAAGCAACAGCTTATTTGATTGTTCTGAAAAGAGAAAATAGAGCATTTTATTGAAAGAAACAGCAAAGCCTACTGAATCAATTATACTCTAGACAGAGCAGTCGGAAATCCCATTAATAATGACATTTATGAGCAGTGAACACGAACCAGTTAATAAAAGGCATTGGTAGATCTTACAGCAATCCGGAAGTTAAAAAAAGTTAGAACACAAGTCGCAACAAGGAGAAAGGATGAATGAGGCGTACATAAACCGTTGTCAATGATTAAATTCGAAATGGGACTTTTTGCCCATGAATTTAATGATGGGTGGTGTAACAAGCGTGGCACATCTTAAACTGCTCAGACGGATACATTCGAAACCCCAGAGGATAGAGAAGTGCTGTACATGGAGCACGCAAAACAGCTGACAAAGTCAAGATGGAGCACTGGATTGTAGGTAAGAAATTTCTCTACTTAGCCTGTCATTGTAATCACTCAGTGTAGCATCGCAAATTGCGAAAATGAAAGGAAATTAGAAGAATTTTGTCAATTTTGAGTAAATATTACAAGGGAAGTACGTAAAAATGGGAGACAGCTGAAGGAAACAGTGTCTTCCTTCGAATCCACAGAACAAAGCTTCATACCACAGACAAGTACTATGCGTAAAATAATGTAAATAGTGATGGGATGCAAAAATGAGCCTTTCTCCAACAGGACAAATCCCCTAGTCTTGACAGGCACATTTGCAATGAATGTTCAGCTCTTCAAGAAGGTATCATCGTCGGAAGGAACCACGAAATACATCATTTAGGAAACGCTGTAGGAGACAATATGACTGAAATCTATCGCTCTGTATTGGAATATCAACTTTAAAGGTTAACTAATTGCTGACAAAGAGTTCGATAATTGTAAAAAAAAGCAATTCGAGAAAAAGGAGGTCCCGATTCAGGATACATATGAAACAGTTGCCAGAGGGATCAAATAAGACCGCAAAATGCCACTTACCTGGAAGCATCTTCTCAAGCACCACACCGCTCTCTGCAAACATCTTCACTAAGTGAGCCTTCCTATCCTCTGGAGTTTCGGGAATGCTCACTCCCTCGGGAATGAAGTCGCCATCTTCGAACTCTGGAGTGTTCTTATTGTCAGCCTCTACATCCTGCAAGACGAGAAAGTGGCCTGGAGATGCCTTTGATGCCGCCATTTGCGCAAGTTGCTGAAGGATGAGCAAGAAAAGGGGATGATGACGCCCCGAAGAAAGAGGCTCAGCCACTCTGGTTAGAGGCAGACAGCCAATGAGAACAAGTCTAGCGGTCAAGAAGGCCAACGCGGTCTTAAGCGAAGCTGCGCTGAGGCACTGAAGCACCCGGGGCCAAGCGGAGTCAAGAGCAGTAGTGATACGGTCCAAATGCGGCTGGGACCGAGAGTACTTTAGGAGAGAGGCGAGTTGGCAAGCTGTGTGCTTGCTCTGACAATCCATGGAATAGATAGTGGAGGTGGCTATAAACAAAAAATAACCAGCTTCATCATTCACTTCCCGCTGCTGCACCTGCATTCGAATCACCTCCGAGCCTTCGGCCAAATTTTGCCAAGAACCAAGCATTCATGAGAGGAGGGCGTCAAAGGTAACCGATACTGAGTGAAATATTTGAGATGAGAACGTCGATTTGAGGAGGTGAATGAAAACTTCGTGTTAAATTGAGGAGGAATCCATGAAGCAGTCTGGATCCCACTTGACATCCACACACAATCAGTAGAACTTAATGAATTATGTGAATGAGGAGTTCACTTTGAACAAGCGAAGTCAAAATTATGCGAAGCATATCTCGTGTGGCCTCAAACTGCTTAACAGCGCTAGTTAGGGTCAATGTGTATGGAATTCCATAGTGGAACTAAATGCAAAAAAGGGCAATTTTTTTTTATTTCCCCACAAGAATTTCCTATTTGTGGATTCTCGCTATGCGAAAAAGAGAACCCAAACACATTTAATTGGAAGATGATCAAGTCGATGCTCTGAGATTCCACAGCGAAAAATGACTCTAATTTGGGATTCCAACTGTACCAGGAGAAAAGAGTGATTGCAAAAACTGTGGGACCTCAATTAACACTGTCAACGTTTGGCTGAACAAGAGTAAATAAAATCGAAAGGGAAAGGTGGAAAAATTATTGGAGTAATTAAGTAGGTTCTCAAGTTGGAATAGAATGGAGAAATTGTAGCCCCAAGACCTACCATCAGAGAGGAGGAGGATGCTTTTCAGAAGGACTTCTTTATTCACCCGAGAAAGGAGATCCTTCTGCTTGAGTTGATCGATTGCTTCTTGGATATTTTTGGTCTTTTTGAGAATGCCAATCTACAATGAAGGCGAATGGGAACGAAGTCTTAAGTGGGAACCAAATGGGAAAATGATGCTGAACGCGCAAACAGAAGTGTTAGTTGTCTTTATGAGTGAGCAAGGGGCAGTAGTAAAACATTTAGTAACCGCAACTTGATGGTTAATTTGATAGACTTTGGCTAATGAGATCCCACTTCTTAGCGAGTAAATAAAAACACATAGAATGATGTTTATTCACAGAGCAGGAAGTCACACTAAAGACATTAAATCCACGCACTTTCACCTTCAAATGCCCTCAAATAGCTAGGAGGCTGTGATAAAAGTGTCGCTTCAGGCGCAGTGTGAGCTTTCTAGTGGCCAGTGCTGAAGTCTCGGAATCCATCAAACTGCAAACAAGAGACTACACACCACAACCTACACTAAGATCACTAGTAAAGTTTTAAATTAAATAAATAACGAAAGTTAATAAAGTTAGTAGCAAATGAATGAAATCTTAGGGCACGCAAATACCAACTTAACTATGAGAATCAGGAGGGCTTTCAGTCTCCCTGAAATTGACAGAAAACCCATTTTGCATGCAACGCCTTACACGCCATACATGTCAGAATCTCCAAGGCGTAGTTCATCCGTAAATCAAAGAGCCGTACTAACCTTTGCACCGGAATTGTATGCAGCTTTAATAAGTCAAACTACTGTGGCAAATGACCATTAACAAGGGTTTAATAAGTGAGGGAGTGCTGAGACTAAATATCAAAACACAACCCAAAATGAAAATTTAATTAAACAGTCAAATGCCCTTGCCATTTAGACTTTCAGACCGGATGTTCGTGACTATGGTAGAGGCGTTCATACTGTCCCAATCACCGACTCCCTTTACAGTGGTTATAAAAGACTAATCACAGTGTCGAACGTTTTATGCACGCATTCAGAGAATGGCACCCCATAAGTGGAGACAGACAAGAAGGTGACACAGAAATAAAAGTTTGAATGGGAATGCGATTGAAGATATGAACAATGATTGAGCAAACAAGTGTGAATCTTTAGAGCGGTGTCTGTGTTATGAGGACGCCAAGGATTGAATGCGAAAACAAATGAATTCATAGTAGATGAACGGATAAACAGCTACACAGAGAGGAGACCGAATAGGATGAAGAAGAATCAATAGCGAGTAGATGAATAGTTTGGTGAGCAATGAACTAACAATTGATTTAAGGAGATAAAAGTAAAAAGTTTAAATAAAAGAGGAGGTTATAGGCGAACGGGTAAATTAATGGCCGAATTTCCAGCGCTGGAGGAATGGATGAAATAAGAGAGTAAATGCCAAGCCCTGAACAAGCAAGCTGACTCACCAAAGTTCTTGCAGCCTCTTTATTTTCGTCCATTGGAGGCTGTTTCTCCACGTACGTAATAACAGGCGGTGGCACATGTTGTTGCTGTCGCGAGAGCGGAGGTGAAGGCCGCATAACCGGAAGTCTCCACAGTCCTCCCGCTAACTGCCTGACATCCATTCTTCCTGCTATCATTGCATCCAGATCGGGACTTGCTGTAGATGGTGTCGCTGCCGCCGATGACGCGCAGGAAGACGATGCGCACTGACTCTCTGGTGCTTTCTGTGGCGGCGGTAAATACTCAGGCTATATTGAGGAGGAGAGGAGGTAAGTTAGTTGATCACGGTAGTGTGAGCATGCAGCAGAGTACGACAACGAAAATTGTCCCCCTTCAATAGAGCCCTGATACAAAATGACGCTATGAAGAAAAGCTAAATAACTTAACAGAGACGGTTGAACGATGTGAACCCATCAAAGCCACTGACAGCCCCAACTGCAGAGGTCATTTATCGTTTAAAGCCGCGACCATTCATCCAACGCGTGAAAGATTTGATCGGTACAAAGCTTGTCCATAACTCACACAAAAGCCAAGTATTTCTGAGAGAAAGGGAGTCGCAGTTCACCATCAGAAAGGGTAGATACATGAAAATATCCTTAACGGATGCCACATTAGGCGCTTTACAAGCATCAGAAGTTTCTTGGTTGAAACATTAAGTGAAGCGGAAGAGCGCTTAAATGTAAGCATTTCAGCTATGATGATGAAGTGAAGTAAGTCGTTCTAGGACAATTCAGCTGCAGTGACAACCTCTGTGACAAAGCAGCCCCCATCATCCTTAATAGAAGATTGCAAATATCAACCCAAGAAGCAAGCACAGCTTTCAACGATTTGAAATGTTTGCAGAAAGGAAGAGTTACCTCAAAAAACAATGTACTGTTCAGCCCCGCATCTACTACCCTAGGTCCTTGAGAGTAGGCCTTCCTTGAATTTGGGCTCCGATGAGATCCATAAGGACGTCTCTCAGCAAAACCGCGTCTAGGCCATGGCCCACTACGCCCATTACTTCCGCCATGGTTTCCATCATTGCTGCCACCACCAACACCACCAGAGACCGTTACTCGGTTGTGTGAGATGGTGACACCCCCGCCTCCACTACTGTAGCCGCTGTCCCGGTTACGATAGCCCGTGGTGCTCGGAGAAGCAGAAGAGTCGGTGCTAGAGAAGAGATCGATGTCTTTGCCACGGGCACAGAGTGCCTTGCCCATCTGATTAAGTGTGTTCCAATCTCCTTCGGGTTCGAGAGTGCCTGGAAAGTGACCGAGGACGCCACGACTCCCCGTACCAGCTCGAGATGCGTTATTCTGTGAGGAGCTGCTGTTCAATCCCTGTTTATGGTGAAAGTTGGAAAACAGCTTAGCCAATTGACATTGCAACGCTTACTTCAAAACAAGCTAAAATAAACCAATACAACAATTCAAAAAGGTTGAGTCAATTTATGTTAAGCAATCCGAGCAAACTAGTGATAGATGCAGTCACCTAATCTAAAAACGCAAATGCGCAAAAGCTACTAGTCAGAACAAATATAGCTTATAAAATAAATACTTTAGCAGAAATTAAACTGCACGAACAAAAAAAAACAGCAACAATATTCTATACTTCTGACGCATTGCATTCAACATCTATTTAATTAGAACCTTCCAAGATTTTCCCCCTTATGTAGATGTCAATTGACTGTTCGGATACTTGTGCTTTCGATAGTTGGTCAAAATCTATTCCAATGAGCAGTAATACATTTCACATCGCCTTAAAAAGCAAAGATATTGCATAGACGCACACACAATCTGGTCCGGTTGTACAAAACGCTTTCTATTGTTGTTCAAAATCGTTTGTAAAAAAGCTTCCGCAGTGTGAGAACAACGTTAATCTTCGTTCATCAGATTTATCAGCTCTCACAAAATACATCAAAATCAAACCGCATCATAGAACATGGGAACTTGAAAAAACAAAATTGAGCCAATTTGTTGCAGAGAGCACGACAGACATTAGACTTGCAAACTGCTTATGTAGGTGAATGTGAATGTACTGAAAAAAGACAATGTTAAAGAACTGTTCGCGTCTGTCAAAAGTGGTGCAAGAGCAATTCAAATAATTAACGAGAGGATCATCGAGACTCACCCTATCAACCGTATTTCGCAAATCTGGCAAAAGCCACGGCTGATCGTAATCAGCAAGTTGACCCTCAAAAAGCGGCATCCATTTGTTTTTGCGCAGATCAATGATATCCAACAATATGAAGCGAGTACGCGTACTCAGGGGAATAAATTTTTTTCGGTGGCCACTGTTTCGCAAATGCTCCGGTGACGCACGCTCTACGATTTGCGCTATGCGGTCGAAGTACTGGTCCATCAAGTTCCGCGCCTTTAGAGTGTCCATGTAGGACCCGGCTATTTTCATGAATTCACAGAGACATTCCATGTCCAACGCAATGTGGTCGTTTTCCTTCGGATAAACTGGAGTTGAATTAGCGCCCTCCTGCGACGAAGGTAAGACCGTCCCATCGGACTTTCCTGTTTGCTTGCACAAGAGGAGGGATTTGACGCAGTCGTGAAGTATCTTATCCGGTATAGCCTTTATGTACCCCAAGTGAGCAATGAAACGCACAGCGCCGATACATCTCTGACGCGCAACTGAATCGGTGAAATCGATACTTTGTCGCTTAAAGAACTCATTTTCACAACGCTTGAGAAGGAGGAGTTTAAAGGTCTAAAATAGAGGTATAAGGATGTCATCGAAGCTTACGGAGTAAGAGTTAGCAGGTTCAAAATTACGCGCTTGTTCACAAAGAACCACGCAGAGTTGTGAATAAAGATAAGTGAAATTGGGCTCATTAGCAGCCTTCTGAAAAATCTAGATAACACCATTAGGAAAGATTAGATATCACACCTACCAGCTGAACGAAAATTTCAAGGACGTCTGGTGACCCAACATGGATAGCCAAGATGCTTTTTACCGAACTAAGGAAATTGTCTGGAGTAACTTTATTAAGCAATCTAACGAGAAAAATCGTCAGTAAAGTTGAAACAAAAGCCTCACGAGAGAACCTCTCTGCGAGTAGATTCTACGTTACTAAGAGGTGGAGAACAGACACTCGAGATCAATTGCCATGTCTGTGGTTTATCGGTATTCAACTGAGGCTGATTGACAGGGGGTCTGCTAAACCGAGAGCTAGGTCTGCTCGCCGAGTCTTTGTTACTACTGGCGAGCTGTGCACCTGTGTCCAGAATTTTGGCCGATTAAAGTAGAAATGTGAAAGGCGCTAATACGATCTACAGAGAAAAGGGTATGCGCCTGTAAAAATACCTACGGGAAAGGGAAACAGTTTAGATCGCTTATAATTCAATGTTATTACTAAATTTGCAAAGCAGCGAAACGCACACTTTTTTGAATGACGCAGAATGGTGCCTGTCGCAATGGAAAACGTAATTTGAATAAATTGAAGGTTAATATCAGCATAAACTGCAAACGCAAATCATAAAGGCCAAAAAGCTTGGATGTATTAGCATTAATTACCACTAGCATAAAATTTGTAACAAATTTTGGCATGGCTCGCATCATTGTTTGCAGTTTCCCTAGTGCTTGCCCTTATTGCCTAAAAAAATATAATGAGCGAAAAATTCTTTTCGACTTTACTGATGTCGTAATGCTTTGTTTATACGATTATCTGACGTTCGGCGATCACCTTAGGATTTGTCTAGCCCTTGTACTCGTGGGCTGGCCTTCGGGCCGTACTCAGGTCGAATTGCTCTGTTTTACTCGAAATATGTGCATCCAGCCTCACTTACTGCCTTCTTCCAACCTATGGAAAGTCTCGGGACGCTACAGATGTGACCTTTACAGTCCGTTATATAGATGGTTACATAATCTAAAGTCTGAGACTTGGAGGCCGTTTGGTTACTACCATCAATTCGCATGCTATGGATTTTTTTACCGAATGCTCATTAATCACACTCAAAGATGTGAAACATCCTTTGGCGTGTCAGTGATTTTGAGTTCTGCAAACCATTACTATATCTCCACGAGACTTTCCATTTGCCAGAAGACACTGGTTTGGGCTGAATACACGTATTTTGAGGTAATATTGGATCTTGACACGGTCCAAATGCTATCTTACGTGTACAAGGGGAAGATGAGTCCAAAAGTAACCTCAAGACGTCAGGTAATCGCAGGAACTCAATGCTTTAATCACTACCCCTTCCCTGATTTTGATTTGGCGTCTTGAATATTCCCACTCCAAATTATATAAGTGTTGCAAAAGGTATTTTTAATTTCACTTGCAACTTTTCGGTCCCTCATTGTGACGGAATGACAAGTATTCATCACAGCTATTATGAATAACTTCGTCCACTTAGATCATAAAAACCATATCCTTTTGCATCAATTATATGCGAAGGGCAGTTCTTCAACTGGCTTAGGTCCTGTTTCGACTGATAGTTGATGTATCAAATACCGCTGATTTGAAAAACTCTTTTATCAACATGGATGTTGATGTCCTTCGCATGCCGACGCCCCACACCATAACTGTGTCACCTTCTCTTAGACTGTAGATGCACATCAAAAAAATGTAAGATACTGCTGTAGAAGCCCACATCTGAACTAAAAACAGTTGCAGAGAATATTAGTCACCCAAACCACTTTAGAAGGCGCAATTGTAGAATCATTCCCGTTTAGACTATCTGAGTACTCAATATGCCTTACCCAATGAGCGATCTGAATGTCAAATCAATCATTTATGAAAGGATAGACCAGTAGATGCTTCAATCATCTACTTAGTGGCACCAATGCAGCGCTTTACCCATTAAATAGGTGCTGCTAATCCCCTGGTCATGTCCTCGAAAGAAGAGCAAGGTCTCTTTAGGAGGATTAGCAGCGCCACAGTTTTTTCAATTCAAAAGAAGAAAACGTTCCTCGCTAATATTTGTTCAAAATGTCGCACTGAGGCCACGAAGAAGGCTTTAGCTTTCTAGCTTCAATAGATGAACCCAACGAACACCAACTTAAACTTTAAATAAAGAAGTCCAACAGCAGTAGAACCTAGTACCACATTTCCTGTTATTCCTTCACGTGAAAACGCCACCCAATCAACACACTCACATACGTGCGTACACATACACGATCGACTGAGAGTTTGGTCTACAGGTTTTTAGGACCTCGTTTCTCTTCTTTTACACCTCCCGAGTTCGCCTTCATCGCAATAGCTTGACATTTGGCTCTAAAATCCTTCATCGATAACGCCAACGGAGTCAACTTGCTCACAAGATGTAGCAATGGCACGTATTCCTCTGAGCCTGTCAACTGATGTACGACATCATCTCTAGCACACCACATCGAGGCTAGAGGTAGTGGACGACCGAGATAGCATACTCTCACCCACAGATGGTTCACTTGAATAGTGGACCAATCAATGCGGGAGTGTGATGCGTCTGCTGGATGGGTTAGCTCCTTTTTCAGAGGAGATTGATTGTTGGAGGGACCCAGAACTTGGATGTACAATTCAAATGTAATATCTGCACCGAAAGGAGGCCATATCTCTTCGCTGTATTCGAGAGCCAGGAGCATAGGAAGAATGGTGGAATCATGAACAGCAAACAATTGCAGCGGTGGAATTCTGTGAAAAGGGAGAAGAAAAAAAGTGGGTGAAAACATCCCATTAGGAATAGTTCGAACCACCAAATTCCCTGGGAATCAAAATATGCTTTTAATCTATGATATACGAATAAGAAGGGTCGATGTCCTGTCAAGAGGAAGCTTCAGCCACCTCAGTAAAACTCTGTCTAGCGATAGGAAGAATTGATCAACTCCAAATTTCACGATGTTAGTTTCCCTTTTTTAATAGATTTAGAGTGGCGTAGATTTTAACCCACCAACCAGCATCACATGAGAATAACAAATACACTCACTAAGATAAGAATCACCCGATAAAGGTTAAAAGTACGCGAGTTTTGACTACCCGGCTACACCCGCACATCAGAGACACTTTTTCAAAAGCCTTTAGCTCCTTTGTACTCTGTTTGGGGAAAACCGAGTCCCCTTTAAGTTAGGAAGGCCTCTAAAACCAGACACCTTGATGATATCAAGGTTATCGTGTGGGGCGATAGAAGCCAGACTGTGAGGCTGCACCTGTCGTGCACCTAAAACACACACACACAGAGAGAGAGGGAGAGAGAGAAAAAAAAGGGAATTAGACAGCCGTCTTATGGTGAAGTGGGAGACGAGTCTGGAGATAAGCAAAGATAAGAATGCCTGTGCAGAGGTGAACCAGAACCTCGATTTCATTTCCATTTCTTTCATCAAAAGCCATGCGTATTGCTCTCCTCAAGGGGAAGGCTGTCACGAATTCTTCAATCCACCATGCTTTAATCATGTCTTGGGGATATAAGACTATCAAATGCGCCTGATGCAAGGATTTAAGGTAGAAGAGAGCGCTAAAGCGAAATGATAAGCACTGGTACCACTTCCAATAAGAGATTTGAAGGTGTTGCACAGATGACTAGATAGACGACATTTTAGACCTTCCAACAGTATTTCCGTAGACTGAGGTACGTGTTCAGCGCGCGTTTAGTTTAAGTTTGCTTCCATTTCTGCTGCAGCAGTGTTAATGGCCCACATTTTGTTCCACTTCTTGGATGAAATTGTTATTTCAAGCCTTGTACGTTTCCTCGCCTACCACAGCATAGGCATGCGACTGATGGAGATTAGTGAACTTTACACATCATTGCACTTGATGTTTATCTCAGGTTGAATAACTTAACCCAGTCGAGCCGAAGGCACTAAGTGTCCTTCAACTCCTCCCCCACCCAACTCCACCACTTAACCATGTCGTGGATAAACAGATGAAGTGATGAGGAAAAGGAAAGAAGGTGCAAAGTCGAACAACTACTTAGTTAAGTAGTCAGTCAATCAGGCGTCATCACCACCAGTCTGGAAGAAATGGAACATTGACTAAAGAACCATTTACTTTGAATGCTTAAAATGGTCCTTAAACAAAAGCTTTTCCTTCTCATATCTAATAACGCTGAATTATAAATGATTAAATTTCATCTAATTGCAAAGAGACACAAGAGAGGAGAGGAAAGAAGTAGAGAGGCGCACCTGGCATATTTGTGCATCTTTGAGAGGATGATGTACAGGATCGGTCCAATGTTGACAGGCAAATTTTCAATCCAATTTCTAAAATAAAGCAACAAGGCGATAAAATTAGCCATCTTAACTTGCCCATTTGCCATGAGTAATAAAATGGGCACTTGTTAAAGTATAAATGAGCCCCAATCCTTTCCTCCTTGCCCGCTACGCTGTCTCATTTCTAGAAAGTACACACAATACTATGACAAAACGGGGTGGAAATGACAACAACGTCCCGAGATGGGATAGACGAGCTGTAGCACCGATTGTAGGAAACTCAGGCGCTAAGTAATAACAGATGCACACTCAACGTCACTCAGGACAAAAGGCTAAGTTTGTGGGCTCCCCAGGACCAGGAGAGGCAGTGAAATTACCAGGAAGCAAGTGGTTCACAATGCTGAGACCAAACTTCTCATAAGAACGGACAAGAGTACAGTGTGAGAGTTGAACCAAAACAGAATCATCAAGAGTAACTCAGGTGTAAGGAAAACTCCCTTCACATCGAATTTTCTCGCCAGATTGAAGTATTCATTCAGAAGAATTTCCGCTACTTACCACTCTTTGAACTGCAAATCCAAGTTTAGTAATAAGAAGCGGCCTTATTAATTTGCTTCCTGGCCTTCGGCTGCCTAGACGCTCATTTGGACTTAATGCTAGAACGCCAATGGTTGTGACCTAACCATCTTCCCCAAGTCTTCTCTTCCCTACCTCCAAAATACCGATTCTTTACCTCATGATCCGAGAAGGGACTTACTCTCGTTTTCCAAGAAGTTCACTCAGCAACTCCACCGAGGCGTAGTGATCCATTTCCGGTTGAAGAGCTTCCAATGCCTCTGGGATAGGGAATCCGTTGTGCTGCCAACGCGAAGCATCAAAACATGATAACCACCTTGTGTCTCATTTTACAATGCAACACATTTCCTACTTAAAAAAACTCTTGACACCAAAATTGTTTAGAGCGCATAGAAATGACGGCAAAAGACTCATTGGAGAAAGCCTATTAAAAGGAGTTGTTTAAGCTGCCTTCGACATTGGCTATGGTTGATGATTTGAAGGGCTAGTAACTCAAAAGGTAGGTTACTAAGCTATAACCAAGTCGCTCAATCCACCAACATAGAAATTGTTGGTCTTGATTGCCATTGGACAAATCTCATTTCCACTCTTCGTTCCATCGAGAAGAAGGCGAGGCTGGTGGGTACGTGAGGAAATACCACAAGTGAAGGCATTTGGCCTTGTCGTGATTGCGATCACTTGATTGGCTGCTCCAAGGCCTAACCAGAAGCACGATCCAAAAACATAACTTCTACTTTTACCAAATTCAACGTTCTCTTGTCTCGGTGATAATGACAATAATTCAGTACTTTTATCATCAAAATTTTCTCACAGACCAAGTGTTTACAGAGTGTTGAATAGCCATTGGTTGTTCTGCAAGACTGTGATTTTATAGTGCTCATTTGCAACACCAAATCACCTTTCAATCACTTTGACGTGGCCTAAATTCACGAGCATGTCACCTTCACTACCCCATCCACATCACCCTACCATGCGTTTAGGAGCGGTACGGCTAATATTGAGACAAGGATACGGTGAGATGATCGTATTTAGTGGCAATATGGGATAGTAAGGCTTCGAGATTGAAACTGATTGGTGAAATGGAAACCACGTCTACCACATTTAAGTGAGAAGTTACCAAAATTTATGCACAGAAGACGTCAATCCTCTCAGAGCTTACAAACACACTCCAATTCTATTTGTTTCTCTACCATCGAAAGATAGGAAGAATATGCTAACACAAAAAAGCTATCAGTAAGGCAACTAACCAGTAAGTAAAACAGAATAAACGTGTAACGAAAAAGACCAAACCGGAGACACAAACACAGACGGTGGAGTAGTAAACATTGCAGGAAGTGGAGAGTTCAATTGCCTTACCTTGATTATTCTACTTCCACAGATTCAATTCATTTCAGCCCATAGTTCCTACGCAATCAAACTTTTGAATGAGGCTTTATAGAAGGCAAACCATCCGTTCAACCAGCTACCCATGCAATACTACTTAAATGGCAGCTACCGCGGCAGTCAATCATATGGTTCTTTCTTTTGTTCACACCCACGATGGTGATGGTAATGAACAAGCTTACGGTGATTGAAAAGTCAACTGGCAATGACTAACACTGTTTCGAGGGCTTCCCAGGCATTCTGCCGATTGCATTAAGCAACTCGGCAGAAGAGGACGAGGCCTAATCACCCTCCCACTTCGAACATGACAGCGTTACGGGAGAGAATAAATAAACCCTTGCTTTGCCATTGTGAATTGAAAGAAAGCAGTTCGAGTATGTCCAACTTGGGAGAGGAGAAAGGTTGCAAGAACCGGAGGAGCGAACTCACTTTGCGTGCAATGTAGTCGTCTCGCACGTAGTAGACTTGACAGTCTTCTGTGTACTTCATTCCATCAGTGTTTAATTCGTCCACGAGTCGATCCACCTCTAAAGCAAGCGTGAAGACAATGAAGGTAAGACAAGACGACAAATTTATAGGTTAACACCCATAACTTGGGTTTAGAGCTAACTGATCTCAGGGAATTTGTATAAGGACTGCGAAAATGTATGCGACTCTTAACTCATCATCTGAGGCATTGAGAGAGTCCAGAAATGCAATTCCTCAAAAAACTTTGAAGAATCCTTACGAGACAGAGATAAAATACACCCTAAAGAGTGACTGAATAGACAATATAGATTGCAGTTGCTCGCTCTCAAAAGTCATCTCCTTTGCTACTTTGGTTTTACCATTCATCTGACGCCTTTGGATTTAATCACCTAGTTGTTGCTAGACAAATTAACAATGACTTGAGGAATTATGAAAAGGGAAACTCAGCAGAATGCAGTTAGGTTTACCAAAAGAAATGTGTTGTATTTGAATGCTTTTAGAGGACTTAGTTTTGCCTTTGTGCATTCAAGTTGCACCATATCCATAAAGTAGACTGATTTCAGTAGGTAAACAAAGTCTTGTAAACAACGATGTTCAAGGTCCACCACGCCCACACTAGTAAGGCAACTATCTGGCTAAAGATGAAGTGAGAGATGTGCATAAAGTGGGTAGTTGCTGAATGGTATGGAGATGAAAGAGGTCACGTCTGATCGCTGAAAGTTGCGAACAGAAAAGCGCAAGAGACATTTTGCAACACACCCGTCTCAGTCGGTCAACCAGTCATCACTTCAACTCTCCTTCAATCAACACAAGAGGCCAAGATAAAGGCACTCTACCATTGAGCACGGCATATGCCACTTATCTGAAGTAGATGTGGGTGGAAAACAGTTGTTTCACCTCATCTTGTGCATTGCGTTGCATGACACTTTCAACTCTACTTCTCCCACCCACCAGCTACACTTACTTGCTAATTCCAACTCAGAATGTTAATGTTCTCAGTTGACTATTCACCTTCTACGAATCAGCACCTCTCACTCCTCACGCTCAACGTCTTTAAAATCAAGTTTGAATGCAACAGATAGATTGGAACGTGCAGGGCTATCTTGTTGAACTTTAAAGAAAATTTCCGCGGACTGCAGTGAAACAACACGCACACTTGGCGGGCGGTCAGACCTGAATGCAGACAATCAGAGCCACTTCATTCCTTCCATGATGCCAAGAGACAATCACAGTCAAAGAAGGCACCTCTCTAGATTTAATTGCATCCCATTTGACGGAGAATAGATCTCATAGGCTTAGAAGCGTCTCAATGTTAGCGCATCTTTGGACGACATGATGCAAGGTCAGCTCAGAGCACCGTGATCAGCCAGCAAACGCATGCTGTTGTTAGTTCATGAACGAAACTACATCCGAAAGAGGACGAAATAATTGAATCGAACATACAGCTCCTAACCGACAGGTACAAAGAAGCTTCCATAAATAACAGACAGTCTATTTACCGAATTAAGGGATGCTCATAAAGTGCCCTGCTCACCCCCAACTCCTACAGTTGTAAATTACTCGAAAATAAAAAGAAAATACTCCACACAAAGCTCAACGCACGAGTTTTCCGCATTGGTAGGGGAAGGAGGTGGTAGGTCCATCGTACCAACCAATTGGAATGGTTGCCAGTGCTGGTGACGCTGACAGCATTACCATTTTGAAGGTGAAAAGCGAAAGCACTTTGTTTACGCGAGAAACGTGATACGTTAGACTAATTTAGACTTCAAGCACTTAAAAACAACTGTTAAAAAATTTATGGAGCAGGAAGAAAAAGACAAAACTACTCACTCAGAGCCTCTTTAATTTTCTCCTTCAATGCGGAAAGAGAAGAGTCGTTTCGCAGTTCCTCAGTGCCTTCGTCAAAGGGTGTATTCGTGAAAGTCTTGGGATTTGGGAAGAGTACCTCATTTTCGAACGCCATGGAGGAGACCACGAGAGTGCCTGAAAACGCCACAATGTGCATTGAGAATGGGAGAGGTTCACACTGTAAGTAGAGCCATTCGAAAGCGAAAAACAATTCACCATTAACTTGTCCCTTAGTCAGTCCTGCCACGAGAGCTCGAAGAGACTTTATGTTACGCCCCACACGAGTTGATCGAGCCCTAAATTTGAAGAGCAAAAGGAAAGCTGTTATCAGTAGTTATAGCAATTTCACGTAAATTCAGAGACATTCCTACTCACAAGTGCCAATGCACTATGGCTTAAAACCTACCTTTAAGGGAGCGAAATAGTTAATATTTTCTCAAAATGACAAAGAGCCTGCTTCATAGGCACTCACTAGAGCCCTTCATCAATCTCAATGTCGCCTCAATATTTAATAACTTTGGTACCAGGAAGTTAAGACGAGAGATTAAACAGAAGAGCCCATTACCTTCATTACCTAAAAAGCAATGATTTACTAATTGAATCATGGACTTGCATCACGCCTAATGAGTTAATTTGTTTTCCTTACAATAAATAATTTTAGTAATGCAAGCCCAACGTCTCATGCTGGTTACCAACAGTCAAAAATGGGAAGAATTCAAAATATGAATGGTTATGGAAAAAGCCCTATAATTTTTTTAAATTGAACTAAAAGAGATCTAAATCCTAAATTACAAAATGATATTTCTGCTGCGTAGCAAAGCCATGCAAGGCATTCTCTAAGAGATTACCAACTACGATGCTTTCTAGAGCATCGGATTCTGCAAAAGTCGTAGCGATGAAGCGCACATTTGGGAGGTGTAAATAATAGCTCTAAAAAAATTTGTTTCGAAACAACGGAAAGGGTTTGAAAATTTGAGGAGCAAAAGCGCACTCTATTTCCGAAAGCTTTGGAGGATCGGACAGAATACTTTCAGCACCAACGTAGTCCTTACGCAGACGACCACCCAAATTGTACAGGTCCCTTTGACCTGCGGTTGTCAGCATACCGATTGCCTCACCGCCCTATTAAAATGTTATAATTAAACAGCATGATAGCACTTCTGTTTCGACAACAACCAACGTAAAGAACCTAAGCCTAAACTTCAAATTCCAAATCCATAAACAACTTGATAGCAGGACTTACTGGTAAGTGAATCGACTTATAGATCACGTCGTAGGTGCTTTCATCCACCGGTATACCGGTAGTGATGTCAACATGCCTGATCGGGATGATGGATTCAGGAATGTCTTGGGTGCAATCAGGAGTCCATTGTGCCTAGAAATTTAGGCAGTGGAGACAAATACAGAAGCACCTACATCGGCAAGAGGAGACTTCACGTAATGGAGCGGAGTTCGTGCTCCGTGTCGAAAAAAAACCTGCGCTTGGACGAGTTTCAACTCAACTTTTCTAGATTAAAGAGCACCGCGTCGAGATGTAAGGAACAACTTACGATAGGCGTACAATTCCTCGCCTAAATGTGGGAAAGCATATTCAGCTGGAATAACTTCAACTAACTGAGCGAAAAAGCAAAGTTGATTTTGAAGCGGTTATTTAAATGAATGGTGAGAGCAGAGATAAGATAGCGGAATCAAAATAGATAAACAAAGAGATATCTCAATGGGGAGATTAATGATGCACCAGAGCTAAATGCCGAAAAGAATTATTTTTGGTCAATGCATGAAATACATAACTGTTAGACCAGATTTTGTAAAAGTTAGAACATACGCGACGTTGGGAAACACGTACGACAGAGCAATACTCACCCTATATGGTGTAAAAAATTCCTAACGTGTTTTTATGACAGTATTAAGGCCAAAAAACAAGTCCTAACTCCAAAACAAGAATAGGCAAACAAAATAACGAACTAGACAAAGCTGATACTATCTGGTGTTACGTTACAGAACATCTTTACTAGTTGACGACTGAAATAGCACAGAATTTCGAACGTCAACGTAAATCACCTAAAAGTGACTTAGCAGTGTAATGCAAATTAAGCTAATTAACCAGATCCAAAATACTCAATAAAAAATAACGGCAAAGAAATCGAAAAACTTGGGCGGATTTACATGGCTGGTGAGATTAAAAGGCGGTATAAATAAATCCCAATTGCAACAACAATGCAGAAGCGATAAAAACCACTGCGAACCCACATGTCTTGATGCGATAAATGGACCAAGGAGAGAATACTGACGCCCCACCTCCTACCGATGAAAAAAACCGACAGCAGAGAAATCGAACTCGTCCATTCTTTTCTAGCCAATAAGGAGGAGAGAATTTAAGAGATATAAACAATCTGGGTCCCCAAATGTAGACATCGAAACATGCTAAAATAGCTTACATGCAAATAATTACATAGATCAGTATTATTTTACCTATAAAACAAACATTAAAAAGGACAACTTTTACTTCTACAATAAAATTACAGCAATTAGTAATTAAAACATTATACTGGGCTGAATGTAAGGTATCCAGTGGGAAAAAAAGAAACTGAACCTGCGTTTGGTTTTGTAGCGTCCCAAGGCTTCCTAGTCGGTATTAGAAGTCAGTAAGTGCAGCTGCATGCATGTATTCCAAAGTCAACAGGGCAAATGTGCCTGGGCGTGATCCGAAGTCCAGCGACCACCATACCTCATGCAGTCACATAAACAAAGTATTACACTGTCCCTCTCTTCCTTTGAGCGGCGTCCTCGGCGCTCACATCGGCAAACCTCCCGCACCAGCTGTCGCAACATGTTCGGTACTACATGAAAGCATCTACGAGCCAACCACGCCAGTCGGTAGATAGCATGAGTTACTTGATCTCCTCGGCAGCTTCAACTGGATCTAGAGTTGCATCCGATCTGACAACCAAGGTCGGAACCGCATGCATCAATTGCTTCCAGGACTATGGTCTAAAACAGACATGTTACAGTGAAAACTGGATGAGCCACTGTCCCGTATGTAAAGAGAACCGTAGTGTCATTTCCGACACCTATACACGGATCGTGTAAGGGAAGTTTCCAGTACGAAACTTCCCCAGATGGTTCACGACGGTGTCGCTTTACTTGTTAATAGCTTGTCTGTGGCATATGGGAACAAGGGGAAGCCAAGTGCAGACTTCAGTCCAAGTCCTTTCGTTGTGAAGGATTCAGGGATTCTCCATCGCCAAGGTAAATGCGCCTCCTTTAATTCACGTCCCCTTTTCGCCTGTATCGTCATCTATTGCACTTCGATAGAGTCAGACTTCCTTCTACGCATGCATAGTTCATGATTGCCGGTGCACAACGCCAGAATGCGTTTATTAGTCTTGGACTTCTCCATTACAAAGTAGAATTCCTTTGCAGTCTTGTCTACTGGTTGGACTAAAACCTTCTTGTCGTGAAAAGAGAGGTTTCCAATTTCCGGCCAAGGAAACCCGATTTTGGGGTCCAACAGATTATTAGGCTCGTAGATGCTCAAACCCAGAGCATCTACACCAAGAACAAGGGACATGCGTCGCCAGATCCTGTGTAAATTGTAGGTACTGGACCATTGCATCACCCAACATAACCATTGCTCTTCGGCTTGTTCGTACTGTTTTTTTCCGGGAATCAGTCGACTAATTGGCAAAGTTTGGCAGCACAAGTGTAGAATGCCAGTTAGACAGCGGTGTCGGTTGGGCAATAGATTCTCCTAGACACTAAGTCTCTTTTAACAAACGACCAACGAAGAACAAGCCGCAGAGAGAGACCCCGCCTTGGCTGGAGCAGAAGGTCCCCAAAGCACTTTATATCTGAATGCCTTTAAAAAAATGTCGGGTTCGCTATTCACTGCCACCAATGTAGTGCCCCGAGACCTCCTGGCCGGTATAAGCAGTCAGTAAGTGCAGTTGGATACATGCATTCTGAATACGACAGGACAGATGGTCCTGGAATGGACCGAAGGCTAGCCCAAGCGTACAAGGGCCAGACAAATCCTAGTGACTGCCAAACGTCAGTTCAGCATAAACAAAGCATTGAAAAATACTGTAATATAATGGTGATCTACTGTCTTTTTAAATGTCTTGCCTTCTAAAAGTGTGACTGCCTGTGTCTAGTTAATGAGCCTCCGAGTCACGCCACCTGTGTCATTTCTGGCCCTTCATATGCATTGAACCAAGTTTTAAGCATTGTGACACCTTTTTGAGAGACTTTGGTAGCTGAAAATGCCCTAGCTATCAAAATATTCAGCAAAGTAGCGCAACCGATAAACGTAACTGAGTATAGGAAAATGTCAAGCAACATGTTTTGCAAACTGTGCTTTTTTTGATTTGAGAAGGTTGGATGCCAATGGACATAGTTACTGTCTTCTATGTTTCTTTCGACTAATGGAGCAACAATATCAGAAAGATCGATTTGTTCCTTAGTGAAGAGATCAGTATTGTCATCTCAACTTTTGCCTAAAGGCCACTTTTAGGGAACAATAACGGGTATCGTAATATTTCATTTATCTTGCTAATTGCAGCGGGCTATGTTCTACTCTGAGGGCTGGTTTCAGGCTAGGCCATAGCCTCACCTCCACCTTAGTGCGCCCAACTACCAAAATGAGAAGTCTCAAAATGCCTCATTGATGATAGCGGAAAGCGAACCCGACTTTGTTACTTCTACAATCCTGGATTTTGCAGCAAAGTGCGTAGGCGTTAATGAAGTCAATATGCTTTAGGTAGGAGAATATCTCGTTCTACAGCAGAAGGGTTAAGATGGATATCCGCCCTCGGCATCTAACTCACTCCTGATTTTATCATTATTTGACATTATAGGTAGCCACAATATAAACTTTTGTTTTCGAAACCCACATTACATAGTCGGGTATGAACACCACTGATGGCATCATGCTGAACACCTTGTCCATTTCTGCACTCTATCTGTAAGGCTTTGTTTATGTGACCACCTGGTCCTTGTACGTGTGGGCTTGCCTTCTGGCCATGCTTAGGCCTGGTCGCTATGTTCGCTTTGGAATACATGTATCCGGCTACACTTACTGTCTTCTCCCACCCAGTGGGAAGTCGCAGGACGCCACACTAGTGGCGGCAATCATTTTAAAGATTTCTACCCTAGCAGGTAACGTTCGTTTCATGTACCTACGGTATGGAGGAAGCGCATTTACCTTGGTGACGGAGATCCCTTGAATCTCTGGACGCCACACTATCCAACATTCTAATGCTCGACTCTGGCCACAACAGAAAGTTTACAGAATACTTCTCCTCCGATCCCTACTTTGCGGTGATATTTGTGGAGTAGACTAATTACAGTTTACCTCTGCCTCACTGTAGCCTATGCCTGATGCGACTGGCTCCTAGGTACTCTTAGGTAGCATTGAAAACACTGTTATGGTTAGGGCAAGAGATGTACCGTAAAGAGAGTCGGAAACGTAGCTCAAGTGTAAAGGGACAATGCAATGCTTTAAATGTGTCTGTCTGCATGATAGGAACTCACTTTGGTGAAATATCTTAATCCGTTTTGCGAGTTGGTCTTCGTACAAACCCATAGCCTTGCATGTACCCTTTCGGTCCAAATGTAAGTAGTTTAGGCCTTCAAAATGTCCTTTTCTTCCTAATTGGATGTAATGTCTTGTTTATGTGACTACCTGACGTTCGGCGGTCACGTTAGGATTTGTCTGGCCCTTGTACACGTGGGTTGGCTTTCGGGCCACGCTCAGGTCCCATTTGCCCTGTCGTCTTCAAAATACATGCATTCAGCTGCACTTACTGACTTCTTATACGGACCAGGGAGTCTCGGGGCGTTACATCGGAAGACTCGGGATTTTATAATTTTTACATTCATGTTTTTATTTTATTTGACATGTGGGCTGATCATTTGTGCATGTAGAAGTTCGGAATGCCCCTTTTCCCTGAAAACACAAATACTAAACTAGTTCCAATGGATTTGTGACAAATAAAAGGCTCCGAACACTAGTATTTAAACTTTTAGAGCTTCAAGTCTTGTGAAGATATAAAATGCCAATCTTTACTATCATTTTTAGCTTCTCCACCTCAATACATTAGTTTTAAAAGATATGCCAAGTTTTGTTTTCAATTTCACTCAAGCGTTCTAAAAATTCATTTTTAACACCGAAAATCTACCAACTTTCGTTAAGTATTAGTGGTTATAAGTTTCCTTAGGCAAAATATATTTAAGACCTTTCGAAATTTTTGGCACAAGTAAAATGTGCCAGCATTGAAGACTTCTTTTTTAACCGTTAACCTTAAGGTCATTTTACAGATGAACACTTTCGAAGTGGTTTGAGGTCCGTTGGTCAGGGTTGGTGCTTTGGTTAAAACAAGAAAAACTATTATTATATTTACTATCGTGTTGAAATGCTTGCTGTCTCTGATGTCGACTTGTTGTACATATCAACCTTTTAGTATGAAGGCACTCTCGAAGGGATTTTTATGCAACTGTAATGTACCTAGTTTTCTCAGTAGCAGTCATTACCATTTATGGACAAAGTATAACGTACTGGTGTATGTCGCATCCACAAGAAGCGGTTAAGCTCATGGACTTACTGTTTTATCTTATAAGTTCCTTCTGCGAAAAATTAAAAACTACTTAGGAGCTAGGTGAGGTCATAATCGACCAAAGATATCAAGGCTGACAAATTGATCCTACAAAACCAGAAAGGAGTCGGACCATACAATCTCCCCTCGGCTCCTTCATTGATGAAGAAGACAATTTCAAAGAAAATGTGAAGTAATCGACTAACCTTTACGAGTTTGTAATACAGTAGAAGATGAGGTGAGACAGTCTGACACTATGTATTGCAATTGTCGATCTGTGAGAACTTTGTTCACGATGCGCTCAAGCTAGTTCAAAGCCGATTCTAGAGATTTCCCAAAGATGATGCTGTAACAACACATGCACAGTGTATCAAAAGCCCATCCATTGAATAATTTACAACAATTCTCGGGAATACGTAGCCTAGAAGGGCTCGCATTATCTCCTCTACCCATACATTCGTACGCTTTGCGCAAGTTACCATAACTTTTCAAAAATTTTCTGGTTGGAAAATAATATTCTCTAGTTGTAAGCAAGCGATAGGACTCGACGTCAAAATTTTCCCACGTCAGGCATCAAAGAAGTTAAATGTACATCGCCTTTTCAATAACTCTTCATCCTGGAATTTGTCCATCCCTTGAATAACTCATCACTGTCTAGTGATCTATTCACTCCTCGCTGAGTGCTGGTCAATCATTGGCGTAAATTAGGGGGAAAAAAACAGTCGTAAAGCAGCTCAGGACGGAATCGCTCCGCCTGCTTACTCTTGAAGTGCAAATGTCTATCAACTATTTGATGCTGGCCAACCCAATGTTTTTTGCAAACAGGCGCTTTCATGTTGATACCTCGCTCCTCTGAATGCAATACAAAAGTTGGCTCCTACTTAGAAGTATCCGCAGCTGTCGTCAAAACGGTTTTTTCCCGGTTGAGAAGCCGCACATCCTCCACAACAGGATATTCCGACAATGCAAGACACAAGGCGAAGCCATTCATTGGAATGAGAAAGCGGCAAAGAACAGGAACTAATGTAATGACAATGCAGTCTTTTCACGCCTTTAACCTTGGTGATTCTTGGTCCAAAAAGCATCCTTTAAATATGCCCCAAGAATAAAACATTTCCCATCTTCACAAACTTCGGCCAGGCATAAAGCACCCTGTCATCTCTTAGAAAGCAACATTTTGAGTGTCAGGACTTTTTTTGTTATTGGACAATGAACAAGTGATCAAGTAAGATGAAGCCATTCGAAATTATTAAGAGACATCTGTGTAAAAGAAAGGAAGGAGGACAAATAGGTAAGATGATATCTGACTAATCCAGCCATTTTTTGTGTTTCCTCATTCCCTATTGTTGTTCGTTCTACAATGAAAAAGTCTATGGAAGTTCTCAAGAAGTATGCTCACAGTAAATTGGTTGAATAGGGGTAGTGAATGTTGGGAGGTCAATTCAAAACTTGGAGACGCTCAAGCCATCTCTGGCTCGCCTTCTTTAGATTTTGTGGGCGCTGTTCCCTCTTCTTCCGCCTTTTTGTTCTGTAATTCCTGTTTCTTGTAGCTGTTCGGATGGACGTGGAAGTCGGAGAAGGACGGTCGTATTCCGGGAGTGAAAAGCAATTTCAGACGCTGTAAAAGCAACAAAAGATGAAGAGATGAAAGTCTCTTTTACCACGAAAGACGGGTAGTGATAAATACCTCTTTAAAGGATCCACGCGCACTGCAGAAAGTAACAACTGCGAAGATGGGGATAGTAAGGAGGGAAGAGAAGACCAGCATCCAAGAGACGACATGCACCCAAGTGTCCGCCAGCACCGTCTCGCCCATAACGGTGATCTTGGGTGCATGGAAGAAGGTGATGTTGAGGATGAAGATGCCCTACGTAATGAAAGACGAGCAGTGGTAAGAGTAAATGCGGAGTAAACAAAAGATGACTTCGTATCACTCACAAGCATGAAGGCGGGACTGATAACAGCCCAACAAATCCTCCAGAACCAACCTGGCTTAAAGCCCAGCATCGACTCAACATCTCGGGTGAATCTTCCTACGCCTTTAAGGTATGAAAGGAAATGAGTTGTTGAAGTGACACATACAACCTACCATAGCACCAACACAGTGCTACACATTCGCAGAAGACAATAAAGAGAATTGAAAAGGGCGCTCCATATGTGTCAAACAACGTCAGGATGTAGTATCCACCCTTGAAAAAGAAACATTTGGTTATTCTAGGAGGGATTTCAGTGGCATAGCAAAACTATAGGTAGAAACTCACATTTGTTGTGGTGGGAAGAGCTCCCACATAACAATAGATAACCATGATCAAAACGACAATTTCTCGTTTCTTGCGCAACTTTGGCCAACGATCCAATAGGGCTGTAATTATCGCTTCCAGTCCACCAAACTGAAAAGTATGACAGTTCTTACAATGACACAAACTGCTTATCCTCAAAAAGGTAGACACAAAGGGCGTACAGTGCTGTCGAGACCGAGGGTGATGAGCATCAGCATGAAGATGATGGCCCAAAAGGTTGAGCCAGGCAAAGTCGCAATAGCCTCAGGATAAGCGATAAAGACAAGGCTTGGACCTACAAAGAAGCTTCGTGGGCAGCGATATACTACGCATCGGTGTTGATTGTGCGTACAAATGGGCTAATAGTGATTGAATAAATGGATAATATCTTTAAGAGGCTAAAGAGGCGAGAATAATACCTTCATTGGCGACTGTGTCCATGGTTCTATTCATACGGTAACACATGTGACCAAGCACAGAGAAGACTACAAATCCAGACAGAAAACTTGTTGCGCAGTTGATGGCACTGGTTAACATTGCATCACTAAAAAATTAACAGTATGAGCAAATAATAAAGCCATTCTTTGACAAAACCTAAGGGAATTAGGTTGAGAAAAATATACAAGTTCAGGAGCCACGACGTTTGCTAGTACTAGGCATTCAAATAAGCTTTAATTGGCACAACTGAATCATAAGGAACTAAACGGCTAAGGTCTCATAATTGCATGTGGTTTTTAATTTGGATCTTCAGGTTTCCACAATTAAAATTTCTTTAGGTGTTATAAAATGATAAAAGTGTTTTAAGAAGACTTATTGGGGATTGGTAGAGCACCTAGTAGCGATTAATGAGCTTGCAACATACTAATAGCAGTTATTCCGAAATTTGTTGTAACTAGCCAAGGCCAGGAGAACACCAAACCCAGGTCCGAGAGAAAAGAAAATCTGTGATGCAGCAGCGTTCCAAACCTAGAACGGGAAGTCGAGCACCGCTAGAAAGCTTGTTTCTCACAAAAAAAACATTGGTATGGAAACAAATTCTTTAACAATAAAGGCAATCACAATCGAGGATGCGCAACATAGAGAGCTGATTAAACTTTTCGAAAAACACAGAACAACTTTGAAACATTTAGGTAGTTGTAAAAGGATCAGTTACTTATTTCTCAAAAATACGGTCAAATGCCAGTGGCATTCTAAAAAAGTTAACAAAATCTGCTTCTTTCTTGATCAAAAAGTAGTAAAAGGAGAATCTTAAGTGACCTCAATGGACCTAAGTCGTCCAAAGTCGGGCAAGAGGTAGTACTGAATTCCCTTAAGGGAGCCCCTGAGTGTAAGACCGCGAATAAGGAGGATGAAGAGTATCACGTAGGGTAGAGTAGCTGTAATCCATACGGCCTAAAATTAAATGCAATCCAGATAACTGACTATGCTTATACACCTTGGTGTCAGTAAATGACGCAGAGACCAGAGACTGGGATGGGTTGCGTCATTAAATAGGTCAACTGTCTTGCTCTTACCTTTCCACTGCTTTTAACACCCTTCCACAGCGCGAAGTAGACGAGAGTAAAAACAGCCAGCAGACAAAGCGCGACTTCCCACCTAACCGTGCCCATCTTGTTAAAGCCGTCCGAAAATTGTATTTGTAACACGCGATTACTTTAAAAAGAGAAGTTAAGCCAAAACTTAGACGATATGGCAAAAGAAACGAAGGACAACTTTTAATATTGACACTTCCTGAAGTCCTACTAGAAATATTGCTCAGTTGACGAGTAGTAACCAGTAGTGTTGACAGCATGCAGAGTATTGGGAGCGTCATCGTTGTCAGCGTCCGAATTATTGGCTCCAGTGACTAACTTTTGGTAGACAGTGATACAAGTTTTTGGTGTGTTCCACCAATTGTCGCAACTATCCCACGGCAAACGCAAACGCATTGAGTCAAACATGTAGAAGACAGCCCAAGAAATGACAGTGTTATAGTACCACGCGGTATAACTCGCAATTATGCAGATCCCGTAACCCAGACCTGTAAAACAAGAAGTTGGCGGCATTATCTGCTTCTCCTCGCTTACTAAGCACCTTTAGAGCAAAGACAATACATACCACCTCGTAAATGCACAAGATTACATTTGCTCAATTGCAACTAGTTTTTCTTTTGAATTGTATTGAATGACTAGACCGGTAACTAAGTCAATGGTTCAACCACGCCGAAAATAGGAATGTTCTTGTACTTGACTCAATGAACGATCTTTACGACCGTTCATTGGCTCTGCATTATTTTGGACTCACCTGTGAAGAAGGGACAGATACGATTCCACACAGAAATGCATCCACTACGTTGAAATTGACCGAGTGCCAGTTCCAGGTAGAATAGTGGTAGCCCGCCAAAGATGTACATCAACAAGTAAGGTATCAGAAATGCACCTGCAGGATATTAATACGTGACTGCATCATTGAATGAGCATTTGTTAACAATGCATAGTCATCTGATGTCCAACCCCTTTACAATAAGGTACGTTGGCATTCACACGCCACACTACCACGCCCCGTGTTTCACAAGCTATGCCACAAAACCCATGGGAAACCCCTCACCCTACGTGACCTTAAACCTCACAGCATTTGTAAGTTGCGCCATTGACGCCTAGTACACCCCGGGTTTGTTAAAAGTAGGCCGATTTTACTCGACTATAGCCAGAGGTGCTTGCCTGTTGTTTAACATTCACAATTTTGCGTAAGCCGTTAGACAATTATTTCCACCCTAAAAATGATATAAGCGATGAAGGAAACGTAGTTAAAGATATGCTTAAGTTGGAGTGCAAACAGGGCCCTAACCCAGCCTACTTCAGCAAGGAATGGAGTTTTGAGTTTTCAATTTAAGCGTACTACGCAACAAAGTCATTAACCATTGATTTAGCAAACATCAAAAGGTAAGTCTTGCAGAACTAAAATAGACTACACCATGAAAAATTAACATATGACTCTATTCTACACAGAGTGGAAGGTAAATTTTGTTGCATGTGATTTTATGACAAAAGTAACACAAGAAACACTGCAAGCGCACCTCCGCCATTTTGATAACAAATGTAGGGAAACCTCCATATATTTCCCAGGTCCACAGCAAATCCAATCACGGAGAGAAGGAAGTCAATTTTCGTGTCCCATTTTTCCCTCTTCCGCTCGCCTTTGGTCACGCCTGCCTCTGCTACCTCCACTACCACCACTTCCATCGTTGATGGTGTCGTAGTCTGCAGAGTGTGCGACTTTGAAGACTCATCTTCCGCGTTGACCTCCACCGCATTCCTGCCACTTTCCAAATTCTCACTTTTAACCTCAGCACAATTGGTGATTATTTGAGGCATTTGGTGCATTCAACTTGGCGTACTCTAAGTGGGAAAGTGGAGAGGCCGGCTAGGGCAACTTATAAATGCAGTCTAACGAGGCATTAGACGGGTGATTGGTGATGGGATTAAGGGGAGAAGAGAATGAGAGCTTCGCTTTACTGGGGGCGGGCGGATGGGAGGGCTAAGCCGAGGAGGGTGTGTAATGACCACCTTAATATCTCTTGCCCTTCTCAGACATATACATGTACTGAATGATATCAAGAAATTATGAAATCGCCTTTTAATCAATTAAAGTACAAGTTATACCGCTTATATGGCAACACCATAAGGCGCCATACCACCAGGGTCCAAACGTTTTTTTTAATAATATGACAAAAAAGTGATCTAACCAAGTCTCTTGGCAAAATATATATGCTTCTTTAATCGAATTAATTATTTGACTAGCCACTTACACTTAACACCAAAAAATCCACTCTTTTGTGACAACAGCTTTAAAGAGGTTTTGGCAATCCGAGGGGATAATAATCAGTCTAAAAATTTGTGACTGTTTACTTATGGGTAACTATTTCTCAAGTTTCTTTCAGTAGTTCTTCTTCATCAGTAGTAAGGTGTTCCTAGCTGAGTCGCAAATCCCAAAGCCTCCTTCATTCGCCTTTAATTGCGCGCTCTTAGAGGCCAAAAAAGGTGTCGCCCTGAAATCCCTTAATCCTCTTTAAGTTAAGCCGTAGGTACCAACCCTTTTAAGTGCGGGAAAGGAGGCCTCATAAGCATGTGGAAATGACATTCAAACTCATGGAAAGTTTAAGATGGCGCACAGTGACTGATCAGCTTGAATCTCCTCAAATTTGGGCGTATTTAAGATTTCGTCTGTTGTTGTGCATCTTCTCAAAATTATCGTTTTTTACAACTGGAGTCAAGAGTTCATAGTGCGAAGCATAACAATGCGAACATCGCACTAATGCATATTTGTGGCTACTGACACTGACAGGTGCGAGTTCCCGTCTCACCTTCTGAAGACAAATTTTGTAGTTGGACCAGCAAATCTGCCCTTACCTCTTTAGCTTCTCTTTTTATGGAAGATGAGTGCGAGGGCAGAATTGAGATGGTGGTGCCCTTTTAGGAAGAAATCAAAGGTCACATCCGAATATGAATTGAATTTGGTACACAAATGCCACCGTTTCGTGCCTGTGTGTTACTTTTACACTCACAGCAACGCTAAGTCTGGAAGATTTACAAAGTTCAAGATTTTGAGAGACATAACAAGTAGGCATTTTTCCTTAGAAAATGAATTAACTTCGAGTGCATCATAGGGGCGATTAGCACGCGAAAATCGCAAGATAACCAATGACAGATGCCTTTGTTCGAGGTGGAAAGGGGTACGGCGAGAGAGGGGGAGAAGGGATTAGAAAAGCATTCGCCTCCACCACTTTTCGGGACACGAGAAAATCGGTTGAGGGATTTGTCCCCTAATTGCGTGCTAATCTGTATCCTCCTCAACCTCGGTCTTGCTCAAATCCATTAAATTGCAGCGATCCAACAAAGGGAACAGTGTTTGTGGTAATGCTTTGTTTCTAAAGTTGCTACTTGACAGTGAACAGGACAATGAATGGCTTGTGGTGCTGACTTATGACTTTAATGTGAAAAATTGCCGAATGATAAAATACTGAAAAAGTGCGTCACTTTCCAAATGAATTTAGCGACATTTAAAATGCGGATAAACTTCATGTTCCCTCCAGGCAAAAAAGGTGAGGGTAAAAACATCGGTACCTGTCAGTTTATCTTAGAAACCATTGTAAAAAATGAGCCATTTGGCTGAGGAGGGAGACGCTCATGTGTTTATATGCTTTGTCAAGGAGTATATTTAAAAAAACGCCTGCAATACCTTGTTAACTCTCCTATCCGTATGAAGGGTGCTTACATGGGTGATCCCATCTCCTTCCTTCCCATCAAAAAATGCATACAACCAGCTGAGGCCATTTCCTTCTATTACCAGCTGGGAAGTCTTGGGCTCTTTGTTGGGAGTCTTTCGTAAAATGAGGAAAATTTTCATTACATTGTCCACTAGCACATTTGCGCCGAGCTGTCTGTAATCTATGATAGTTTGTTTGAGTGTACTTTTATAGGTGAGAGGCGGGAACAAATTGGAAACGTGAATCACGCGCGTGAAGCCGGCGAGGAGTCTCCCTCCAACTAATATATCCTACTCGCCTCATTTGCTTCCATTCCCCATCCTTCCTAATAACAATGCCTAATAAATTGTCTGCAACCACATGCTTCTTAAAGTCTGAGGATCAGGGACCAGAGGGTAGACAGGCATCTCTTACACTGTCGACAATGGCATTATGCCAAATAATTTTTAATGTGGGGATGTGTTAAATCCTATTGCTATAAATGATAATCGATTCTGGACTAATGCTCTTGTGTCTAGTCCGAAAGACAAGTGAAAATTAACAGAAGTTCTGAACTCTGGTCCATGTATTCAGGCTAAACGTAACTCTAGATCGAAGCATAGCTAGTAAGAATGCCAAAAACGTTACCTCAGTCTCACAGGAGCTGACGGCTGGTGTGGCCAGATACCAAGTGCGATCGGATCTCTGGAAAGGGAGGGAGGAAGAGGTGGAAGCGTGCTGATGTAATGTATTGTAATAATTGGTTCATTCGATAGCCTGCCTAAGTAGCGGTAAATTTGAGAACAATCTTGGCCCTGCCGAATGTCCATGGAATGACTCCATTTCTGCTCTACGCGTCTAAACACAAGAGACTAGCTAGGTCTCGTAGAGTCCATTACCGGAAAGGTCTTAAAGCTCCATATTACAAGATCCTCATTTTCGGCTACACTACTAGGCGGCGCCGAAAACATGAACGCATGTGTTATCAAATGGAAAACAGTGAAATGTTGGCTCGCGAACATAATCCTGTTGAAATATTAATGCTGGAAGCCGATAAGCCTTCAAAAACTTATTGCTTCTGCCCATTCTAGGTCATGTATCAGCTGCAAAATGGCTTCAGAAGGCCATCTGAAATAAGGTATACGAAAACACCGCAAGTAAGGATAAATGCTGGTGTTCACGTAACTGTCCTGGAAGTTGTCCCTTTTCTTTCCCGCATTACACCCAATGTACAAAATGTGTTGTGTTGAGAGTTTAATCAGCGTTTGTGAGTTATGAGGTCGACTGTTTAGTCCAAATGGACGTAGAAACAAATGAAGAGGTGCCTAGCAAACTATTAATATGACGGTATATCACAATTAAAAGCTTGTTGTACGAAAATGCCTACATTTCATATAAACGAAAATTGCATAAAAATTATTGCTGTTCACAAAGTTGTAGTTGTTGTATTTGTAACAATCGTTGGTGTCTGCGCCATTTTTAGGAATGTGTGTTTGTAAAGCGTGTACTGGTTGGGATTTAATTGGATCTCAAGCTTCAAAAGTCTGACCGCTTACTTTATGCAGTTGACCTATCAGTCTGTCTTTAAATGTTTTCACTACTCTTGTCTCAGTACGTTCTAGCATAGATATTGTTTACTTCATAATTATAGGATCGTGTCCTAGGAAGTTTTGTACATTTTAAGGCTCCCCATTTGTTGAGTTGCTTGTGCTTTTGAGGTCGTTTATCTGGTGCGATATTAGAAACTAGATGACTCATTCAAACAACAAGATTCTACCGATCTTCCTACTGTTAGATGTCATTGAGTAACAAGCGCCCTCGTGACACAAATAGTCAATGCGGCGCGCCTTATGTTAAGCGGGTTCGGAATGATGCCGGTCAACCCACAAGTAGGTTTTCCATTAAAGAGTCTCAATTGTGCTAGTTGATGCCTTTGCTGAACTTCTCACTCCCGCGCGACGTTTCTATGCTGGTCTCACTGGCCGTCCCGCCATCCAGGATCCGTCAAAAGAGACTACTCCTGAATGTTCATCACCTCCTCTCCCACTTCATATTCCTCCCAACCAGGCAACTCTGACCGACTTCGGCTTTCACAGGCAATTCGATAACAGAATTAGGCCCCCTGACTCCTATTAGCTTCGTGATTTGAAGCACTTGTGCTATGTTTCGAATTCAACCAAAATTTTTATTTTTGCGGAGCTTTGGAGGTAAATAGGAACTTTTCTTTTTACATGTCTAGGAGGGTATGCGATCGTGACGGTGCTGCATCCGGTAGCATGTGTCGAGTGGGCTCTATTCTTGCTCACGTTAGTCATTGTGCATATTGCAGGAGGCTTGACGTGCAGTTATGTAGCTTGGTCTCCGAGTTTAGGGAGGGTTGGATGTTCCAGCTCGTGATTATAGGGTTTATTGGGAGCGAGGGCATTAGACTCGCAGACATCTATCGACTTCAGGTGCACTTCAAAGGTTGGAAGCCCGGTCGCAGCAAAGTATTTGAGTGGTGCAGATGTTTTAAAAATGGTCGTGTACCCATTCAAGATCATCTTGGTCGTGGCAGTTTCCGGCCTTGAGCAGTCACTTCAAAGAACATTCAGACTGCGGGATTCCTGGCCCTGGATGGTCAGTGCATATCCTGTCGGGAACTTGCACGTAAGGCAGATCTGTCTGTGAGGTCAGTGGATAAAATATTTTTCGAGCATATACATTCGCGAGCAAACGCTGTAGGACAATACAAAGAGAAATGAGTGCATTTCATGTTCTTAAGCGCTGCTTTTGTTTGTTTAACCCAAAGAGCGCAGTTTACCCCAACTCACACTAGTTGGTCTGGTAGCTCACGATAAACACTCACAAGGGAGGCTTCCGTCAATACTGTCAATTTGACAATGGGCAAGATGTGGCTGCCTTGAGAGATCCGGACAAGGAAGTTGATCTTAACTACTTCTTTACGAAGTTATTGAAGAAGTTTCTGGTATAAATACGTTTAATTCCGTTCGCAGTTCGGGTTCTTTTGATTTGGAAAGAAGAGGGAAAGGGATATTTAGTGAAAGTTTACAGGACTCAGATGTCAATAAAAGTCACCAGTGGGGAAGGTTGATTGTTCACTACTTCGTGTAGCACGCCCATTTGGAGGGTTTGCGTGACTGACGTTTTTCTCATCACCGCCTCGTTCCAATGCCATGGAGGCATCAACTCCAGAATCAGTTGCTTCGGTAGATACTAAAGAAACGGCAGTTCCGACGTCTCTTTCCCTCGCTCCTCCTCCTGCACTTGCACCAATGGGTACAAAGCCCCTTAGTTCATTGTTAATACGCTCCAGTTCTTGAAGATAGTCCGTCTCAGTGGAGGTTTTACTTCTTTCACACGTCGTACTAGCGCTGCTACTGCCTCCGAATAACACATTTTCCATATCTGCAGAAAGGAACAATGTTATTTGTACTTAAATAATGCAAGTAGGGTATATTTTACATTGCACATACACTGGAGGTGTTGTTCTACAGTTCGCATGTTTGAGAGGGAATCGTTGAGCTCTTGATGGAGAGAAGTTGAGGTTTTGAGACCACTTTTCCAGGTATTATGAGCAACAGGGGAGTTTGCGTCTGAGCTAGGAGCACTGTAATGGAAAGTAAAAAGAAATATTCTAATTCTGCACCAGCATTTTGGAGGACAAGTGATTTTAAACAGACCCGATTCGCTGGGCGAGATTGTCAGAGCACCGCCGAAGACGGTTGGAAAGACGCAGAATTGAGGCCGCCAGTAGGGATTCATAGGACTGTGTGCAATAAAACGTAAGACAAAAAAAGATTTTACATTCAGAATGCAATCGTGTTAACAGTGGTGTGAACAGGAAACCGCTCCAAATGTGGCTATAAGTATGCTCCATATGAGGAAAACAAGGAAGAATGGATTTATTACTAATTTTAGCGCACCTAGAAGGTCTGCCTATATCTGGTAATTCGACAGCATATGTGTTTTATTCCATGAGTGGACAGCCAATATGACATCTGGTTTCCTCAGGCAGATGGTGAGAGTAAAGACATTAAGTGCTGTAGCATCAGAATAACTAATTTACACAAACTGGACATCGATGGTTCCATCCTATGTGCATACCATACAAGGTTAGACGCTTTTTAACGGGCTTTAGAAGTCAACGCCAAGTAAGCGGGCGCACTGGCGTTTTCGTCTCATTAATGAGTCCCAGACATAATGCTAGTAACAGTTCTTGAAAAAAAAGCAATTAAACAACTGATCTGCAGTGGAAAAAAAGTGATTCTGGTGCTTTTATCGTCTGATCTTAAAATACCCAAAAAAGACCATGTCCAATTCCCTCCCAATGAGGTCGCTAAAATGAATCTCCGCCCCCAACCCTGTCTCAAGCTCTGGTGAGACTGGAGACACCGCTGCCTAATTAGTGGGGAGGCAAAGGAAAAACCGAGGTGTGGAACAGACCAGACTACTCGGTAGAGCCTGTTGAACGCTGTCAAGCACCACGGCTAATTAGCAATCCACTGTTCGAACTTGGAAGATAAGTGAGTTTGCAGGTTGGCCAAAGTGTACAAGCCGCGTTGCGCTATGTGGGGCTTTAGCATCTGCAAAGAGGTTAACTCTGTCCAAAAAAGCCAAAATCGAGCAGAAAAGTTACACCACCTTCTAAACAAATCTGTCAAACCAGCAAAAAAAAAAACAAACCGAGGAATCAGTACTGCTGCAATGATGAATTTCGCGGCACCGGAAGGCCAAATTGACAGCAAAAAATGCAAATTATGAAATTTACTAATTCGCTGTTAAATAAAAACCAGAGATAAAAATGCTGATTACGAGAGAGAGCGGAAAAAAAATTTTCAGACGAGAATCTAAAGTGATCACTGCCATGTAATGCAGCAGAACGGCTGCAGACGTAAAAGGCTCCAACCGAAGGGGAATTGTTGAATTCCAATTCCAAATTTATCTGCCAATGGGTGTATGAATGAAGGATTGTATGTCAAAAAGTGGAATGAAGGAGATGAGATGAGGTGCTTTATTTTGAGCAGCGCAAATAACACCACCCCATCCCTTTTCACCCTCCTTACCGCCTCCAACAAAACGGGCCCATTGGAGCGCTAGCAGGACAATCGTTGGACGTTGGGATCGCATGTCAATCTCCAAACACAGTAACCTTAACTCGTTTGAATGAGAAAGAGGAGAGTCATAGGGAGGGAAGGCACCGAGTGCTTGTAACCTCGCACTCTCCAAATGAAGGGAAGGAGACATTTCAGGTGTCCAAAACAAAGGCGACAAAACTGACTCCTTAAAAACCTTGCTCGGTAATGCTTCCTTTTTTTAAAAAAAAAAGTCCGAATTCGTGCTCATTTGTCTATCAAGGATAATTAGTCCGTCCTTTGTCCAAAGAGGGGGAGAGGAGGGGTCAAAATAATTAGTAATTACCGACACAAATGCCCATTATTATCCTCTCCACTTGTCGATGCCATCGACAGCGCCCTTTTTTTCGCTTTCGTACAGACTTTATGTCCTTCGACCAGATGATTTTGATGAAACAATGGCACCCATCGAGCAAAAAAGACGCCTCCTGGACGTTGTAATTTCATTAGACTTTACATCGTTTCCAACGTGGTCCAGTGGAAGTCAAAGTGCGTTCTCCTTCGAGATAAAAGTCATCAAATGACAACTTTAGCATCCAAAACTGTCAGATTAAACAGTCACACTAATCTCATCTTGTTACAGAAAATGAAAAAAAAAAAAGAAAAATGAATGCCATGAGGCAAAATTGGCGCCATGACTACAAATTCCACGCCACTGTCATTGACACCTCCAACGTCTCAAGCAAACAAGACTTAAAGAAGTGGAGACCGTAGACAATGCTAAAAATGATACGATTAAGCGAATAGAAAAGGTGTTAGTGAAGATTGACGCAGCTCCTTAAACAAAGCTGATCTCTACACACCCCTTGGCACCAACAAATAACACAAGTACTTTGTCCCAACGCCTGCCATTCATCCACTCCTGCCTCCTTCCACCTCCTAACACTTGTTTATTTTACCAAAAGGGAACGAGGTAGAAAGAGAGAGAGAAGAAGGAGAGCGAAAGCGCATAAATCCACCTTTTTACTGAACATTTAATCATTGTCAGTTGATGTCGCTTTGACGAGAGTGGACCGAATCGCCTGCTCGTAAGAAGTCTCAACTTTTCTACAAAAAAAGTCTCTGAACGCAATGTGATTTGAGAGGCATCAAAAGGTGTGTGCCACAGTTGATTCGCATAAATGGGAAAAAAGGGAAATGCTTTTTGGTGTGACAAGTTTACTGTTGCCTACCCTGATGCACCCACCACATGCTCATGATAAATTCTTTTTTTCCTTTTCCAGAAGCTTGGTGAACTTTATTGCGACATTTATCATTGGTGGACGAAGCAAAGAGTGGCCGAAATATGCACGAACATTAAAAATCATCATCGCATCTACCAGTGCGTCGTGTCGAGCATCGCAGACCATACAGATCAACGCAAATTGTGCCTCAACGAAGCTGGAAGATGTCGCTCCCAGACCGAAGATAAGCCCTACTTTCATGTACTTTGAGTTCCATATTTTGATTGGCCAACTCGGTCATGTAAGTATGGAAACGATAAACTGTTTGAAATGTGGTGGCAGATTTTTCCCTCGAGACTTCTACATCAAACGCGGCTAAATAAATGTTAATTAGGAGAGGTTACAAAAAATGGATTAAACTTCACTGAGTAGGTATAAATGAACTACTGAATGGTATCTACCTTGTCAGTGGTGTCGGGAAGTGGTTGAATTTCACAATCATTTCCTCCGACCTCGTCACCAGCACCGACTGGACCGAGAGAAAGTGAGCGTCGGCACCGCTCTGCAACATCGGTAGAGCGGAGCTCTGTGGGACGAAGAGGGACACGAACTGCGGTTACAGCGGAGAATGCGGAGCCTCGGAGTACCTCGTCAGCATCAAACCGACGCGCCACCGGTTTTGCAATGCCTCCAACAGAACCACTTGTTGTTGTTGCCTCCTCTATTAATGCGGCTTTCACAGAGGACGAATTTCCTGCCGTCTAACAATGAGCAATGTGAAATTAGCAAACATTTGTACACCGAAAATCTCATGGTTGGTTGTATTGCAAGCACAATTACAGGGGTTTTTGAACTTCGTTAATTTCACATAACTCGCTCACAAACAATGAATTCCTTCACTGCGCAGAAACGTGGTTCTCAAGACCTCAAAAAAGAGTCTTTGCATAATTGGTCCTGTACATTGTTTGGTGCCTTTGGGTTTTACTACCGTCATATGGAGTTACACATAGGTGACAGAGATGGACTAGCAACCGGACACGTTGGTGACAGAGTGGTTGACTTCAAACCAAGGCGAGACACAAAATAAATGAGCGAAAAATTTCATGGTGAGAGTAAAAACGTCATTCAGTCCAACCTGGCATCATCGCTGGCGCCTACCAAACAATTCACACAGCCGCCAGTTGAATTAGTCAAAAAGGATAAAAAGCAAGTGAAATTTTGAGCAGAGAATGATCTTTTGTCCATTACCCTAATGTAATAGAGGCCATAGGCGCCTTGGGCAAAGTCTCAACAAATAACTCTTTCGTGGTGTCTAAATATAGCATCTATTAAGCCGACCTCTTCGTGTACTCCTCGTAGTAGAGAGACCAGGAAAATCCTCCACTTGTTTGGGAGTCATCCAGCTAAATAAAACGCGGTCATGCGTGAGCAGACGCTGAAGGATGAAAAGGGAGGGAAGAAGAAGGAAGAGAGGAAAGAGTCTTGAATTATTGAGCGTTAAGGAGGAGGTAAGTGGAGGAGGGGAAAAGGTATGTACTCTCACCAACTATCTTCTTTCCCACTCTTCTTCCATTTCGCTTTCTCGTTCAAGTGCTAAAGGCGAAATTTTGCGTTTTGTGCTGCCTTAAATACCGTTGCTCAACCGACGGAGTGCTCAGTAATTTGAGCCGAAATTCTCAATGAAAAACAAGAGGTGGCATACTCAAAACACATCCGGATGAGGAAGTAATGCGAAACGGAAACCTATTGACACGTTTTATTTGTTTTATGAATTATTGAATTGAGTTAAAAACTTAACATTTCCGAGGAGCAACATTAGACCCTCTCACAAATCCAAATTTAGGAAAGGCAGAAAAAACAAAAGTGAAATATATTTACTCTATGCCATAAAAAAGGAAAAATTTATTATCAGTTCAAAACTTCAAAAAATGTAATTTTGCTTGTAAATTACAGACTTATCAACTAAATAGAATCTCATAAGAAATTTTAAGCTTTTTTTCCAAAAAAATCAAATTTTGCTTTACTTAGCAAAGACTGTAAATTAAAGTTCTTGTGCTTCACGGATTCCTCCGAAATTGTTTAAGTTTTACCTTTTGTAGTGCTGACTTTAAATTACAACAACAACAAACAAGCAAACGGAATCAAAAGGCAAATACGTGATTGTTTTCCATAACAACGGATTAAGTTAGTGCGCCGCCAGAAATACACCTTAAGTGGAGCAACAAATAGTTTTGTGGCGTTAGGGAGTGCAACCTGCCTTCACTACCACTTTTATCGCCTGCGAAAGGCGCCTCGAGGTGGAGTTGATCTATCAGGTGCGTTTTTTAATTTACCTACTGCATTTTAACCCACGAAATGCAGCTAGTGCCAGAAAAAGGGAGTTAATTCATGTGAGACAAAACAAAGCGCAGAGTCGGAATGCGAAAATACGAAGGAGGCGTGGTACGGTTTTTGCATTCATCAACTTACCGTGACATCGGTGAGGGTCCCTGAAGGCCGATTTCCACGCAAAATGGGTGTTATAGCAACCGCCGAGCCTTAATAGCAATAAAATTTTCATGTAAAAAAACGGAGAATTTTAAAACTTTACTTTTGTCAACATTAGATTTGAGTGAAAACGAGGAGAGGAAGACGTTTGCAGCGAGCATTTTGATGTGAACCTCGTCAACTCACTCGTTTGAGTTGATAGGCTTGGCATACAATTAATTGCACTTCATCAACCGTCGCATTTGAAGGTAGACCACAAAGTTAGCTTCATCCCTCTCTCCTTACCCACCAGAAAGTGGTCTACCCAGGCTCTCCAATTAAAGCTGAGGCTTGGGGTGAACACCACATTTCTTGTCTTGGGAATCGGTGAAGTTCACCCGGTCTGGAGGTCGATGAACTCCGCCCACTTTTCATCTCTCACCTCACTCTTGACATCCCTTCCTGATTCCTTCCGCGTAAAGCCCATTTCACCTACCCTTTGCTATGCAGTATGAAAAGTGTTAAAAGGCAGAAAGCAGCTCTAAGAAATGGTCCAGTAAGTTAAGTTGTGAGAGGGAGAGGAGGGGAAAAGTGAAAATCAAGAAAGTTGGTGGCGCCATTCGCAGGCTAATGCGAGCGTAAAGCATGAAAAGTGGCAGCTATCGGTAGTTGCTTTGGTGTAAGAGTGCTGTGGATCATCTAAACGACTTCGTGGTGACAAGGAAGGCGGTTTTAATGCTTCTCGGCAGGCTAAATGTTGAGGATGAGGAGGAGGAAAGGCAGAGAAGTGTTCGGGATACCAATATTTATTTGTTGAAAACAAAGTTACAACCGCTTTCGATTGTCCCGTATGATCTCCCATGACATAAAAGCGAACCAAGAAAATATGGATAAATTAAGTGAAGTGCTCTTCTCTCCCTTCCCACTGTCAAGTAAAAAAGGAGAAGGAAAACAAAATTGCCATATTCCTTGGGAGGAACACATTTTTACCAGAAGAAAGGAAAGGGTGGGAGAAAAGCCTACATCCTTGACCCTTATCTCTTGGCGTAGAGTAATAAGGTGGCTTTACTTAGCAGCAAATCGCTATAAACAGAGACCACTAATTTGCCTTCTGAGCTGGGGGATATGTGGTAAGTTTGGTTTGGGAGGGCCAAAATGTTCTCACCCCTCTCCTTTCCCATCGGCTCAAGTATTTTGGAGGAGAGTTATGGAAAGGTGACGTAGAAAGAACGGAAAAGGAGAAAAAAGAGGGAAACAAATCAACAGGAGGCATGCTTTAGCCTTAGCAGATACGACATTTCTAGGAAGGGGGCTCTGTAAAACGTATCAGAGGCGGTACTTTAGCAGTCGATAGGAGAGACAACTTCTCGCCGTGGTAAAAGTCACTTCACTCCGCCGGTTGGACTGCCCGAGAGAATAAGGGCAGAGCAGAAATGCGGAGGCGGAGGCGGAGAGTGGAGGAGGCTGAGGAGGAGAAGAAGGAGCAGGATCAAAAATTACCAAAAGGCGAAGATGTAACAAGGGAGAGTAAAAGGAGACAGAATGTGGATTAAGTCACGCACAGAATTTGAAAGCATTGCTGACAACTAGAGTGAGGCTATGAAACTTGCTTACATAGCCGAAAGATTCTACGTGCTTCTGGTTAATTTGGACCCTATTCCGTTGTTGAAGGGCTTAACTGGTCTGTGAACCTGGAGAATCTCCACAAATTGACTTTATCATTGAAAAAATGGACGCTATCAAAAAGAAAAACACGTCAAAGTCCAGATATGCGTCCTACCTAGACTAGAGACACACTTCCGTCCTTACTGGTGCAAAAATGAATCGCCTAGAACTTGAAGTCGCCCTTCGGATTTGGCATCGTCATTTCCCAGGACAAGGAGGAAGGGAGAGGAAACAGATGAACTCAGGGTCCCGTTTTTTCGCCTCTCCTCCCGCCCAGTGGTACACACACTCACGCAGAGGCTGTTGTGTACTTACACGTCTAAATGGTCAGCCGTAGCTTTAGCTAGCAGATGGTATTTATCACAGTGTCACATGTCAATACCGCTCTAAGCCCTCATTCTTCCTTCTGTCCAGTTTGAACATTGGTGGGCTAGCAGTAAGGCAATCTTTGCCCACCTCAACGCCACACAACTGTTGTGTCTTAGTGGTGTAAGTAAGGAAAGAAGTGCTTGTAAGGCTGAGCAGATGAAAATTAATCACTTCTAGCAACCACCTCGTTGGCTCTTTGTCCTCTCCTCGTTGTTTAGTGCTTCATAAGTGTAAGGTGGAAAATTAAGTAACGTGTGTACCAGATTTGCAGGCTGATCAGCCGTGAACTAATCCCGATGACCTGTCTGACAGGGATATGTCAACGAATGGAGCCACAGGAACCCTTTAAGGAAGGCCTGAAATCAGTAAAATTGCCAATCTACTTTCCGTTCCTCTTACATTTTGATTTTATTTGACAAAAGTGCCTTTCTGTTGTTGGGATGGTTGGATGCACAAGAGGACCAGTTGGTCTCATAGCATTAATCAAAACCACCGGTTCTCCACCGCCCACTAGACGACCTGCCATCGTTGATGCGAAAGGAGGATGACAAAAAGACGCACTGAAGAAGATACTTTGAAGGAGGATGCGGTAGTGAATAAGGTAATAATAATCCCGCACACCTTCCAAAAGAAAAAGCAAGAATGGAGGAGAGAAACCGGTGGGAGAGTACCGTCCAACTTTATGGCATAAGGAAAAATTTTCAAAAAAAAAAAAGTATAACAAGCAGATGTCGGATTTATGCATTTGTGGAAGGGAGAAACTTTTGGATTTGGAAATGTAAAAAAACAGAGAAATGATACAACTTTCGCTCCAACTTCCCACCTGACCTTGCGCATTTAAAATAGCCAACCATTCAGATGCCCTATCCTTTCTCCTCCTTCTTCCTGTACATTCAAAGAGGAGATAGTGACAACGTTCCCCCATTAAAAAATAAAGAATTATAAAACACTCGTGCTTTAAAAAAAATGAAAAGAAATAGGACCCAATGCACTCACAATGCTTTGACTCTGCTTCAGGTCGCCGTTGAAGCACCATAGGTGGCACAGTGGAAGTGACGCTCACCCCTGTTGGTCGAGATGACATGACCTTGACCTCGGCTACACTTCGGTTGGCGAGATGACTGGATTGTGTGTGAGTGAGGCTGTTATTTGTGTGGTCAGTGGGGAAGAGATCGTTGGGGGTTGGACTGTCAACACGTTGATGGTTTGCATTTCGTAGGGAATGTCGACGAACTGGGTAACGACTGTGACAAAAGGGTAGGCAAATAAAAACAATAAGGCTTCTTATTTCAGGAGTTCACCTCACATCCCCGCATCCACTATCCACGTTACACTGCAAGGTGGAGGGAGGGAGATAATGTCACAGATCCACCTGAGGTTTCTAGCCTTACTTCTCTATGCACTGATTGTTATTATTTCCCATCAAGTAGGCCATGGAAGGGAGACGGATGAATTTGAAAAGAGCTGGAATTTTCAGGAGTAATCATCTGTAATCCAAAATACTCCAAATTGGGAACATTGACCAGCGCTGATTCGAGTCCTTCTCTCAAACCAAGCCTGCCGGAGCAAAATTAGGTCGAAAGAGCGAACACAACTGGAGAATCTCTCGACAAGAACTACGCCTGATGAAGTCATAATCTGTCCTCTCGGTATCTACGAGATGCTGTACTCGCTATAGTATCCAAAATAAGAGAGAGGCAGTGTCAAATACAAAAAAGAAGGCTGAAAAGCTATAGATGGCATCAATGTCAGCATTCATGAATACCTAATGCCTTGGCCTTTTGCAAGAGACACAGATGGCGTGGAGTAACTAAGTTGGACCTTTCCAAGCACTGAAGAAACTCAAAAGGTCACAACCTATGGTTCATTACATACACTTCAGAAGAGCCGTTCCTTATGTTCAAATTCCTTGTGACATCAAGTACTAAATTCCAAAGATCTTTGATTTGATTCCATGTTCAGCAAACGCAAATGGAAGAAATCTATCCCTTGGGCATGAGTAGTTGAGTAAGGGGAGAACTCACTTTGAATTGGTAGGTCTCCGACCCCCACGAAACGGATGTCCCGGTTCCGTGGCTGAAGCAATCGATACAGGGGATATTGGTGGTGCTGAAACGGGAGGCGAATAAGGTGCAGTTGTAATTGGCTGACGAGCTTCACTTAAGCCTTGATGTTGATTGGATGGGAAGAAATGACGTGTGGGTTGAATTACGTCATAGTGATTGGCTGATTTGCCCAGCATCGATGAGCGGTCCATTGATTGGCTGTAGAGGTCACCAATTGTTGTCTAGGAATGAGTTGTTTATTAATAAAACTGAAAAAATATGGTGGCTATGCTCTTTCAGAAATTGTTCCATAACTAAGAATCGGAATCTAAGATATACCGCATTAATACAACGAAAAAAGGTGGGCTGAAAATTACCTCATTAACGATTTACAAAATCTTATACTAATTTAAATAATGCTAAAAGGAAAAATGATCGAAGAATGACTGCTAACTTAGAAGGTTTAGGTTATCTTTTGCAAAGACAGACAAAAAGAAAAAAAATGCTTTTCCACAGACACCAAAAAATAAGTGAATCGTAATCTCGCAAATATTATCTCGAGTGTCATTGGTGATGTCAAATGTCATCATCGGCTGAGGCGCGACAATTGTCACATTGCGTTTTTTACATGAATTAAAAAGTGCCGACAAGAACGCAGATGCCATAAATTCGAGGAAAACCGTAGCTCTGGATAGCAATAAAATGCGGTAGTCGTGATGATAAGGAAAGAGGGGAAGGTTCTCCATCAGCATGTTCTCGACCAGATATATTTAGCTTTCCTTTTTCGAAACTGCAAGGTAAAAATCCACCAAGTATGCTCAACTAAATAGAGTGAAAAGTGACGAAAGAGGCATTTTATACCCCAGATAGCCGAAATTCTACTGCACATGTCGATCTATGCAAAGAAGAGCAGAAGGAGAAGCGCCTAAAATTGTTATTTGTCACAGTCGACTGAAAAATGAGGACAATTATGAAAGGGCGATGACGATAAATCTCCAACGAGGTGAGTTGACACAAACAAACACGCTATCCTGCCAGATAAATTGCAGGGCTTCTTGGCATGCGGATGTTACATTTAACTCAGTGTCTGCATTTCCACAGAGACCTTTTCCGACACGCAAACACCGAGGCCACAACTCACCTAATACTCACCTGATTTGGTGGTGGAGGGGATGAAGGGCGATATTTCTCATTCATCGGACTTCTCTCCACACTCGTTTCAGCATAGCGATGGGTCAGGTAGGTGGAGAGGTTTTGCAATTGTGGCAGTTGAATTGGTGTGGCAGGCACTGTCGGATGAGTAGGTTGTCTGTAGATGCGACGTGCTATTTCGTTCAGAGCTTCTTGAGAATTCTACAATGCAGAAGGCGACACGTTGCCGTCTCATTAACGGTCTTCCATTGACAAGAATGTGGAGAAGTGAGGGAGGACTTTGCTTTACGGGAAAACAAGTAGTATGTTATTGGCCCAAATATGTGATGAAGTTGGGCTATCACTTTATGTTAGCTGACCACAATAAAGCGTACGGAGTTTTTGACTGAAAGATGAGGACAAACAGCCTTAAGTCGAAGTTAGCTTTACTTTTGACCATCTTTTACCAGTGAATGAGTCGCTTGACCAAATGAATGAGCTCTTGTTGATGATGAGTGCCCGTCCAATTGTACTACCCGATCGGCCAGAGATCCTAGCAACAGATTTGAAAATAAGACCAAGCGAACTCACGAAAAAAAAAACCAAACTCTGGCTTTGTGCGTGGACAAGTGCGCAGTTCTTTGTTCGATCACAAAGTAGAGCGCGAACTTTTGTTTTGAAAAAAAGACCATAAAGTCGTCCTGCCCACCTGCTTTGACTACACCAAAACAGAAAGGAAACAGACAAAAACCTCTTTTAAATACTTTCTTTGTCTGTTATCACACATGTCTGACGTGTGCATTTGAGAGACGAGGCAGAGGAGAGGAGAGACGGAGCCAGGAGTTGTGGTCAATTGTAGACGTGAAATTGAGATAGTCGCAGACTTCTAACTCACCCTCAACAACAACGCCGTGTCCAAACTTGTAGTGCTACGAGTTGATCGAATAAGAGGCACTTGTTGCCCCGCAAAAGGGTAGACTGCGTCTGAGGTGCGTTTGTTTCCCCTCGCAGAGTACTGAACTGATGGGTAGCGATGACGATGGTGATAACCGGAACCCTGCGATCTTCCATTTTCTCCATACTCTGACTGGATGGAGCATCGACTGGCGTGTCGCCGTAACTGGCTCCACGTCACATCCAATAAATTTGTGTCTGGATTCCAAGAACGACGAGTTGTAGCAGATTGAGCACGATGACTACTACTTGTCGAACCTCGCATTTCCAAACCGCAGGAAGCTTGAACTGGCGCGCAGACAAGATTGGGTTTTGAAACGATTTCTGGTTGAAGGAATTCCTCTTTCAACTGATCAATAAGAGGAGATGAGGAGGAAGAGGATGATGAAGGAGTGGACGGGGAGGTTGATGCATTCAAAAACTCAGAGGAGACTTGGACTGGGAAAATTTGACCTTGAAGATTGGAAGGAGGTGCCTTGAGGGTAGCAACAGGAGCAATGTTGTTGTTGGTAGTGGCAGTAGTGGTAGTGGTGGAAGCTAGGGTAGTGTTGGTCGAAAGGAACACAGCTGAATGCGATTCGGAATCAGCCACACCGGAATCGACGGATTGGTAGGGTTGAACGCTTGCTGGTGAAATTTGGTTATGTGTAATGACTTGTCCTTCGGCTATAAAGCACAGTAAAAAAATGACAGTTGTTTCCTTTTAACAAAAAAAGAGACCCAAAGTACCTGCCCCATAAAAAATTCTAACTGAGAGATTTGGTGAAGCCACGTGGCACTACTCTTCATACCTTTTGGCGGCGCACCACTTGTCCCACTAAATCATGCCTTCCTGAAACCCGATTAAAGGCCACATACTGATGGCGCTCTTCATTCAGTGGGAGGACAAAACGACACAATACCGCTTGCTCCGTACCGACACAGAGCTCACCCACGGAGAGGCTTTCTTTTCAAGCTGAGAGGGAGGGGGTGGAACGGGAGAGACATTGTCTCACTTCGACTCCTCCGTATTTCACTAACGTTTCTCATAGCTCATGTGATTATAGCCCTCTCTAGACGCTGGATGCTCAAGTAAAATGGAGTTAGAGATGTGGTCTGGGAACACTCTTTTCCTTCACATTTCACAGGCACGGGGGAGGCGGGGGAACAGGATGAAAGAGAATTCGAGACAGGCTATTTCTTGCCTTGAAAAAGGCTTGCAACTGTACTGATTACCATCTAAACCAACAGTATCCGTTGACTTGAGTTTTTAATAGACTAAATACAGAAAGAAACACCAACTTTCTTTGATGTACTACCCTCTCTCCCTTCAACCAACATGGTCACAAATTTCTTCAAATAAAAATACTGCAAATTTAAGACAAATAAATTTGATTAAGAGTTAAAATATAATTATGGTGCTAAAAAGTGAAGTACCCTTTGAATTCATTACCCATCACCCATTTCGTTTGCTCCGCATGAAATGAATGCCAAGTTTGCACGACTTTTGAACGAATTCATGAAATTCTCCAAGCTTTGCTATGCATAAAATCAAGTTGAACCTTCAAGATAAGGCTAAAAAAGTGGAGTGGTTAGAAGCGATTCTGGATCTTGTAAAAAAAGGAAAACTTGATTTGCACAGACTGAAAGTAAAAGGCAAAAAAACTATCCAAAATCATTTTGCGCATTAAAAATGGAAAACCACAAAGATTTTTGACACCTTCGGATTTCACCGTTTGGAGGGTATTTAATTAAGTGGAAGAGAAACTCGTCCCTCCGCACTTTGGTGAAGAAAATGACAGAATGTTAAAGAAGATTGGATGCGACCACCTACGTAACTCGCTGTGGCAGGTCAAGAAGGAGGCATCAGCACAATCCTGATTGAAGGCAAATTTCGCTGCTGGCATTGACTTCGGAGGAATGTCTCCACTTGGGTTTCGAGGCATTCTTTGGCTTCATCCTCCACTCCTTCTTCTAAGACCGGACTTCCGGAGATCTCCACTTACGCCAAAATAGTTCGGGTTACGAATAGAGAGGGAGGCCTGTACGCCACTTCTAAATGCATGCTATCAAGGCGGATGAAGTGGTGCTTCCGGTAAACCCATTTGGCACCACAAAATGCAGTCTCTTGCACCCATTTCTCCCCTCCCCCTCCCTCGTTCATGGAGGTATTTATGCAGAAGTTTGATAGTCCGTCTGACAAGCTAAACTATTTACGTGACTATTTCAGCTACAATCATTCACTACAAATAGCCTAAAATTAGATGTCGGAAATTAATTCCTTCATTAATACAAGTACCCCAACTAATTTAGTTTACAGGGGATGATTTGTTTGAACAGATTGAACCTTCTAAAAAACTTAAAAATGAGCTATTCTAGAAATTTCAAGGCTGCAGAAGAGTTATTCATTGGGGATGTGAGATGTGGTGGGCAAATGTTTCATTTAAAACAAAAGGATGATTTAAGAAGGCCTACTAGTCTTCAAAAATAGATTTTCCTACTTGCACCTGGTGTCGTCAAACTGTGCGATTGGAGACAAGATATATGTACATCTTTCTGTTTTCCTTATTTCGTATTTTAAAGTTTAATCGAGGAACAAACAAGTCACTCACTCCGCCTCACTTCAGTCCCAACTATGTGTGTGGTCCGCTGAAGACATTGCAGAGGTTATTTGTTCACTCAGTGGTGGGACAATAAGTACTGATGAAAAACATAAGGTACTGTTCAGAATTATGCGAAAGTTCCGTCACCTTTGGCCAGAAGGCCCCTTCTCATTCTACGCAGTACCTGTATTACATTTCTCCGCATGATGAGTTATCGTGAGATTTTACAACCACACGCAAGAGAGGACGGATAGTTGGGAAATGAAAGAAACGACAGGAAGGGCGGTGGCTAGATTTCGACTGTTTTTCGCCTTCTAGGAATGCAAAACATCCAAGCTTATTAAAAGGTTTCGCCACCAACGACTTTGCCTTGGCTACACAGCCAAGAAGGACACTGATTCTAGATGAGTAGGACCCAGACATTACTTGCTTCACTGCTACAGAGAGGATGGAGGAAGCTCAGCCACAAGTAGTGCTTGAACTCTCCGGTCTGAGAGGTCCGAGGCGGATCATCCTATCAATGAATCTGCGTGATTCAATGTAACAGGGGAAGAATTTTCAAAGCCAGAGTGAACAGACACTCATACCTTGGAGTTTACTGATGTCTCTGCACTTTTAGAATACTTGTTAATTAAATTCCAACTAACGTAAATTAATAATCGCATACACGTTGTGTTGAACTAGCCAACAGACTGTGCGACCTTGAGAATTGGCCAATGAAAACCCTGGGGAATCAATAATTACCAAAATAATGAGCGAATAAAAAAATCTAATAATTTTGATACAAAATTAAACTCGTTTGCAACTGTAATTGTAATGCCGTCAACTTATGTGTATTTTCGTTGCATATTGACACCTAGCCTACCTTTGCTGGCAATATCCGATGTTAGAGGGAAAAGCCGAGGTTTTTCGCCACGTAGTTGGTTAATTGTTTCTCGTGATCCTTCTCGTTTCTCTAACCAACAAGATGTTTTGGCCAGGTACTCCGGAATCCCAGGAGCTCCCTGACGCCTCGATCCACTTAGTGGAACTCCACCGCCGCCGCTGATACCACCGCCACCTCTGCTGCTACTGGATTTTGCTTCTAGATCCTACAACAGTATCGAAATGCGAGAATGAATATGCACAAATCCCTGTGCACATTTAACATTAAGATTATGCGCCCAAACAACCGTTAAGAATTGGCAATCAACTTGCTTCCGTGATGGTGCTAAAAAAATTCCCCCATCACTTACAAGCAAGGAATGTGCAATCGGAATGTCAAGAGGACGTAAAACAGGGCAAACGAGGACTACTGATTGTTTTGTTGATGAAGGCAAAGCTTCATGGAAGGACTAATTCAAATTGCGGTGATTCTTGAACAAAGAAATCCCTTTCGTTTCGAGAGAAATCGACTAGAGACTATAGTGCTGTGTGAGTACCTTTTAGTTGAAATAGCGTAATTTATAGGGAGATTCCGATTAACATTTTGGTTGAGGGCTAAGTCGACCAAACAAGGAGGGTTCAGCGTTGTCTGAACTGGCGAAAATGCATGAACAAGCTCCGTTCTGACTGGAACAGTCTGTTCCTCCCAGGGCCAACTAACTCACACTGGTCGCATGAATTATTCACCCAAAGAGGACCGATTTCATTGGACCTTTTTCATACCGAGGCAACGCCATACCTCCCTCTAACCCCACTTTGGCTACGTCTTAAAAAAGTGACGACGAATGAACAGATTTCCTGTCTTTTTGAGACGATGCAAAATCACTTTTTGTCTAGCACTTTGATGCGCTCAAAAAAAATTCAGACAAGTTTTAAGGAACGCAGGCGTAGACAACAAACTGGTTACTACCTACCTAGTCCTCCTTACAAATCTTTTGTTTAGCTTCAAAAGGTGGAGACATTCGTTGAGTGGGGAAAGGGGAGGGTTTAGTGGTGGTTCTTAAATGAAAAAGCTGCCTTTTTTAGTTTAATCTCATTAACAAGGCAATTTATCAAAATCTATTTAAATTAATTTACCCACACAAATGAGTGGATTACTTCCACCGCAAGATCCTAGAACTTAATGACGGCGTACTTTTCATGCCCGATGAAACAACTTTTAGGTTTTCAAAAAATCATAAAACCCAGTACAAGCTAAAATAAGCAGCTTCCCAACCCTGTCCTACCATATACTTAGACGCCCTGAGGTCAAAAGACCTGATATTAACCAGAAAGCAAAAAAGAGAGAAGATCGCATTTTTCCAAAATAAAAGGCTTATTTACAGGGTATACACACACACGCAAACACAGAAACTCTCTCAGTGATTAGTGTGTATTAGCATGCCCACAAAGGTGAAGGTGGTTAGCCAAAGTTTTGCATCTGTTAGAGCTCTCAAAAGGAAGGGGGCGAATAAAGTCGGTGGGTAAGTGGAAAGGTAAGCAAGCAAGCAAGCTAGTCAGGCAGAACGTCTCTCTGTACAATATTATGCAAGGCGCTAATAATCTGTTTTACGTTCAGCATTGTTAAAAGCCAAGCCTTCTATCTAAAAATCAAAAAGCAAAAGTTGCAAATATCGCCATATAAAGGGTTAGATCGGTACTCCTCTTCCCTCAAACAGCATTTCCCGCCCTTCCTCTACCTATCTGAGTGACTGCACCCAAGAGGAGAAAAAAAGATGAAAAAAAGAAAATACGTTTTACGCTTGGTTTTAACTAAAAAAGCCGATAGCATCAATTTGAGGTAGAAAAAAGTAAAAATCAAAGTAATATCAAACCTTTTTCACTTTAAAGAAGGGTTTAAGGAGATTCATTATTTCCCCTAATCTGGAGAGCGAGATCAGTCCACATTGGCAGTGACGTTAAATAACAGCAGACGACGACACGTCGCCTGCATTAAACCACCTTCAAGCTTAACAAATGGTCTTCCAGCAACATTTTCATTGGTCTAACATCTCTCACTCCTAGTGTGCCTATTGGCTCTGTCAAGGTCACTGGTGGGAAAAAAACAAAAGCCCGATTTCACATGCGCAGGAACATAATGAAGATGACTTCTGTTCCTGCATTGCCATCGTTAAAAGAGATCTGAAAAGTCGTTGAAAGTTTTATTCCCGCATTCCTCTCTACCCTTAGGAGTAGGAAGTAAAGCAGGATAAAAGGCAAGTACGGGAGGGAACTCTCTAACTGGTCTACGTAGAAGATGCAATGCCACTCCACAATCCAGTCAATACCAGTTGTACAGCTACATAAGTAGGGATGGTGTGATCAGGACTTTTTAGTCGGCCTAGAACAGCCCTACAACGTTGCATCAAACTGAAAGTGTTCTTGAGTCACACTGTTTACCAATCGGCCAGATGTCAACCACGGTGAAGAGACAATTACTACCAAGGAGTTGCAACTAGTCAGGTACGATGGAGGTGTTCAACGTCTATATAGTCCAGATGCCTCATCGTTCTGTCAAAGACACCCAAGCATCACTTCATCGTCTCCTTGATGCGTGTAGTACTTTCACAGTGGTAGAATTGTTTGCGACAATAAGCTTAAACGACCCTTGTAAATAATTAACTACTTCCAGATTGCCCCTTATGTTGCTGCTTCCAGGAAACAGTAACAAAGACAGCTAATTCGTGCGAATTATGATGACATTGGAGAGTGCCCAATGGAGTTTGGATACGACCAACAATTTGGTAGGTAGCCTACCTCATCAGCACTAGAGAGGGAGTCAGCTTCAGCCCTGAACTCCTCATTGATTTCCTTTTCAAACCTCTCCAATGCTTCTACTTCGATTTCCTCCCCTTTTAGCGCCACCGCAGCCTCATTAGGATTTGGACTGTCACTTCTCGATGTCATAGTGCCTTGGTAGGGGATGGTGCAAGTGTTTGAAGTCTCCATGATGCTTGTATCCCCTTGGGCGTCCTTAATTAATTTCTCCACGGAATCGTATATCACAACAGGTGGAATACCCTCAGCAGCCAATGTGTCGTTGGCATCAAGAACATAGGTCTCTGCAATACTTTGAACCGATTCGGCAGTCTGCAGAGTGTTTGGGTCGATTCCATGATCCTCAGGATGCGTCAAAGGATTCTCCAGGGTGACTGTGGAAGCAGCAGTGCTCATTATTTGTGTCGCCAGATTTTCCTCTACCGAAGCACCGACGATAGGTAGTTCCTCAATTGGAGGATGAGAGATGTCTGTAGATTTGCTGACATTTTTGCCTCGGATCCAAGTTTTACTGAAGTCCTCAACCAAGGGACTGAGAGCCTGTGCCAGCTAAAAGTGGGGAAAAAGGTATATAGTGACGTTGAGCGATGACACGATGTATTTCAGCGTAACCATCACATGCTATACATCAAATTGTGGGAGTACAACTTAATTTTTTCTCGTTAAAAATTATGTCCGAGAGAAATTTTTTACTTTTTTTGAAAATAGGGAATTATCTCAGTTAACTGCGATAACTGTAAAATCGACTTGAGAATTCCATCCCTCCAACTCACCGCTTCCTCTTCATCCTCCCCAAATTTATTTATCTCAGCTTCCACTCTCTCGAACAATTCCAGCTCCTTCCTCTCCTCCGGTGTGCAAACGACTGGTGTCTTCACTTTTGTGCTTGGTGCAGGTATGGCCGTGGGCGTTGACGGCGATGCAGCTGCCACGGCCAGTGCTGCCTTAAACTCCTCAAACACAGATTGGGTGGTGCACTTGGCTGCTGTCACAGCGGTATAGGTAGCATTAATGCCCTGAAACATCTTCTCCATCACATACTCCTTGGCGTCCTTGTAAGACCAAATCTCCTGAATCACAGGATCACAGATCGTACACCCACCAAGCACAGGTTTTGTTGGCAAGCAGATGGTAGAGCCACAGGTAGTAGTAGTGGGAGTCGTTGTAATTGGCTTTTTAATGCTATTGAACAGAGGCCGTGAAGACTTCGGCCGCGGCGTCAGCACGGGTCCTCGTGGACTCGGAACAGCGGGAGCTTTTGTGAGACGAGTATGAACTACAGTAAAACAAGTTAAACGGAATTCTGAAGCAGTTTGTACTTCTTTCAATAGATTCATCGGCAAAAATGATGTCAAGCTCTTCAAACATTCAGGGGCGCTTAATTTATTTCAGTAGAGCGCGTCCACGAAAACTGCATAAGTTATTTAAAAGCTAATGTTTTGCTATCCATTTGAGGTATAACCATATTCGATGGCATAATCTTGAAGAAACTTCAACCATATAAATATGGAACTCATCGTCAATTGGTGCGCGTCAACTTTGTCAACCGATTTTCTCATTGTTGAAAAGAGGTAACAAAGGCACACCTTTAGATCTTTCATTCACGTAAGTTTCTTGTTTCCCACGATTCCCGACATTCAACAAGCATAAAGTGCTAACGTGCATGCTTGTGACATCGCATTCCTACCCAACGTAGATAAATACTACTTGTTTTCCCGTAAAGCAAAGTCCTCCCTCACTTCTCCACATTCTTGTCAATGGAAGACCGTTAATGAGACGGCAACGTGTCGCCTTCTGCATTGTAGAATTCTCAAGAAGCTCTGAACGAAATAGCACGTCGCATCTACAGACAACCTACTCATCCGACAGTGCCTGCCACACCAATTCAACTGCCACAATTGCAAAACCTCTCCACCTACCTGACCCATCGCTATGCTGAAACGAGTGTGGAGAGAAGTCCGATGAATGAGAAATATCGCCCTTCATCCCCTCCACCACCAAATCAGGTGAGTATTAGGTGAGTTGTGGCCTCGGTGTTTGCGTGTCGGAAAAGGTCTCTGTGGGAATGCAGACACTGGTGTAAATATGACGTCTTGGAATTTGAACGCGTAGTCGACCGCCGGATGCAGAAGGAGAATGGAAGATAATGGGCCCGTGTCTTGTTTTATCAGTAAGAAATTTGATGCATTATTGTGCCAACGCCGAAATCTACCCTCTATTTTTCGCTCCACTTCCATTTTTCCAATTTACTCCGACCCCATATAAATGAGAGTTGGCCACACTACGAAATCGCTGAGGACAAATGGAGAGGTCGTAGGAGCAGAAGAGGTATGTTAAGAAGGAATGAGTGTAGGGGAGTAGATCACCCCAAGCTTCCCATCGACTTAATGTCTAGTCGTTCCACCTATCCAGAACATAATGATTTATAACAACTCCGAAGAAAGTACTTGTCAGTCATTTGATCGCTATGAAACACTTCCTCTATGCAGTTTGGTAGGTGACCTGCTATGCCATTCGAATCAGAATGACAAGGGCTTAGGAGTGAAAGGAAGGCGAGACGCCTTGTTCCTCCCTTGTGCTTTTTTGGTTCTATTTTTGTGACAGGAAAACAAGGAACGCAGAATTGACTGGCCAACAGGTTAGCTTCGGAATTAGCCTTTACACTGGAGCGAGAAGCATGAAGATGAAACCCCTCAGATAAGAATAATTGACGTGCTAACTGCGCACATTCCCAAGTTCATTACTTTCGTATAAATGCTGTTAAAGAGTAAAATTTATCCATTTAAAACCCTTGCATTTTCCGATGGAAGATGCCAAGAGAAGTGGAGCCCTTCTTTCGCCTGAATATAATTGAGGCTTGAAGGCGTCTCATCCCAACAAAACGTCTGTGAGGAGCACTGGAAGAAGGAAGAGGGTTGTAAAGCGTATTGTTGATTCCCTCCGTCTTTCACCCTCTCGATGATTGGGTGTGGGCATGGAATACACCACCCGGAAGCGGGAACTGGGATTGTGCTTTAACTCAACCCCACTTCCTTCTTATCCCACAGTCGTGACTACTTCAGCAGAAACAGAAAAAAAAAACAGTCAAAACTGGTTGAGTGGGAAGGAAAGGTCACCGCATTGCTGCCACATGGCACCACATATGACACACAAATAAAAGACCGACCTACTGAAATAGGCAAAACTTAAAGCTCAAATCCGCAAACCTTTCCCTTTTTGGTACTTTCGAGGAATAGAGTTAACTGCAAACAGCGATAAACTTGTGTATAAAAAACGAAAACGGATGGAGAGGAAGGCAAGGAGGTGAGAAAAGGAAGGCGAAAAATGTAGTGGAGGAAAAAAGCTTTGAAACTGCTCTGAACTGCACGATTCCTCCTCCCGGTTGTTCTGAGGAAAGCAGGAATCCCCAAGGACCCCTTTGTCAAATACGGAAAAATAACAACTTGAAATGCTGGGTTTTCATTCGAGTGCTTTAAAGGGCTTGTGGGAATCAGGTTCACAAGTCCCTCCACCAAAGCGCCTCTTTCCAACTGTTCTAAAGCTACTCTCAGTAGCTTTAGAACTCAGTAGCTACTCTCATTATCATACCTGTCGTCACTAAAGGAGTTCTCTTCTCCTCGGAAATTGCAGTCCGTGTGGGAGTCGTCTGACGTCCGGGCGCTTTCACAGACGCTGTAACGCGACGCTGAAGTGGACTACCCACAAGTCGTTTCGCACCGTTCTCCGCTAGAACTGGTGTAGAACCGCGCTTCAGTGGAAGTCGATTCAACTGAACTGTAGCACTGACAGGAGTACCTGGAAGTGGGGCTCGATCGGTGGCTTTCGCAGCCGGTGGAGATGCGGAAGGACCTAGTGAAGGATTTGTCAAATTAAACAAGAACCATGAATTTCGCTGAATGGAGTTGTTCTGGAGGCGGAGGAGGAGAGGAGGGGAAGAGAGGAAATACAACTAACTTTGTGAGGGCCTAGGCAGTTCACTCCGATTAGTTGTAGATTTTCTAGTACCGCATGGTGTTGGCGCAGTCTTTGTAGGTACTTGCCGGAGGGGAATACGATTGCGTTGGGTCAGTGGATTAGGTGGACCACGAGACGAGGGTTTTGCGGAGTCTTTTCGTTGTGGTGTCTTTTGAATGGGTGGATTTTTGGTGACTGAGGAGACGAAGAAAAGAAAATCAGATAACAAATGTTCTGTCCCTTTTCCGTTTCCCCCACTACTTTGTGCACAAAGGTATTGCGTGAAGAAGAGAGAGATAGGAAACCGCAATCGACATGCCAGAGAAGAGTCCACATGAAATGACCAAATATTATCCTCCTCTCGGACCTCTTTCCTCTTCCCTCCTATTCCCGAAGCTTTTCCAACTTTATTAGCACAAAAAATTATTTCTTCCCTAAAACAAAACAGTAATAGTACAACTGACTCTTAGGCGCGGTGGCGAGGACAGAGATGTTGGTGGTCCGCTTGACAGCATTTTTTGGTGATGAGACGGGTGAAGAGGTGATGGGAAGTCGATTGTCTCCAGAGGACGTTGTTTTTGGACGTGTGGATGATCGCAAAACGCCCCTCTGATTGTTTTTAACAGGCGGTCTGGAGACTGGTGCCCGGTCTACGGTTTGTCGAGGTTGCTGGTACATTGAACAGATGAAGAAGAAAGATTAATTAATGGCAAGTTAGACTAAAAGATTTAAGTCCGTCTTTGCAAGGCTGTTCTCCTGTGTTGTCGGTTACACAGGTGATGTTAACGTTACGCATCATCGTTTAATTAATTTATGTCAAAATACGCGTGATTTCCAGTTTTCCATGACGGCGATGTACTCACGGATCAACCGGTCAAAATGTCTGTCCCCTTGAACTAGGAGATTGAAGGAGTGATGGGATACTTACCACCTTTTTGATAGGGGATGGGGTGATTTGCCGTTCGGTTGGCATCGAGTGTTTTCGTGTCAATTGTTGCCTTTCTTGAAGTGCTCGACGCAGTCTCTCCGGCACACAGACACTCCCTGCAGCACTGCTATTTCCTGCATCGGTCAAGTCGATAGTGAAAGCTTCGGCTTGACGCCGTGGGGTGGCTGAAACAGAGCAATCGCCTATACATTGTGCGATATAGCATTTGGAGAAGGTATATTACCTAGATTGCTAGCAAACGCACCCAAATGAGTTAACCATTTTGTAAAAAAAATGTACAGCAGATCCTACACTTCTAATCCATACCACATGACCTCCATTCCTTTCCTTTCACCATTATTTATCAATAAAACCACAACAAAAGCAATTAGAGTTAAGCGTTTCCGATATGGAGCGCATAGATACGACTTCTATTTCAAAAGCTTCGTCATCCATAGAACAAAAAGTGTGCAAAGGTTAAATACAAAGAATGGAACAAGTGTAGCCCCCATCAAGGCCAAAAGTCCCTTTCTACGGCCTCCGAACACCTTTTAATAGTTAACGCGAAGAGAGACGGAGGGAGAGGGAAGAGAAGAGGGAGGAGAGGGTAGATCGTTCCAACGAACAGTTCCCCATTGAGCGTCTACTCTCCCATGGCCCTCAAATTGGCCATCAAATCAGTGGGACGGAGTACTGCTTTATGGCGCTCTTCTCGATTTCAAAATCAGCTTGGCTAATGGATTATTTTTCAACAGTTTGACATAATACTGAAGGCAGTGCATTCCGTCGTGCTAATGTGTAGCATATGCGTTAGACCATCGAAAATTGCCATTTCTTTCGCAAAAAAATTTATAAGAAAAGCAGAAATTATTTTCAAGAATGTGTTAATGAGAACTCAAGCGGTTAGAGGTGCTAATGCTGTAAATGACTACCTTAAAGCCAAAGTGAGAATGCGTGGGTTTGCAAGCTTTGCAGGGAGTTACCTTTCATCTCACCATTCAAATCAACTGTAAATGCTTCGGCTGGCTTGTGATCAGAAACTGGAAATAAAGGAGTCACTGACGGGTTAGCACGACTATTCTTTCCTTTTAAATCAGGTAAAAGGGAGCGTACTTAAGTCGCAGGAGAATTCGTGCATCTATCACTACCCAAGAGGCATATAGACGGTTACTGGGGCCTGATATCATTGACAAAGTATCTACGTGTTTGTGTCATAGCGCTACCCAAGTCAATTTTATATCTGGTGTGTTCACGGTCGTTCCGCAGAGTGGTACGCTCAAGATGTGGGCTTAATGCGTCAACCCCAGAAACCTCTTTTATTTGGTCTCAGAATTGCCGATCAATGTAGAAAAATGAGTTTTTAACCCCTCCTTATCCCTCATAACTAATTGATAGCTTCAGTATACCCATCATCTAGCTGATCGAATCATATGCACCTAGCATGAAGTTTCGCTGCCCGGAGGGGAAAGGACGTGTAATATTTTTGACGTAACTTGAACTGCAATCAAGGTGATTGAAAGGATCACATGTCCAAAAAGGGTTTAAACTTCTCCCAAAATGATGGATTTAGCGTGATGCTGAACCATCCCCTTCATGGCATTTTTTGTCACCTTAGTGAGTTGTAAGCCTCACTAAAGCTGAGCCAATAATAGAATTTTTACTTATGTTTAATTAGTAGAATGATATATGTTACAAAAAGAGGATAGCATACCTTGTCCCGTGGGACTGTTCGGTCGGAGGTCATTGAAGGACATTTTGCGCGAAGGTTGAGCTGAAAGTGGATGAGAAGAGGATGCACCTTTATCCTCTCTCCCTCCCTCATCCTCCGAGTCTTCATCTCCCCACCAACTTGGCTTGCCATAGAGTTCTGTATGAATTAAGGCATGGGAAGAAAAACAGTCGAAAGTGAACGCTGATAAAGATGTTTGAACTCTCTTGCTCTTTCACGCATCACTTTCCACCACGGGTCTGCTGGCCTAAGACAGATCAATCTAAATTTCGTGGTCAAGTACTTTTATCCACCTACATGACCCCCAAAACAGTCAACATGACATTTTTGAAAAGCGGCCAACTTGCCATGCAAAGTTTGGGTGTGCTTGTGTATCTATTTATCTACTCGTTCATCTATTCCTCTCTGCCTAAGACATAAGTCACTGAAGAATTTTGCACCTCCTTTCACCGCTATCCTTTCTTTCTACTGTTCCCAACTTTTGTTGGTCATGTAACATATCGGGCACAAGAATAAATGTAGTGTTACCAGAGTTCTCTTCACATTGCCCAGTGATCAAGTTTTATTCGGCTCCTTATCGATAGTTTATGCTTGTCAGAGAAATCAAAACAACAAAATGAGGAAAGGAGAGATGTCGTTTAGTTATTATATCCCAGATCTCGCTTCTGGAGTCCATGACTGCTAGACCAATTCAGCTCTTCTTGATGGTCGTGTTGTCCCCCAGTAGGCGGACGATTTCATCTATGCCCTACAAAACATCTCGCTCTCACACACACACATAAACACACACACACACACACAAAGGAGTTATGAAGTGATGCATGACTTAGACGTGTGTTTGCGTGTGTGGAGAAAGCAGGTGGCAGTGAATGGATTGTTTAGAAGCGACCAATGGTTGGCAGCCTATTAACACGTTTGGCCAATCCGCACCCCGCAACAAGCAATCCTTACCTCAGTGAATGAAGCAAAATATTCACCTGCACTGCGATTAAAAGCATCCTCCTGTTTGACTAACAACAAGACTATTCCTGTGTGAAAGGGAGGCTACAACCAAAACTGGTGCATCATCACCCGGTGACTCACCACACATCATCAGCAGTCAAGGGTTTGTAAACCATTTGTGGACGAAACATTTTGCCATGGTGGAGCACATCATGCCCTCCTTTACTGGACACATCTCCCTATTCCTTAAACCCACAAGCTTGAGCCTCCTTCTTTACCTACAATCAAGGTTCCTGCGCCTTTGTTTTTCGAGGGGAAAAATGAAGGCAACCGATTGCAAGAGGCTTATTCAAACACACGTACCATCAGAGAGGCACACAAAACCTAATTTTCCTTCTTTCCTATGTATAACAGCGCAGTAAGTTCTTTTCCATAAAAAAAAAGGCCGAAAATATGGGAAAGGAAGATATGGTTTGAAGAGGCGACTGTAGACTGGGCGATTCAGAAGCTTGCCATGACTCAAACCATTTGACAAGTGGCGTTGGTTGTGCAAATGGTAGAGATGTAGTGGTCGCTTTTCTTAAAAAATTAGGCCTTTAGAAGGAGGAGGGAGGAAATGGTCACCTTTTGATTGACTGGACAAATGTGTGACCGTGCTACCAGAGGGTGGGCGAGTAAGGTTGAGGGCTTTGCCCCATCTGTAGGCGTTAGCCGCACCACCGATGTGAGACGAAAGAGGTATCCAAGATACGATCCAAGAAGTCAGAGAGAAGACTACTAAAGGAGGCGACAGACATGTGGACAACAGCTTTAAACAGCAGGAGAGTTTTGCCACTAGGAAAAACGTCTCAGGAAAGCGTAAAGCGGATACTTACTCCTGACCTCGGAGTAAACAGAAAACTGTATTCGACTTCAGAGGTGTCGCGAGTGATTCCATGACGGACTTTTGCTAAGCACGCGGATGCACAAGCGGAAGAGTCAAAGGTCACAGCAAGCCTTATAGTTGTTTCTTGATCTGAGAAGCCCAAAGTTCACAACACTGTGTGTGATGTATGAAAGAAGGAGGAAGAAAATGAAGAGATCGAGCATCTAAGGTGAGGTTAGGAGAGAGCAGAAGCTATTTGGAATGTGTTTTGCTAAAGAGAAGGATTTTGTGATTCGGCACATAATCAAATTGACTTTTAACTATACCGAGTTCACTACTCGTCTGATGGCGTCTCAACCTTACGGATGTGGCTACAGTTATGTAAGCAATGGTCTGCTCAAAAAGGATTAAAGGCGCAGGATTCTGGTGTCGAGTCGGGACAGGTAGTAAAAAAAGGAGATCTACTACAGAGAGCTGGAAGTGAGTGGAAGAAACCACTCTGCCTCTCGAGATCTGGACAATGTTTGGGGAAATCGAATTGGCCGATAAGAAAAGGGAACTTACACTTACCTCTGACACTTTTTCTCGCAGCATAGGCAGCCTGTTTGCAGTCAACCGGAGTAACTTGCTTAGCCGATGGAGGTTCAGTGAGTCGCCGAGCCTCCTCTGTACTCAACGAGACTGATCGATCCACCGCAATCGAACTGATCATGGGCGACATCAACTTGGTGAGGAAGTCATTGCAACCCTCTTGGCAGGGCAGAGGACTCAGACAACGCTGATCATTCTCATCATCATCATCATCGCTATCGCCATAACTTTCGCCGCCTAAACTGTGATTGTCATAGAAGTGACCAGTCACGCCACGACCTTGAGCATCAAGAGAGAGAGAGCGTCGTACGCCACGGTCAAGATTGCCTCGTCGAAATTCTACTCGTGAGAGGCGATCTGATGGGTGATATCGATCCATCACAGCTTGTCAAAAAAAGAATTCAATCGCTATTATGCATCTTATGTGTTGACCAACACCTACTTATTACTCTCTTAAGTAGCAAGGGGATGTAAGGAAGCGGATCTGAAGCGCTAAAACCCCTTCCAAATAAATGTTTTCTTTTGCTTAAATAAATTTTGACTGGTTTTTGCATTTTGCAAACTGCTCCATTTCCACTACTTTTACATCAACTCGGAGCGGCATATCAACTTCCGTCCTTCCTTTTCCACTGTAGACATAAATCATTCCCTATCGTCTTTTACAAATGAAAAATTTTAAGTTTTGAGATATGAAGAGAAGGAAAATTGAGCCCAGTCAATGCTTTTCATTTTACTAAAAGGATGGGAAAATTGCCGCACCGTTCTTGCTTTGATGGATTGTGCGAGAATGTGGTTTTAATGCCAGATTTGAGACGCCTAAGCAAAACATCAAAATCACACTAAATGGTCTTTTTGGGTACCCACGATGCGTTAGATGATTAGTTCCACTTTCAACAACTTTACCGACAACACAAAAAGCTTTTCAGACTACCCAAATAAACGAGGAAAGTAAGTTGGGAAAAGGATAGTTTTTGACAAGTGAGGAGAGAGAAGAAAGTTTCCTTTTGCTGACCAGCTCACGCAATTACTTATGCCCTTTTCCTTCCCTCCTATCAACATGGTTGATTGGCCACGCAGAACAACAATGTATATGATAAAAAAAGGAGAGGAGGACGAAGAGGTGGGGGTGGAAAATTAACTTTCTACCATGTAAAAAGTACAAAACAAATTGGATAGAATGACGACATAGTTCGCGAAGTTCAGTTACACTACTTCACTTCAACAGATCGCCTTATCAACTGCTTCCCACTTTGATCCACAGCATCCATCCACTGATGAACGTGTCGCTGAAGGCGCGGTCTTCCTCCACCAGAGCTTCGTCTACCTGCTGCTTGTATGGCTGGACGTAGTAAGCAACTGTGTCTCATAACTCAATGTTCGCTTGACACAACCATGGAGATGTCTCGACACTCCAATATCCGTGACGCAATCCAACTGGACTTTAGAAGTCCTTTCGCTTCACGAAGACAACATTATTGTGTTGAAAGCAGTGAGTACACAGATGAACAAGAGGTGACAACTAGAAAGGCAGTCAAAATGCCAAGAGAAAGTAGACGAAAGTAGCCAATCATTGCTTGCCTACGGAGGTGATATTTCGAAGGTTGTCATGCAAAAAATGGTACCAGAAAGTTGCGCACAAATTTTACAAATTTTCGTTCCCGACACGCTCCTCCTCCTTCCGCCTGTCCCAGAGGTGGTAGGAAATATGAAAAGGTGGAAAGATTTTCTCCTTTTATATCACCGAAAGCGACCTTTCAGTTGTATTTACCAGTCATCAGCAAGGGAGGTACCATCCTCCTCTCCAACAAGGGCAAGAAAAAGAACAAAAAATGCGATACTTTGAAAGGAAAAGTCTTGCCAGAAAAGACCAATTCACACATTTCGTTATGACAACAAGCAGTGATTCACAAAATTTCTCCCAAATGTGCCGACTATGCACCAGGAATTTGGACGAACGAGGACATCGACTTGTGAGAGTGTGCGTACGTGCATGGAAGAGGATAGCCTCGCTAAAACCCAAGCAGCTGTCAAGAAAGCCATTCTTTGTACTGATTCATACTTCCTTCTTTAACTTTTTCCTTCCAAAGGTCAGAGGCATTAAACAATTAGATAATTGGCAATGAAGGCGCCACAAATTCGCCAATTTGAGGTCGAGCCAATTGTTTTACAATAAAGAGGACAAAAGTTTCCCACAAATTTGTGTCAAGATTGCAATTTTGACAAAATAATCCTGAACTGTGCAATAAGTGAGAGGAAATGCGTTGAGGACGATGAAAAGGCCAAATTGGGTTCCGTGTCCAAAACATGCAGTTAGTCCATCACCTTTCTGCCTCGATTTACGCCGCCCGGCAGAAAACGTCATTATCATCAGGGTTGACGGACACCTTTGGTTAGCGAGAGTAATGAGAAAGGAGAAAGAGGGAAGGGTGATGCATCTTTCTTCGTTATCCTCATATCAGAGGTGAAAAGGGCCCTACTAGAGGAATGAACTACTTCGGATCAACATAGGATTCAAACTTTTAAACATATCCACAACTTTTTGCGTTTGCCTATAAAACGAAGGGTTTGCTTCATTGTCACAAAAAGGACGACAAAGGAAATGAAACCAGGAACCGCCAAAAGGTATGCCTGTGAGAATGGCCAATTGCAAGGAGTGAAACAAAAGTCTCAGTATGCCGCCCACCCGTTTCTGGCGCAAGGAATAAAAAAATAACTTCCGACTATTTCGCGGATTGGGACAAGAGGCTGTCCAACGTATAGAATGTGAAAAATGACTGCACTCCAGAAGCAGTTCGACATTTTCTATTTGGCAAAAAAATTTCGCCTACTTCACACCCACCAAACGGGTGGTTTGCTCGTAGAGGTTTGATAGTTACGGACTAGAAACGAGCACTTCTGACATCAAGTTCACCTTCTCCCTCAACTTTCTATCCCACTTTCTGCGTTTCTGCTACAGCCCGATCAAATTTGCCGAATTACAGTGATTTTTCTCCATATGGTTTCTCACAAATTCCCTTGTTCGCGAAAAGTAAAGTTACTTTGAGAGAGTTCACAATGAAAGGAAAAAATAACAGGAAGGAGGAAAGATTCGAAATGAGAAGTTATGGCCAAGGAGTTGCAGTTTGCGTACTAGCGAGGATCTGCTATTCACGCAGGCACACACACCCATCGGAACACATGACTCTAAATTGACGTGTGAAGCAAAGGACCTCTCTCAAGGTTGATGACTGTGAAAGATAAACACCCACCAAAATGTTAGCATTAAAAGCCTCTTTTCATTTTCCTTTTATGCTCATAAAGAAGATTAAATGATTACTTAGGCTCTGAATGACTATATATTGCAGAAGTGCAAAGGAATTGTAAATTCACGCCAAAAGGGTACGAAGATATACGTGACGCCCACGCAAGTTTTAATTAATGAAACTTTAACCAATCAAATGCAGATTTAGTTGAACAATAAAATGCGACCTAATCATCAACACCAACGATGTTCAACGCTTAAATATAAGGATACGAGCTAACACCAAACAGGTGGAAAGTGGTGGAAGTGTGGTGTTTAGATCACTGCGACGCAACATCGGGAAATCAATTAATAAGTGCATGTAATGGACAAAGACTTCCAAGTTCACTGCTGAACAAAGCAATTTGCAGGTATTAGGTCAGAGGCAGACATTTCCTTTCCCTCTAACCCAACACAAAATGTGACTCATACTTTTGATCAAAAAAGAAAGAAAACTATAAAAGAGGCATTGTATTCAGATGGTGTGAGAAGCTTCAAATGGTGCAAAGGTAAGAAGCAGGTGTCGCTTCGAATGTGCAAACTGTCAAGACCAGCAGCCTATCACATTTATGGCTAATTGGCCAGTGAGTAAGACTATTAGTCACTGTGGCTATGTAATGCTACCAAACCTGCCTGCCACACCTAAAACACATATTCATTGCCACACTGTGTTATTGCTCCTGTCTAGAATGAAACTTTTCATTCAGTGAAGTGTAAATTGGGTTAACACAGACAAGGAATTCAGCGATTTGTAACGCTAACGCTATTATTAGCGCATTATTCTACCTCAATGAAATGAGAGCCTGCTTAACCTGATCCACTACATAAGAGTGGGCTTCCACCCACCAAAACGGAAGCACATAACTTGAAAGGTAGAAGCTGCGAAAGTTTTCACAAATAAAGTCCAGCGAATGGACTATTCAATACCAAGCATTACAGAAGGATATGAGAAGCTCCCCAATCAGAGTTCACAAAAAAACTCATATACCATATAAAATACGTAAAATGAAACAACCAGTAAGGTTAATGTAAGTTATGAAGCGAAGGGAATGAGTCAAATCAGAAAACAACTAAGCGAACAAATTTTTGCCATTAGGGGACGACAGACAGGAAGTGGACATGTTGAGGAAGGAAAATGGGGAAGGGAAACAGTGTGCTTTAGTTAAACCTCAACCATCTACATAACGTGAGTCATCGAGCAACCAAACACGAGGAAAGAATAGAAAAGAGGGTATAATTAGGCAGAGGCGCAGACGCGTGCGTAAACGCTTGCGTACGCGAACACGGACACACGCACGGTAAAGAGCTGACAAGAAGCGCGTGCACGTATTACATTTGTTTGCATAGAAAAGGAGATTTAGTTAGTTCACATTTATGGCCGCGAAACTAAAAATAATTATTGTATAACTGATAAGACAGAGACTGGTTTCAAAACACCAACTCAAAAAATGCTCGTCTTCAAATATACGATGGAAGGGGAAGGAGGGGAGGGAGGAATGGAGAAAGGAAGTCAAAGCAAAACAATTATGAAAATTAATACTGCCACTTCTTCATTCCGTTGAATCATTGAAAGTTTACACGAAAATCTATAAACAGAAGCTGCTGGAATAGCAAAATAGACTACCAATGCACACATAATTTAACAAAGGACGATAAACTTAACCAAACTAAACCAAAAAATTTCCATCATTCAAAAAACTAAAAAGTGTAAACTGGTTAAAAGCCAGTAATAAAGAGGGTTTAACTTATAAACCGCAAACTTGCAGGCATAATTAATTGCCATATGAGAAGAAAAAGATTCAGTCGAATTCTTTAGCTAACTATTGCGTGAAGTAAAGGATATGAAAAGGATTGATGAATCCTCTCGTACTTTTAGTAAAACAGTGACTAGCCCAGTCAATACAACTGCAGTAGACGGGAAGGAATTGATACTTACGTTGCTGTAAACGGTAGAACTACCTATGAAAGAGCAGACAACACACTTAGAAAAAGCAGGGCAAATTTTGCAATTCATAGTCTAAGAACACACAAACCAAGAAGCCGATTATGAATTTGACCAAAGGCAAACTGGAGAAGGAAAAATCTGGGACAACAGACTGCGATGAACATGGCTGGGGTGTTATATGGAGTAAAAACTAAAATGGCGATGAAATCAACAAGCAAGACAATGTATGCGCATTAGCTCGGGCGAGTCTCGACCAGAGGACACAAAGTTATAAATCCAAAAAACCCCTACCTGCAGCTAATAATGTCCACCGACCCAGACTTAAACAGAGCGCATTACTACTTCAAGGTCATTGCGATTTCAAATTATACCTCAGTAATTCATAAATTGTCTGTTTACGCTTAACAAAAAATGTGATACAAAGTACTTGTAGTTAGCATAAAAAATGATTATTTTGAACTCATTCTAACCTATAGCGTCCACTGACCAATCAATATCAAAACCCATTTGGCGCGGTAATAGAAGTCTGGTATGGCCGTCGAGCCGTGGCCAACTTGTGTTGCTTGCATCTAGGCGTTATATGGGAAGTGTGTCCATGTTCTCAATATCCATACAGCTTTTTGCTCTATTCATAACTGTCTTTTCACGGAAGTGTGACAAGGATTTTGATATCCATATAAACACCATCATTCTTACTCATGTCTCTGACGCAAACGGTGCTCCTTTTATTCGTAAACCGCCTGCCCACTCTTTGGTAGAATGCATTGAGTATTGCTGCGACACATCTGAGTGTACAGTCGGCGTGTTTGGGCCTAAGGTATTGTCCCACTCATCCCTTCGTGTCTCATTTAATAACTAGTCATAATTAGTTCGTGCTCTTTTTTGCTTAGGAGGATGACAAATGTTTCCTTTTTAATTGTTTTGAACGAAACATGTGCAATTTTACTTCGGAGTCTGGTTATACTGTGTTTATGCAACGTACACTGTCACATGAACTATCAAACGTGCCGAAATTCGCTATGTTGTCTAGTGGTAAGTTTTGGATTTCTGTGATATTTCTTCTTACTTCTCAGGGTCTTTTCGGACCTATTGTGGCCCAAAAAATCCCTGTGTCATCGCGAACTCGATCTGTGACTCTGGACAATGTGTTTGTAAACCGGGATTCATCGAGAAGCGACGAAAATGTGGTAAGATTTTCATGTCTCCTACCATTGTTTGCGTTAGTTCCTTCCATTTGTAGCAAACCGGAGTTGGAGTTTCAGTGCGATGACGCTACTACATGCATAGCTGTCTACGATGTTTGCAACGGGATTGTTGAATGTCCTGACGCATCGGATGAATCATTCTGTGAGAAAGGTTTGTTTATTGGGTCACAAACTTTTGTTGCTTTTTGGAATCAGGCACAATTTTGAATTATTTTTTGTGATATTATCCAAAACAGAAATTACTCGGGCATCTTCCATCCGCAAAGTGGGACCTCCACGGTTCTCAGGCACGCATGTTCTTAATGCAAGAACACTTCTTCCTCATGATGGGGCTGAACATAGCTTATCGGAGGTTGTTGAGCCTTTTAAAATGCGTTCTGTGCGACCGCCGCACTTTGTTCATGACAATCCCGTGCGCAGAATTTATCAGGACAAGAAGGAATACAAACTTCCCGGCTATCGAGCCCCATCTCTCGAAACCAATGTCCCATCATTGATGGTTTCCGAGGCACAAGAAAAGTCCATTTTTCCTGATGATATCGTCAATACCTTTCTGGAACGTCCCGAGCGATTACGATCGCAGTTTGCTGATGACGATACCTCAGTGAACAATCATTGGCGGAAGATTGGACGCCATACTTTATTCAGAGATTTCGGTGAAAAAGATGGGATTCATAGTGTCCCATACCATCGCTGGCCTGATCTCGATCGAGAACACAAGGTTTTACGACACACAGTAAGGCCGTTTCCGGAGCATTCCGGCAAGTTGTTTTCCTTGAAATTTGTGTGCATGTCCTGCATTACACCTTTACCTGAGCTATGGCATAACTATCCTTATTTCTTCGTCACTTGAGGACATATTTCCTCTCTCCACATCAATGTTGGTTTCTTTTCTTTTAGACCTAAAATCTGATGGTAAACATGGGACTAGTGAGGAGCTAAAGAGCAGCATGGTAAGATGTAAGTTTTCGGTCACTTGCATTTTGGATGATTGTAATTTATTTCACATAGTTTGTACTTCCAAAGAAATGTTGCCCATTTTTCAGCCAAAAGCTCTGCCGCTTCTGCGATTGGGTTCTACTCGCAGAGCGGTTACCAGTGGCATACTGCTGCAATCCTGTTGGCCATTGGTCTAGGCTTGACCTCATGCCTTTTTGGTCTTCTTGTTGGCCGATGTCGTCAACGTGGTAGGTTTAACCAAGGAGGTCCACGATCAAAAGCAGTTGCCACCAGTCATCTGCGTCAGCGAATTATGCGCACACGTGGACTGTCAAACAATGATCTCGAGAGGAGTGGTTTACTCTCCAAACTGCAGTTATGACAGGCGGTGTTTTCAGTTCATTAATTCCATCCTTCATGCATTTCACAGAGCATTTGTGTTGTTTTGTCCTTTTTATGTCTTTATTCTTCCTCTCTTATCTCCTCCCTACCCCTATGAAATGGTTTGGAGTCCTTTTTATCCAGTACAATCAAAGTTTTTGAGTCCTATTTCTTTCAGATCTTTATGGCAATATTCTTAAGCCTTAGAAGATAAACTTACTTGGACAATGAAAAGCGCTGAAGCATTAAGGTAGACAGTCGTTCCTTTGTAGAATAGTTGCATCTTTACTCCCCTCTCTTTGCGGGTTGCTTAAAAACTGTTTGGGTTTTAACAACGAAGAGATTGCCCTTGTGACATCTTTACGCTTCGTCGAGCCGATTGAGAAAATAGTCTTATTCATATTTTCTGGCTATCCCAACAGATCTTCCTAACAAAGTTTGTGGTTTTATTTTCGAGACAAAATAGGAGGTCGCTAGAATATAATATCACAAAATCATTCTCCTAGAGTCAATAGGGTCATTCTAGTGCGTGAAGTCGATAAGGTCGGTTCGAGTTCACTTGCTTTTGGGCGTGGAGTGCCATACGGACGGTCTGACATGCATCAGTGCATTTTTTATGCCGTCGAAAAAGAAATGGGAGGAAATAAGTGTAGCGAATGAAGTGGAGCAAGCGAGGGGATTGTGCATCGCTCTACGAAGGTAAGAAAAGGTAAATACATGGTTGGATGATCCACAACCGTTTTCTCAAAGCTGATAATCATCAACGTCTAAAGCGTTCGTACTGAGTGAGAGCAAATAAGAGAACTAAAATAAAGCGAGCTCATCAACTATCTCCTGTGGTCCGTAGTGTACGCCTCTAGAGACCGACCCAATTGCTTGGTTCAGCGTTGGTATGCATAGAGATCTTCATCTGTATCTGCGTTCAACTCAAAGAGGGACGTCATGAAACAACATAAAATTGTGAGGTTTCTTCCTCAAAGAGGTATCGAATTATAACAACAAATGCATTTGTACGGAACAGCAAGAAGTCGAGCAAAAATTTAGGCGCGTATGGACAAATAAAGGACCAGGAATTAAGATTGGTGACGAAAATAGTCAACGCAGTTATCTTTGAGCATAGACCAAGATAATTTATAAGCGACTCAGGTGATGTTTTCTCAGTTTTACTTCACGTTTTCAGTTGTCGTCAACTATGTGAGTTGGTCTTTGGGCTACGACAAAAGCATCGACCTTCTTCCGTCTCTTAAATGCACACATATTTTATAGAATATTCTTATAAGAGTCACAAGATGCAAATATTTTACCGTTCCTTTTATCATCGAAACACTTAACACTAGCAAGACATGATATACTTACACACATTCAAAAGTGGACAAATCGAGCTTTATTCAGAATATTAAACCAAGCGGTAGACACTGTTCATTTTATTCATAGCTTGGTTCATCCCGTCATCAGTTCATTACGCCATTCCTAGGATGCTGACAGGCGCATTTAATAGAATAACCGGTAAACTTGATTCATTTGCATAAGAATAGCGATTTTGATCTGATAAGCATCACGAAGACTTGCAAAAAGGTGTAGCTGGTTATAGTGAAAATCATAAACTGAAGAAAAAAGTGGCATAGCCGCTCCTGACACTAGTGAAGGATGGTGGGAGTGCAGATTTGTAAGAAGCACCTACTAGGATGGGAACAGCAAATCGTGGGATCTGGTAGATGTGCTGTGCTACAGATAAATGCATAATCGCTTTATGGTTTAATTGTAGTTACTTCGATGGCTACATTGGTTGTGGAAATTGGGCCAGCTCTTGTGCTAAGCAAAGCCCCAGCTCTTGCAATTCTGCCAAAATCAGTGAACTTAACCTTGTCGCTACGTCATTAAACAGGTTCAGGGGGACTTCAGTAATGCTTTGCTTATGTGACTACCTGACGTTTGCCGGGCGCTTTTGAATGTCTGGCCCCTGTACAGGTGGACTGGCCTTCGGGCCATGCTCAGGCCCCATTTCCCCTAGTGTCTTCGGAATATATGTATTCAACCTCACTCATGCCTTCTACTACTCCATTGGAAGCCTCGGGACGCTACAACCTTAAAGCATTATATTGACGATTCAAGCATTGATTCGCCAACGAAGAATTCCGTTATAAATAACTCACTGTGCTAAGACTTCAAAGGCAACACAAAGGAGGTGCTGAAACGAATGGGTCGTAGTTTTGCCAAAGCGTAGAATTAGTCAAGATGTTGTAATCAGATTTTATATAAATAAGTGGGAATTTTTGCATCTATTTAGCCATACCTACATCTTATAATTTGCGCATACAAAATGCAAAAATACACCTTTTGCACAGAAGATCTTTAATATTGGGTAAAAATGCAAATTATTTAAACTGACTACAAGCTTACATTTCTCCCACGTTGTCCCACTGGTGGATTTTATGAATAAGCGCTTAGTGATGCTGTGGATGGGTGTGTGTGTGTTGTTGGTGTTCCGCACAGGTAGGCGCTCTAGTAACATCACTGCGAGTAGTTTACGCATGTGAAAGTCCAAGTGTTCAAGCTCGTTATTATACCTCAACTGATTCTCTTCTCTCCTCAAAAACGGTCATCATCGTCGAGGGTCGGGCGACTTGCAAAAATGACGAGGTATTAACTTGGATTACTAAGTCTAGTCTTAAGTTAAGTGAACTTTATGCTATGCTTGGTGATAAAATTGTGCCTGCTAGCCGAAATCTGGAAACTGATGAGTTTCAAGTTACCTTCTCCGATGACCATAAGAAGTTACCCAAGGGTTACTATTCAGTTCGCTTTTTCGATGATATCGGCTACTTAAACTTACGCAAGGCCCAGAATCAAGGTCAACCGCTTGGTGGTGTCAAGCCTGTTTTTACAGTCGATGTTTATCATCCTGTAAGTTGTTGAATTTTTCACATCTTTACTTGCTTCTAGGGCATATGGTTTAGTCCTTTGATCCACTCGGAAACTGTTGCTCTCCTTGCTGCCGCTCTTACTGGTTTTGGCGCTGTTCTCACGAAAAATAAGTTCTTTTAATAAAATGGAACTCTGCTACTGGTAGTTTTCATTCCAAGAATTCTTTTGAGGAGTCCTATTTCTTGCTGTGTCATGTGAGCAACACTAGGAATTTTTTTTGCTCAAACTCACAACACATTTGAAGTAACTTGCTATTTTCCGAAGTTGGAAGCTCTCCATTCCGAGCTCTTCATTTTCCTTCCGATCTGAAGAAATTCTTCTGTGAGCAGAACAATTACTTATCGATAGCTCTGAGTTCATGCATTTTAAGCGCGATTTGGTCGATCAACTTTAATTTAGTGAGCCTTCTAGTGTGGCCTTCATGCTGCTTGAATATCTACATTGTTATGCTCCACATCGGGCTTCTCTGCTCTCGTACCTTAACTCTTGGAATCCAGTAAGAATTTAGACCTGTAATCTCAGTTTAATTTAGCACTCCAAAGTAGGAGGCGCCAGGAAAAGCTTGTGGTATGATGGATTTAAGACAACAATTTTATAGGAGGCGAGAAGATTCACGGTAGAGGCTAGACCGCAAGCATCACATCGCATAGCCTCAAACGGCAGTTAAACTTCAGCAGATATTAATTTATTCTCATTTCGAATGGTGCCACTCCAGATTCTCCTTTCAGCACAAAACGAGTTCACATACACAATGAACAAGGCATTGTATTGGTAAACCTCTGCGTTCTAAGTCAGAGAATTCCTACCGCTTTCCATTTCCATTGGATTTTTCTCTCACTATCAACAATCACTGACCTTCAAGCAATTTTATGCAGTCTTTTCTCCGAGGCTCTAAGGCCTCCAGCACTTTGAGAGCCATCCTCTGTCCCAGAACCTCATTTAAAAAGCGCATCCCTCGAATTCCAGCCCATCAAGTATTAACAAGTGCAACGCTTTTCAATGCAGACCGTCTTTCGCAAATCCATGAAAAAGGCCATACACGTAAAAACTGAGTTAGTCAAAGTATTTTTTGCCTACCAATGACAATGATTAAGTCGGTATGAGTTCAGTGTGAGTTCCTCACAGTGCATCAACCTTGCTTCCCTTTAATGAGGAAAAACAGGTGGTATAAAGAACACCAATGCGAGCGCCCCCGAACGTCGTACTGCCATTGCAACAGCCATTAATGTGACCATTGGCCTCTCCGCCGGTGTAGTTGTGCTCCGGTGGCGTTTTGTAAATCACCGAGGGTACAACATCACCTTCAGGTCTTGTTTGCAATGTAATAGACTCTAGGGGATGGGACGCAACAAATCCAACCACCACATCGGCGTTCTTTTTAGCCAATTCAATGCACTCTTCGGTGTAAGCGGCCTTCATGAGGGAGCTCTACAACCAACCAGAAACCAACTATTAGACAACTGTACCCATTCACATTAATCGTTATACTAAAGCTAATGCTTTGATGTGTCAGAAACAGGATACATTAAACCCGTGTTTGCAAACTAGACCTAAAAATAATACAGTAAGACCTCATGAACGGAAAAAAGGTCAGGATTGATGCAATTGCGTTGCTCAGACTACTAGAACCGCCCACAGTCTCGAGAACCAAGAAAAAGGAGCCTGACCTCATAGTCCATATTGGAAATCAGGAGTGAACCAATAGTTCGAGCATATGAGGCTTTGTTTAACCGCCGCAAAGCATTCAAGGTTCCTGATCCTGAAAGGGCATCTACGATGATGATATCAGCCCATCGGCATGAGGACAGGTGGCTTTCACCGGTGCATTTGTCTTCTTTCACCACACTAGAAGAGGTATATTGTAAGAGTTACAAAAACAATTAGCATCAGATACATGGTTGTAAAATATGATATACTTACCGGCCTGCAATCAGCAGGAATTTGTGCTTGTCTGCAAGGTCACGTAGTTGCACAGCCAAATGAGGGAATGTATCGTTGACAAGATTGGGACAGATTTCCAAAGCAGCGATTCGCGGAGCTGCATCTTTGGCCACTTGAAGGAGCTGTTCACAATTTAGAGGTGAGTCTATAAAGAGGCAAGTGTTGCTGGATTTCAGAGCCATAATTTCGGTCAGACGAGATGCAAGAGGAGGGCAGAAGTTCACCGATGACTTCGTAGTTAACTGCCTCTTTAAAGAAGGAAAAGGAGGTTACAGAGTGTTCGGAGGGGGCTGGAGAGGCACTATGCAGGGGCACACTCACTGCTTCAAACTGAGCACCTGCAATGAAATTGCGTGCAACGTGAACACGTTCCATTGGAATCAAACCGTCAGTTGAGAGGATGTTCAAAATGTCGTCAAAGGACAGGAGACTATAACAAGGAGACACGTACTACGATGCGATTCACACATTTTAGAGACTCCATAGGAAAAAAGGAGTTGGATCCGCTTACGTATGCAAATGAACGTTGTGACTTTTGAGAAGGTTTTGGGTGGCTCCTTGTTGTCGCTCAACAACAACGACAGCGTGCTTTACTTGCAAACCGCTTGATCGTAGCAGCTGGAAATAGAAGGCACATATCAATAGCGAATATATCTAGACTGCTGAATAAAAAGAAAACCCTAACAGCAGTGGTTTCGGCAATGCTGTCGCCATAAGTAACAACATCCTCCACCACCAAAACGTTTTCCCCCGCCGTCCAGATACCCTCAATCTTTTTTTTTGTTCCGTAGTCCTTTGCTGCCTTGCGAGTAAGAATCATAGGGACATTATTCTGAATTGAAATTACCTAGAATTAAAAATTAAGTTCAATGAGTAGGAACAATATCCATTGGGAGCTGCTGAAAGGGAGAAAAGTCTCACCGTTGCAAGAGCAATAGCAGCTGCAGGAACACCAGTAATCAGATCAAATCTGTCGTCAGTAGTGTCAGATATCATTTTATACATGTATCGCGCAATGTCTTGCTATAAGGCATTTAGAGAATGAGAAAAAAGGATACATACATAACGGAGAACACGAATAACGCACTGAAATGACTTACCAAAAGGAGGGGATCAGACATAGTTAGACGGATGTCAAAGTAGACGGGAGAAATCTCACCGGTTTTTAAACGTACACCGCTAAAATTCAACGCACCAAGGCGGAAAAGCCGATGAGCTAAATCTCGTCGTGTTGTATCATCGATAGCAGAACATGAAGGCACTTTAGCATACATTGTATCTAAAATCAACAGAAAATTACAGTCATTTGCATAAATCCAACAAAAAAAGCCAATAAAAAGGCATAGGGCTGCAGAGTGAATTTTATTTACAGGGCGAAAAATGAAGAAAAGGAAACGAAAACAAAACAGTAATTTGTACAAAGAATTAACCAGACTCCACCGAAGCGGATGTCGGAGGAGCATCAAAGTCGTGTAGTTCCTCAACCAGCTCTGGATGAACGAGATCTGCACTCTCATCTGTCAGTCGTGAGAGACGAGAAATGATTACGAAGAAGCCTGGAATACGATCCGTGATGCGTTGAAAGATATCATCACCATGTGCAAGGAGGAGGGTGTGCAGAGCTAGAATCAAACATCCCAAAGACGAGAGGCAGAAAACCTTCAGGTCTGGATTAAATTTCCAGGTAAAAAGCTGCTCCACCAAAGGTAAGCCTAGATCTATCAGTGCTTTATACACCTGCAAAGGAGGGGTTAGAGAATTGAGATCTATTATGTACCTCCAGAGTGCAGGGACAATTGGCACACAGAGTCCACCGTTTGGTTGAAGCCAGAGCTCTTGCAAACATGCTGAGCTAAATGAGAGATATGACATAAAACCACAGAAAAGCAAACCTCAGTAAGCAGTCTACAAAGTCGTCGAACATCGTCGCGATCGAGAAGTGACTGCCTAAATTGAACCAGACGGCAAAGGATATGTAGAGGACACCCCAGTTGCTCTTGAGGTGGTATCTCTGAATGAAAAGGGTTGAAACTATATGTTGAGTACTTACTGCTCGAAATATGAAATGTGGGAGGTGATGAAGAGCGACACGTTTGATCAAGGGAAATTTCCAACTCCTTCAGTCTTTTTAGGAGCTCAAGGGCTTCCGCTTCACCTCCAGAAGCCCACCAGAAAACCGCTGGGTTAGATGAAGAACTTGAGTCAGATGTTGAATGCTCAGGAGGATCGAGGCGGCCACCCTCCAGGAGATATGTCAACAGGCGCAGAGCTGGCAACAAAACCGATGGGCCATCATGCAGCTTTGTTGATAACGTTTCACAAACCACCAGCAGATAGACATTTAAAACTGAGGGGAACCACGACGGTGCACTGTCGCATCTGAAAATGGACTTCATTTTAAAGGCATGAATGTTCAAAAGCAAGTCAAGCTCCTCCATCTCATCGAAAGACTTACTTATCCCGACTGTTCATCAAGTTAAGCTCAAGAGCGAAACGACAGGCGAGATGTAGACATTGATGGATGACGCACGAAAGACGAGACATCCAAATCGTTGGGAGGACATTCAAAGTGGTGTCTTCGTCAATGGGTTGAAGTGACAGCACTGCAGCCAGAGCATTTAGAGCCTCTAGAACAAAGTTAGCAAGTACAGCGGTGTCAACACCATCATAGCGATGTGCGTAGACAAAGATCATGTCAATTGTACGGAGACAGGCGAGAATGCCTTCGTTGGCCTGCATGGCAGTTGATTCAGTCCATGTGGACAGTTCAACGTCTTTGATCTTGACGGGACTTGACCGGGTGTTTCCTTCAACAAATACTGCAAAAAACGACGATAAGCCAGTACAAAGTCATACATCGTGTGCAGACATTCACCTAACTTACGCGAAGGAAGAGAGACTAATTGCGAGGCCGGAGCGCCAGCAAAAGGATTCTCGTTGAGGCACTTTAAGTCCACTATCCCAGAACAATCTAGTGAGCTACTTTCCAACTCAATTTGACCTTCACGCTGCAACTTTTCGGTAAAGGTATGATCAAATACACACTGCCGGTAGAGTCGAAAGAAGTTAACATATTCCTAATAAATGAAATAAGCCAGTGCAAAAACATACCCGAAGTCGGATTCGGATCTGTGGCAGGATAAGAGTAATACATTCACCTAAACATCTCCCAGCATCTGCATGATTCTCCACGACCAGAGCGAGTCGGGAAAGACCACTGAAGAAGTCGCGCTCAGCAGAAGCTTGTTCCTCTTCTTTAGCGTCGCTGATTCTTCGCCTAGAAACAACGAAGAACCTCTCATGCACCCATTCCTCCAGCTCATACCCCACAGATCGCAAAGTTTTGACGCTTCGGACGGTAGCGTTGCACTATTTATGGGTTTTGGTCTTCCCATCTGATTGGATGATCAATGTTGATGGACCAATAGAAAACGAAGGAGTAGCTTGTTTTAATTCGTCCTCCCGATTGGCTCTAGCTCCTGCCTCACGCAAGCTTTGCTCTCTTTCTCCAACGTGGCGACCTCGCTGCCGGTTGTGTGTGGATTCTATCAATCTGATTTCCGCCCTCATGTAAGCTACTAGATAAGATTGCTCGCTTCATGGAAACCGTAAGGAATACTTCTCATGCCTTCATTCTCTTCCATTTGATGCTACCCTTTGGTTTGTAAATAGCTATTTGAAGGAGGTAGGGTAATTTAACAATTCCTTTTGGAAGCATCCTTGCCAGTCAATCTCTACACTATTCGAAAAAGCAGATATTTTGAAACACATTTTATGCCGTGTACAATAAAGGGTTTATTAGTTCTCTGCTAGAAAATAATTCGTGGAGAATTGGGACCCTCAACGGTGGTAATGGATTGAAAGACTTTGCGCTGCTAAACACTAACGTGGCGTGGTAGGTTACCTTTTCATACTTTTTGATCAGAAGCAGAGAAGATTCATGCGCGTGACCGCACGACCTCAATACACAACGGACATCGATGTACTGTTTCACCTTAGGCCGAAGAGCTACCAACCCTACATTACTCTGACACAAAGAGCAAATTTTTAATTTGGCATGCAAGCTTAATGTGGCTCGACTTCGACTGATGTTTTGAAGGTGCTAGGATTGCAAGCCTATCCTTCATTGCCCGTTTACGATTGCACAAACATACTTATTGATTGGATACGCTTGAAAAACACGCACACACATCTGGAACTGTGGCAACGCTAAGCCTCCGTCTGAACCACAATTTCGTGACAATCAGATACAGTTAATGCCAAACAGACCCCTTCTCTGTACGATAGCGCCTTGATTGCTGTTAGCGTGGATTAGAAGGCTAAAGCAGTAAGACCACAGCAGAGCATACAATTGCTCACCCGTTACTGAAGTACACACTGCTAATTATCTCAGACAAAGAGCAAGATGTGAGTTATTATTGTTATAAATCGTAGACAATGCAACTATACCATCCTAGTACGATGTATGGAAGAATTCCAGTATTCTCAAGTATGATGGCTCTGCTGCGGGCGCCGATTTTCATCCAGCCATCTCTGAAGTGCTACCAAATATTGAGCAGTCAAACTGTGCCTAAACTCCTCCACTTGAAGGAGGATTTATTGCTTCACTTAGTTCTATCCCCTGGCACGCTATCACTTCCATCTGTCACCTTGAAGTGAAGCCTTTTGATTTCGACCCGCATTTGCACCAGTGAATATAATTTGCAACGAAGAGCGTGTGGCGTCTGCATTTACGTGCAGTATCAGCAGAACAATAGGCTCATTATAGCAGCCTCAACGCAAATTTGCACCTTGACTTGTCAATACAAACCCTAAAGTCATGGTAATTTGCCTAATGCACTGAATTTTGTCCCGCATGCCTAAAGCGGCAAAGTCCTTTTAGGCTCATGGAAGCTCTGCTGCAACAAGGATGTATCACATAGCCGTGACACCCAAGCATACAATACTTCGACTATAGCAAAAACGATTTTCATAAAATTGAATGGTCATAGATAAATGTTATCAGAGCATAAAACCTTGCAGGCTGACCTCTTGACGGGCGGTTGTGAAACAACGGCTGTCAATTGCGTAGGGTCAAATATATGTCGTGTTGGATTTGCCACTCATTTATGCCAAACTCATTCTTCGATACGAGAAAGCCTTTTTTATCTATGCAGGAAGTCCTCCCAAAAACACTGAAAACTAGCTAAAATGCGTAAAACTAAACAGAGCCCTTGGCCGTGAACTTGGATGTAAACCATCTCGTGTACAATTTTGTGTTTGTTGCATACAGAAAAAAGACGCGGACAGTGGCAACCGTTCGGTTAGGTAATAAACAGTGCATGTTTAGAGATCTTCAGCATTTTGATCGGTACCTATTGTTACAAGTTTACCTTGAATAAAATAAAAACACGCTACTTATTGGTTAAATAAGTAGCAACTTAAAGTGACTAACGCTTGCACGTCTGTTGCAGTTTCTTTTTGCCCGAATAATACAATGCTTTTCAATTCGAAATTTCGACAGATGGGGAAAACATGTCAGCCAGTTTGGTATTCATCTAACTCTTTCGAGCATGAGCTGGCCTTCGGATAAGATCAAAGCTTAATCCTTTTTTTCCTCCCAGAATATATGCATTCTACCCAACTTAATGCCTTCTTATACCTAGTCGGAGGTCTCGGAGCGCTACAGCACTACGTTCGCGACATATAGTCTTCCTTACAACTACCTCCAAAAGAGGTGGAAGCGGTGAAGAATCTCATTCCAGAGCACCATGGATTAAGTTCCATGCATGCAGGATTCACTTTCACATGATCCACGAAAGATAGCCACTGACTGCCATTCCAATATCAAGTGAAGCTGAGAACCACGAAACGGAAGCATTCGTGGTTGACATTTGATCGTCTTAACTCCTATACCCTGAGAATGACCCAAATGTATTACAGAGGAGCATTCCAACAGCTTCAAAGTCTTAAGGCGAGGAAGCCTCTTGAGTGTCACCTCAAAGTGCCGCATTGTGTTGCGCAGTTTATCGAAGAAAACCGAATTGGTTCTTAAGCTGGATTTTTCACCGAAAGTCCATTCATTTTGATGCAAAGGAGTAGTGCCGTAGATCGAATCGAACTATTAGTTAGGCGGAAAGTGAGATTTTATTATTTGATATCTAGATGTAGAAGAATTTCTAATCAAACGTGACATGCTTCAGACCCCCTGAGGTTCAGCTGCACATTGATGGCGCGAAGTACGCCAAACTAAGGCATTTATTATGCATGGAAAAGAAGTTCCTCACAAAGTAATGCTCGACTTACGTACCCTGGCAACTTCGGATCTCGAGGAAGACATCTAGTTTCCCTCGAAAGCAGTATTAACCTTCCCAAAACCTGATGAAGATCCGAGGTATTTGAGGATTTATCACATTGTAAACGAAAACGCAACTTCCGCGGTGGAGAAGGCAGTGGAGGTGGTGTGGGTGCTACCACTTCATTAGCCATTACTTCTGTCGACGAAATCTGCTTGCAAGGAGTGGGGGGACTTTGTTCTTCTTCCAATAAATTAAGGGGAGGGATCTTCACAAATGTTCGAAGCGATCTGACCTTGACTCCACCTTGGCGTGGGATTGTAGGCGAGGGCGACTTTGAAGTGTTACCGCATGCACCAACACCAGCAATAGTTCCAAGGGCTAGTTCGTCACTCCAGAGACGCGGGCGTTTAGATGGTGTTGTCCGAGTCATCAAAGGTGATATTGGTCGAGGAAAGCAGCCACCACGCTTGGCTAGCCTGGCGTCCACCCCTTCTGCTATTGAAGTAAGCAGAGCCGAGGCAGGTGAAACGTTACCGATAGCTGGAAAAAGGGAGCAGAATCAGTATAGGATTGGCCATAGTCCTCAAGGGCGACTATTCCTAAAGCGTGAAATAGAAATCGACTTTACCACTTGCCAGTACTAATGGCACAGGCCTCATTCAACACTAATAGACGTTTCACATATTGCGAACCAGCCCAAACGCCACTAATTTAGAATGGATAAATGGGATTTAGTGAGCGCAGAGTTCGACGACAAGGAGAGTAAGATCTACAGGTATCCAGTCGTGTAAAAGGAATAAAAACGCGCACCATACGTCTGTAGGTGGCGTTCATGACCACAACAATTTGGTTCGGGTGTAAGACTTCGGCATTTATTCAGGGCGAATAGTATTCAGCAAGACCATGAAACATCTAGTCGAAGCGACCACAAACGCGTTCCAGTTTGAGAAGTAGCTTCATGTGGGACTACCTGTGGCAAAGAATCACTTCTTCGATAAAAATTTTACAGTCCTTAATGTATGTTCCCTTCTACTGATATCTCAAGGGACCCATCCAAAACATGGACAATTATCATACAAAAGGGCATAGATAATGCACAATATTTTATTAGTAAAGCCCTCCGAATTCGATTAGCCCAGGTAAGGAGAATTGTGATTGTCCCAAAATTCAGCCTGTCGATGATGCGCAAATCTCAGTCACTTAATTGGATAATAGGCAATAAGAGAATTGAACACGCCGGCGGAATACTTATTGACATACCATGGCGTGGTAAAGAACACCAAAAAATGATAGGAATCCAACCTTGGCGACATCGTAAAGTATTCAACGCATTTCTCAATTAATGTACAACCCAAATCTTTACAATTCATATAACCTTGGCAACGTGCATCTAGTGACTTTAAAAAAGAACAGAAACGAATGAACCCAATGAACCCTCTTATACGCAGTCAGATGAGGTTATCGATAAAACGTACTTTGAGGGCAGGATGTAGACGGCTCATCTTCTAAGAGGCCCTGACAGGATTGCATCTTGGCTTGCGTCAGTTCAGCGGACACCAACTGATAATCGGCCTCCCTGAAAGCCAGTTGACTGTTCAATGCTGCAATGGTTTTGGTGCTCTCCGCTCTTTCCGAGGCCAATTGTGCCTCCAGTTTCCGAATAACCTCTAACCGAGCATTAGTGCTGCGGCTAGAGGCCTCTTTGAGGGACGCCAGCTCACCTACTTTCATATATAGTTCCTCACGAAGGGCCCCTATCTGTGGAGTTAAAATTTAATTATTACGCAGCAAAAGCGAAAGGCAAGAAGAGAACAAGGCTAACCTCGTGTTTCAAACGCTCAATCTCAATCTTATATGATACGTCAGTAGACCTGCGATAAAATAAACGGTATTCAGTTGGACCATCTCAAAGAATAAACTGGATAAGAAGTGGCAACTTCATATAGGCATACGCGCCAGTTGGTTGTGCTGGTGTCCAAGAGCAAATCCGGCCAAATGAGGTTTTCCGGGACAATCTAATAACATGACCACGAGACCCAGCTTGTTGAGAGTTGGATAATTTGCCGGTTCGCTGATTTTGAGCAATAGATTTCGGATGATCACCGAGGGGACCTCCATTATTAACTATAAAAATAAAACTAATGAACTAAGGAAACCCTCAGTAGCACAATCCCTTGCGAATTGCGTGCAAACACTGTCAAAATGATTAAGAATCTCAGGTGAGAAATCTTCCTCGTCATCAAGCGTCATATTCGGTTCAAGGTAAGACACAAGAATTCCATTGACATGAACTTCGCACAAATTAGCGCTGCCTATGTTGAAGCATGACTGGCACACTTGATATACCAACTCAAGGTCATCGAGATGAGTAGATGACTTATTTTGGCACAATGACTAATTAAAATCTTAGTGAAAACCACTTATGCATAACTTTTGACAATTTATGAAGATATCTAAGAAACAAATAACAAAAATGCGATGTCCGCACTTAAAGAGTTTGGTCTTCCACAACTGCTTATGGTTCAAAAACAGTTAAAAATTTGCCACCAACTTTCGTAAAACAACTAACCCAACGCTTTAATTATGTTATCTATTAAGTGCGTGAAGTCGTTTTATAATGCCACCTTGGTAGAGCGAGAGAACAGCTGTTAAGTTATGCCTCTCAGAGAAGACGCCCTTCTATAGTACGCAAAAAATGAATTCAAAGCCCAGTGCATATCATTCTTTAGCATGCTCAAGAGATTGCAATAATTTCTGCAAGAATTTTTTATAGTTTTTGGTTAGATCTGTCATTCTTTGTTTATGGTAACACTTGCACGTCTCGCTTTTTCTGAGGTGCCATTCTCATTTTTCTCACAGCTTCCACCTTAATTTTTTAGTTTTTGAAGTGCCGCGGTATAGAGGAAGAGCACATACTTTGGATGAGTGATTATGCAACTAACACTTTCTGGTTAGCTTAGGATTTGTCTGATTCTTGTACTTGTGAGCTGCCCTTCGAAACATGCTCAGTCCTAGTCCCTTTGTTCTCTTTGGAATACATGTATCCGGTTACACTTGCTGTTTTCTTCCACCCGGTTGGAAGTCTCGGGACGTTACACTGGAGACAATGGAAAGAGAATCGGAAATTTTCCAACTATTTCTCCCTAGCTCGACGAATCTCTGACACCTCACAACGAAAGGGTCGAGACCGACATCTGCATTTGGCTTCACTTTATTCCCGTGTTCTACAGACAAGCTATTAACAAGTGAAGCGACACCGTTGTGAACCATCTGGAGAAGTTTCGTGCCGGAAGTTCCCCACACAAAATCCGAGTATAGGTATCGGAAATGACGCCACGGTTCTCCTATGCGGGACGGTGGCTCATCCCGTTTTCTCTGTAACGCATCTATTTTAGACCAGAGTTCCGCCGTCTAGTCCTGCAAGCAAGTGACGGTCAACAGATGTATGCGACCCCGTCTCTGGTTGTTAGACTGAATGTAACTCCAGACCCAGTTGAAAATGCTAAGGATATAAACTAGCTTCTCCAGTATCACCTTAGCTGCTGGTTAACGCAGCAGCTTGAAATACCGAATATGTTGTGATGGCTTGAGCGGGAGGTATACGAGGGGACAGCGTCGAAGACGTCAATTATAAGAAGGGAGAACAGGTTTGGCGGTCGCCTTTAGGACTTTTCTGACCCTCGTACTCGTGAGTTGGCCTTCATGCCATGCTCAGGCCCACTTGCTTTGTCTTCCTTGGAATACATTTATTCAGCCTCACTTACTGCCTTCTTCCACTCTATGAAAAGTCTCGATACGCTACATTCTTCTCCTACAAAGATGAATGCATTCAGTCCAATCCAATGCATTCTGCCTGTTGCGAAGTCTCAAGGCACTGCAGTTTCCTCTAAGAAACTCCGGTCTAAAATAGATACGTTACAGAGAAAACGGGATGAGCCACCGTCCCGCATAGGAGAACCGTGGCGTCATTTCCGATACCTATACTCGGATTTTGTGTGGGGAACTTCCGGCACGAAACTTCTCCAGATGGTTCACAACGGTGTCGCTTCACTTGTTAATAGCTTGTCTGTAGAACACGGGAATAAAGTGAAGCCAAATGCAGATGTCGGTCTCGACCCTTCCGTTGTAATGGAGTCAGAGAGTCACCACCACCGAGGTAACTGCGCCTCCTCCATGCCGTAGGTACATGAAAGGAACGACACGTGCTAGGAAGAAATGGTCGAAAAAAATTTCCGGTTCTCTTTCCACTGTCTTCAGTGTAACGTCCCGAGACTTCCAACCGGGTGGGAGAAAACAGCAAATGTAACCAGACACATGTATTCCAAAGAGAACAAAGCGACTAGGCCTGAGCATGGCCCGAAGGCCGGCCTACGTGTACAAGGGCCAGACAAATCCTAATAGTGACCGGCAAGTACCAGGTAGTCACATAAACAAAGCATTACAAAGAAAAGCTTGTTTATGGCCTAAACCTATGGCGTCCCGAGACTTCCTATCCGGTATAAGAAGTCGGTAAGTGCAGCTGGATACATTCATTCCGAGGGCGACAATGCAAATTCGCCTGAGCATGGCCTGAAGGTCAGCCCAGGTGTACAAGGACCAGGCGAATCCTAAAGTGATCGCCAAACGTCAGGTAGTCTCATAAACAAAGTATTTTAAAACCTAAGGTCAGCCTTAGCGGACACTGTAGCGTCCCTAGGCTTCCCATAGGGCGGAAGAAGAAATAAGTGGGATAGAATACATGTAGTCCGAAGACGACAGGGCAAATGGGGCCTGGGAGCCGCCCGAAGATCAGCCTACTTGTACAGAAGCCAGACAAATTCTAGAGTGACCTCCAAACGTCAGGTAGTCACATTGACCAAGTATTACAGACACAAACAAAGTACAATACTAAAGTAACCACCATCCATGCAGATGACCACATAAACTGTGTATTGCTCGAAAATTTAAATCTCGGGTATCGAATGAATGGGAACTAATGATGTATTTCACTTAAGCTATAATTTTATTTTATCTCTCCTAAAAGACTTGAAGAGGATGCAAACACTAGACTTGCACAACAAATATATGGCGTTTTTGACTCATAATTACACGCTAATTTGCTAAAATTTTATGTTGCTAACTCGTATATTATTTCGTTATGGTGCTTACTAAATGGATGTTAAATCGTGGTACTAATTTATGTTGCATTTCCTGGTTTTCATAATTATTAAGTTCGTATACATAATCGGGGTACAACACTTACAGCTTTAGTTAATTGGGTGTTTAGGAGGGATACTCATTCTAGCCCATTTACTCGTTCATAGTATGTCCCTGAGGGAGCGTGATGTCCTCTATCGGCTTATAATAAGGTTTTCTGATACAGTTTCTTAATCCTCTCCTCCAGCCAACTTTTTCATGATGGTTACCAGGCGATTGCAATTAATCTTATGAATGAAGTAACCCCATCTGTTTCCTGCGGTCCATCAGCTCGACTCCTCAAACTAGTAAAGCTTGGTCTCTCTATTGCAGATGGTATTGGCATAGTTATGTATGATATGAAAAGTTTGTGTTAATTTTCATACTTCCTTGACAGTTTCAAACGTGTTACTGCAAACGTGTTACTTATAGTTTTGTCTTCTAGATGAACAAGACCGGTCAGTTGCTCTCGAGGGTGACAATATTCCCCCAGGCACTGGCATTGATTTGGAAATTGAGAGTGAAAGTACGATCTATCCTTGTTTTTATTTTGATATCTGCCGTGGTTTTCATTGATTTTTTCACACCTTTTGACTAGGTTCTACTATGGCTCCCGAAGCTGCGCTATATGAAACCTGCTATGTCACTGCGCACAAGGCAGCCTGCAGAGCGGCTGCCTTTAATAGCACAGGTGCATTGGCTTTTAGTAAAGCTTTTATTGTCGGCATGTTCCGCTACATTTTCTCTTTATCATCAATAGGTCAACTTATTGCCACCGGTTCTCATGATTCCTCGATTAAGGTAACACTTTGTAGTGTGATTTTGAAGCTAATCTGTTTTGACCCCTTTCCAATCGACTGAATCCAAAGTGTAGATTTTGGATGTTGAAAGAATGTTGGCAAAAGGCAATTCTGGACCAGAACATTCGGCTCAGGAAACGCCACAGCAACAGATGGAGGCTCATCCGGTCATTCGAACTCTCTACGACCACACTGCGGTATTTTTTTGGGTTGCACTTTCTTGCACCTTTAATATCCGACTCGCATCAGTTTTATTAGACCAAATAGAACTTTCAACAAGCTAGTAATTGCTCCGCAGCTACATTAGAATTGTATTTTTCACCTCCAAAGCTCATTTTCCATGCTACACATTTCCTTGCTGCTGTTGCTGAATAGGAAGTCACTTGCGTGGATTTCCACCCAGACGCGTCGCAGCAGATTTTGGTGAGTGGAAGCAAGGACTACACAATCAAGTTCTTCGACTTCTCAAATCCCTCCGTAAAGAAAGCGCAACGCAGCATTCCGGAGGCCTCACCCATCAAAACTCTTCACTTCCATCCCTCTGGTAACTACCTTCTCGTGGGCACACATCACAAGACTTGTAGGTGATGGCTTCTTTTCGCTTGTGTGTCTTATTAATTGATCGAATATCAGTTATAACTCATTCGTTCAGTATTATCTGGTCTCATGTGTATTGTTCGCAGGGCTTATGTACTTGTGTTTGGTGCTGTTGTAATTTCTAACATTGTGTCGACCGATTGACCTCGGAGGAGAAATGATGTTCATGGTGGATGTATTGCTGGCTGCGCAGGTGGATATCAAATCCTACTCTTTTCACCCTTGTCTCATTTCTGACGTTGGTAATGATGAATTTGTCTTGCAGTGCGTATTTACAGTGTAAACACTTGTCAGTGCTTCGTATCAGCGGTTCCGGAGGATCAGCACAACGGGGCCGTGACAATGGCAAGATGGGCGCCTAATGCGAATTACTTTGTTACTTCGTCAGTCGATGGAAGCTTTAAGATTTGGGACGGTGTCTCAGGGCGTTGTGTCTCTACTTTCGAGGCTGCACATGATGGTCTGCCTGTTTGTTCGGCAGTTTTCTCCCGTAATTCGAAGGTGAGTAAGGGTTCTGTTTTCTAATTATTTTTGTTCATAAGATCTTTATTTGATATTGTAATCACAAGGGAGTAAGTGGCCAGGGAAGAAACGCTCATTCTATGATCCCGTCCGAGAAGTGCCTCCACTCCTATGTGACCATGTTTGAATTAAGGCCTCAGCTCCTGTCTACAAGGGATTTTAAATAACAAATGCGTATTTCAAGCTACACCTTTCCTTTCCACCACCATCGCCGTTGCTAACATCGAGGATGGCCTTCTTTCACCTACCATTGCATGGATTTCATTCCCATAGCGGGTTGCGGATTAAAGGGAGATACCCTTTGCAGAGTCGTGTTTTATTTTGTGGAAGTTTGTCGGTCGGATAAGGGGTTACGCGTCCTGGACGAGTTATATTGCAGGTGAGGGAACCCTTGCTACGCGGAAAAGATCTCTGCTCTAAGAAGCGGTAAAATACGGGCTGAGTTCTAAGGAGACAGATCGGTCTGTATATTTGGACAGTACAACTTTTACGATAGATGCTGTTTAGACTTTGACCGTTAAAATAATTTTTCGTTTTTTATACGACATCTTGATCAGTGCGTGGACCGTATTTGGACAGCTCAACCAATGTGTAAATCTCAGTCTCAAACCTGTGCTCCATTAACCAAATTCCTTAAGGGTTCAATGATGATAAGGCTTGTTCTTTCCGTCCAATCATTGTTTTGAGGGTGCCCAGACGTCATAATTGTTCCGTATGTTTCACAATTTTAACTTAATTTTGCAAATAATTGACTTTCTAGATTTGGACTTTCAACGCTATGTACGAATTAGGGCACTCAGTGCTGGCGGGTTTAATAGTTGAAAGAGGTTGTACGTACTGCTTCAGTGTCTTGTAAGTGCAGAAGTTTCGCTTCGGCTACTTTGGTAGAGTTGCTAAACACAACTAGTGTTTCGGTTGCAAATAAGTCGTCGATTTCTGTACTAATTGCTTCTCTCAGGAAACCCGTAAGCATAGGTTCAAGAATTGTCACCACTATTCTTCCTTCGTAACCTCTGAAGGGATGACAATGATGCATCCGACTAGTTTACACTTGTTTGCAATATCTCCAGTGACCGCTATCACATTTGTTGGGGTAACTGACATTTCTTTGGATTTTTGATTTGTCATACTTCTCAAAGACTGCTCAGGAATTGGTGTAGTTTGGTGTTGAGCTCTTGAATATCTCTACCCAAGGCAAATGTCATCGAGGTGGGCTATACAGTGCCTTGGGAGTAAGGCATCCAT